CGCTCGGAAAGATGTTTGAGATCTCTAAAACCAAATTTACACCAACGTCAGTCACGGGCGGTAGCAAAAAGTGGGCAATAAAAACAAAAAAAGTGCATTTTTGTCCTCGCTGTAACACAACCATTCGTGTTTTTTATACCAAGTTTCTGCGCAGAATGTACGCCGACGCTTTCCTCCGTCATGGGATTGTTCCAGTGAACAATTTTTTGGTTGATAAGGCCCAAGACGTTGTACCTCTAATTTTTGTTCCAGCGGCAGCTGCGAAAATGGAGTGCGAAGTAGTGCATCAACCTTATTCATTATGAGGTCTAAGGCTAAGAAATGCGAAGCCGGAAAGAAGTGAGGAGTTCAAAAGAAATGTGGAAAATCGAAAGCAAATGGACTAAAGGTCTCTAACTGATTCAAATAGCGAAAAGCGACAAAAACGAAGGCGAGGAAACTATCAACTCTTCAAGCAACCAACGAACGAGAAAGAATGCGTGAATAAGTCAACACGTTGTTGTAAGAAACGTCGGCATTGTGTCGTCATAATTTCGGGGCTAGCCCCGATCGGCCCCGATGATTTAGTAAAAGAAACAGAAAACAAACGAGACAAACGCGGCGAGTGGAAGATAAAAGAGAGAATACGATATACAATGAGCAACCGGGGCAAAATCGGCGTCGCCCCGTCGACGTTCGGCGAAGGCTTTGCGAGCGAAAAATGAACCATGTCGGGAGAATATGGCTAGTGTAGACAGTCTGTCCAACCGATATTGAGGTATTTTTCGAATATTTTTTATTATACCGAAAAAACAACCGGGGCATTGTCCCGGTTGGCCCTATTGACGCGCCGCCACTGCCAAATATGGAAAAAATATCACATGACATCATTTAACAGATAAAACAAGGGCTTTCACAAAAATATTATTCAACCCCCAATTTTTTTTTCTAAATTTTACTGATTTATGCTTTGCTTTACACAACTGAGCCCATAAGCAAGTCTAATAGGAATTTAATCCCACATCAAATCCTTGACCCACTGCCCTATCTCCCTCCACTTTCCTATTCTCGATCCGCTGCCCTGTCTCCCTCGCCTCGACCAAGTGCTCCACCTCCCTACCCTCAACCCACCGCCCTATCTACCTCAAGCTTCCTATCCTCGACCCACCGTACTACCTTACTTTCCCCTCAACCCTTTTATCCTCGACTCATTGCCCTATCTCCTTCAACTTTTCTATCCTCGATCCACTGCGTTATCTGCCTCAAACTTCCCACCCTCGACCCACTGTGCGACCTTCCTCAACTTACTTATCTTCGACCCACGACGCTATACCACTCAGTACCTAACCCAACGGCGCTACAATCACGACTCGGTCGTCAGAATGAACTCTACCATCTTGCGACCAACTTCCATGTGTTATACTGGTCAAGTATGCCAATGAGATGATTTAATCGTACGTCGACAAAACATGATTGACGGCATTCGTAAATGTAGGCTGGAATCTCAATTGGTAATCAATAACCATAATTAGTGGCTTAAAAATGTACTACTAATTAGGCTACTGATGGCATCGGGTTTGGAGTCACTGTTTTTAAAATTTTAACAGTTCATTCGATATCGACATATCTGAGTTCCTTTTCAGAAACTCATTTAATGTCGCCTGTATTTCCATGCAAGGCGAAACGACGAGAAAGTAATAAAATATTTGCACGCTTGGTCTTTTTCAACGAATGTTCTGCCATATCCTGTTCTATATACAACTTTTTTTACGTGACTGAGAAGGCTGAAAAGTCAAAAACAGTCAAAAATATAAGTCGCTCAGTGAGTGTAATCCCTTCAAAACTATTTTTAAGCCATGAAATGTTTTGTCGTAGCTAGCGTTTCCAACTGCACTTTAATTCAGCGTATAGTCCCAAAAATGAGCTTATCTTATCTGCAACTTAATGAAGTTGCAAAGGACGCAGTTCGTACGTAATCTTTTACTATAAAATGTTGAAGAAAAATACTTTATACGGACCAGAGCACTATTGCTTATTTCGGATCAGCATCATATTGTCACAAGACTCACGACATAGCCAATTATTAAGGGCATAAAACGGCTTTGTTAAATTTAGAAAACTGTCATTCGCAAGAAGAGACCATCAGTAGCCCAATTAGTAACACATTTTTAAACTGCCAATTATGGTTATTGTTTACCATTTGAGATTCCAGCCTACATATACAAATGCCGTCAATCATGTTTTGTCCCCCTACGATTGAATCTTCTCATTGGCATACACGACCAGTATAACCCATGGAAGTTGGTCGCAAGATGGTTAAGTTCAGTGTGGCGATCGGGTCGTGAATAAAGCGCCGTTAGGTCAGGTACTGAATAGTATGGCAGCGTAGGTCAAAAATAGGTAAGTTGTGGCAGATAAGTGCGGTGGGTCGAGGATAGGTAAGTTGAGGAAGGTAGGGCAGTAGGTCGAGAAGAGAAAGGTTAAGAAAGATAGAGCGGTGGTTCGAGGATGCGGAAGTTGGGGAGATAGGTCAGTGGGTCGAGGATGGGAAAGCTGGGTAGATAGGGCAGTGGGTCGAGGATAGGGAGATAGCGTAGTGGGTCGAAAATAGGGAGGTTGGGGGAGATAGGGCATTGGGTCGAGGACAGTTTTCAAGTAAACGAATAGCTCGCGGAGGCCCTAAGCGCCTTTAATGTGGTTGAAAGCTGATCGAAAAATATCACTATTAGAGTGGAATTTTCTCCAAACTTTTTGTAACCCCAAAATAATTTGCCGCATCATCATAAACGTAATTCATATGCGTGTTTTCGTACTCTAATTTCATAAAATCGAGTGCCATAAAAGGTCCCTGATAGAAGTGCTGCATAAGTGAAGCCCAAAACTACACCAACACCAATAGAAGCTTATCAGACTTGTTTCAGTTTCTTATAGATACAAACATTGATTAAATATCTGTGACCCACTCTCCTCTCTTCCTCGAAAAAAATATAATTTTTGACCCATTCATTGAAAAAGGTTCGCCATCCCTGCTATATATCATACATTCCTAATTATACAACATTTCGTTGGTCGACATTTTGTTTAACTGTCACATCAAACAACAACATTACAACAGAGCAGTTTAGCCATATTCTGGCACATTCGGACCTCCGGAAGTATGTGCACCAAGATGGCGCACAACCTGAACATAGTAGTTGTACCAGGTTAGGGTTCAGATTGTGCGCCGTCTTGGTGCACATACTTCGGGAGCGCCCGGACGACTGCGTTGTCGTCATAGTCATATGCGAGGATATTGCGGTTTTCCTTGATCACTGTGTTGTCTCTGGCTAACGCAACTCAGACTTTTGGCTCCGGATTGTAAGAATCCTTTGACTCCGGAAGGTAAGAAACTTATAACTTTTATAACTTAGACGAGTTATAAAACTGTTTTGATTTGTAAATACAACAGGTAAACGCGTCGAAAGTTGCGTTTACCGTCTATGGGACGTTTTAGCTAATCCAAATCGTTACGAAATTTATCTTGTTACCCAGAAGCCAGAGGGCAGAGACAACACAGCGGTAGTTGAAAGATAGGTAGCTTTTTTTGCTATTTGCTGAGTGCCTGAAAGCTCGATGTTTACGGTTAACGATTAGTCAGGATTTCATGTCCTACCGAGGCGAGGAACACAAATTTGGTGGTTCGCCAATTAGAGTCAATCCGTGGGAGATGATTATTTGAGTCGCAGTGACACGGAAGTGAGTTGTTTTTTGTCCCGGAGTGGAGTTATGAGTCGTTTGGTTATTATGTTGTTCTTCATCGTGTTATTTTTCTTCCTATATATAGTTGTGAAGAAAATCGGCTTTCTCTTTAATTACAGAACCAATTACTTCCAATTTTCAGTGGTTAAAGATTGTATTTTCCGCTAGGAGGCTATCACTTTTATTTATTTCAAACATTTTTGTGAGCTCTATGGCATTCGTTTTTTGTGTGAAATGACGTCACCAAAATATGCGCACCTTGTGGCGGTTCTGCGAACACATATCAGCCAATCTCGTTCCCAGCGAACGCCGAACGATCTCGTGATTAGCGAAAGTGGGAAGTTTTTAATGGGGAACGGACTGTGGACTGTTCGTATTTCAATTCACGTTGAAACTGAATCAAGAAGAAGAGATCATTGACACAGGACCTGGAAAAGCTACGAAAGTTCCTGTACTTTTACTGATACCCCGATATACGGTAGGTACCGATAAGTTACCGCATAGGATTTTGGGAAGTTTTTCACGGGGAATGTGGTACCTGATCTAGTAATACAGAAGTGACTCGAATCACTTGGTATTTCAATTTACGTTGAAACTGAATTATGAAGAATGGATCATCGTCGCAGGACCGGAAAAGCTAAGACATTCCCTGTACCCGTCACGATACTCAGATACAGGTACAATAAGTTACGGAACCGCATATGATTTTCGGGGAATTGGTGATAAAATATTTCGTTTTGTCGTCCGTGTCAACATATTTGAGCGTAGCTCTCTGTCTTCGCAGTGTGGTTCGGGTGGCGTCCCCCGCCATCAAAGCACGTCCATGCCTATACTAGGGTTCTCGCACAGCGTGACGCACAAGTGTGGAATTTTTATCACAGTTTATTCGGCTAGATAGCAAGCAGTACCTAACAAAATTGCTCACTCGTCACTGTCCCTAGTTTTCGTTGGCATATTAGGGTTTCTCCCAATATATGTTTGTCTGCGTAAATCCTGTAAACTTTGCAAACGACGCCGACGGACAAGACTCGCCACTTGCACGTCGGTGCCGGTTAAAAACCGCTGTAGCGTAGCCAACGAGCACTACAGGTACGTTGGTCAGCAGCTCCGCCAAGAGGCTATTTGTCAAATCCCCAGAAATTCCGGGGTTGTTGAATGGAATCCTCGACATTTCGAAATCTCAACGCATCAACCATTTGATGAATTTTTTCCCGAACTTACATTTACATAAGCGTGCGCTTACAAGCCTTGTTAAATGCATGCGGGTACAGATGACAAAATCATTCATGCATAACAAATTGTTATCTCAAACATACAAATAAAAAAAATCCTGGAACATAAATACAAAAACAAAGACGCAAAACTGAATGTTTCAAACCTTTCATAGATATCAGATGCACAATGATCTGCCTGAATTTGGGATAAAATAATAAAATAGGAATAAATGAGCAGCACCGATTCCAACCATTATTCAGAATTGAACTAAGGAGACATAAAAAAAATAGTTCACTAGTCCGGCACACCACCAGGCATAGCTGGCCAATATTCATTTTAAAAAATCTATCACACTAAAGAATTCATTTTCCACACCTAAATTTTAAATACTTTTTTCAGACTAGAAGATAAAAGAATAACAATGTGCACCTGAGCCAATAGCTTTCAAAATCTGTTCAGTCACACCTAATGTTTTAAAGAAATAATTGCATGTTTACTAGGTCATGTGATACCCATAAGGTAACTGATACTAGCTTTAAACAACTGTTTATTACATTGAAAAAACTGAACAAATTACCTCTGATACCAAACAATACCTTGCCGAATATGGCTGCATCACTTGTACTGAAATGATCACATTTGGGAAATGTTAAGGCGTGACCATTCAAAATCAAGAATGAAGTTTGTTTCTGGAGAAGCACTCCATCATGCCAAAACATGTTGGTGTGTGTATGAAAGTATAATATTAACACATCAACTTGTATTTAGTTGTCTACAACTAATCCAAGACATAAATCAAAAATAAATAAATAAATACAAACAAGAATGGTTGTCACTTGTCAAATAAGCTTGAGGGGCTGTGAGCCATGGAAAATACAATCAGTTCCCATGTCACCCAAAATACATCACTTCAAAAACACGTTGAAAATGAAAATAAGGTGGACAGAACTATTGTTACGAAGATCGTTCTTCTGCCTCAGGCGGAGTTTGTGTTTGATTCTGAAATGAAGCAGCAGGTGGTGCCAAACGAGATGAGAAACTGATAAGTTTGAAAACTGCTGATCTGAGGATAGATGGGCAGTTCTGACTTGCACACATATTTTCAAGAGCCAGTCTCAGTTCATAGAATGATAGCCTTAAAATAAATTAATGATAAGACATTGGTAAAGGAAGATTTCAGTAAGAGAATACCATATAAATATGTATTACCTGCAGTATGGATTTCTTCTCGATAAATATCTGTATGTCAAAAACTTGTAGTATAAAAATGGTGCCAATATTGTAGTTCTTCCTCTGTTAAATAAAAATATTTTTTGTTACTCAAAAAACTATAGATATGGAAAAGCTCTATTTAGGGGCTGTTAGTTTTCGTAAGACATGTAAAGTATATACAACATGCTTTGATTAATAAAATACTGGAATTTGGAATACTCATGTTCACGTTTTTGCATAAAAAGGGAAAGACTGTAAAAAAAATTACATTATCCAATGAGAAACTTCAGCCTGGCGTTTTTTGCATAACTTTTTAGGATTGGGTCATCTTTTTGACAGACAAACGAAAAATAGTAGAAACTACAAATATCTATATGAGAGTAAACCGAATACTGGCAAAAAATTTATCTTCAAGGTGGAGCAAGTTTAATAATAGTAACAACCTAACAAGTATTTGATATATTTGAACAATATATATTATAATAATATATACACTGGGATTGGTATGTGAACTTGCAGAACCCCTCAGTCTCAATAAATAAAAATATATTTTACTTTCAACAGATGAAGGGCTTGAGACTTTAAAATTTTAGAAGTTGTGTCGCAACTACTTACATAAAGATCATAGCTATCGTTGTTGGCATGATCAAAATTTCATTCAATGCTATGAAACGAAACAATGTAGCTTGATGTCGAGCAACGTGGTTGATAATTTTTCTTAGAGCAGGATATGAATTAGGTCCGTGAACATCTAACATTTGTCTTGTAAAACTACACGCATGAAGAAGAGCAAAAACCGTAACAGGTACCAGAGCAACTGAAAAAGTGATGTTGTAAAATGTAATCATTCTTGACATGAAAAAAAGCATGAATAAAATGTTTAATATAGAGAATATTATGACAGCAAAACGAAATTCTAATACAACTCAAGGTGGGACTAAACAGCAATTCATTTCTATTTTCAAAAATTTGGCATCTAGCCTATTTAAAATTAGATGAGGAGTACATAGGAAATAACAAAAACATGATATAACTTCAAATTCACATACTTGTTATAGGGTGACTTGTCAAAAATATGAGAGAATACATAAGATAATGAGCACTGTCTTCTACCATCATCTGAGCAAAATGTTGGCGAGTCATACGAAAATCTGGAATTCTTTGATGTAATCGCAATGCACATATTACACCATTAGAAAGCATCGCTCTTTGAAAATATTGTCCCATATCGAATGCACTAAAAAACACAAAAATGTATTTAGGCTACCAGTTCATACTATTTCAGAAAAATATACAAGAACTTTCAGTAATACCATTGGAATAAAAAACACCATAGGTGTAACGTAATTAGTACATCTTAAAAATGTACCATTATTAGTTAGTAGGCCTATATATATTACCCTAATGAATGCAAAACCAGAAACATTAGCATATAAATATCATGTTACCTGCAGAAAAACATGTATTGAATACTGAGGAAAATTGTGTATAATCTCATCACCCACATTGCTGTGCCAATTTTTCTGGCAGACATAAAATTCTGAAATTATTAACAAACAATCATTTTTCTTATATTGATGTGCATTAGTTATAATCCGATGATTGATATGATGGAAAATTGCTTCCTCATCTTCTATTGGAAAACCACTCATACTATCCAAATATTCAATATGGATAAACTGTTATTTCATTTCTGAACAAGAATAGGATGGGATTTACGTATCCTGGGGAAGAGGAGAGCCGATAAGACGGCTTAATCATATTGCAAACCACAGCCTCTTGGGCAGTTACCATTCCATGTTAAGTATGGGATTAGTTAGTTATTTTCGAACTGAATTTTAATCATTAGCCAGATAATTTTGACAATCATTTTGCGACCACTTAAACTTACAAAAATATTTACGAATTATCAGTTTTTGATAACATCATTACTGCATTATGATGGTCTAAGTTGCATTGAATCTAATATGTCATCAACAGTACCGGTACCGGTTTATACCTATATTGACGGGAACAATTTCGATCCCTAACTGGGTAAAACCAGAAACCCACCTTCAACTCAGAACTGGTACCTACTGAATAAGGGGTCTTGTGTAGTTTCGTACCTAACGTACTTCTAGTGGGCGTAGCATAACAATTTTTTGATATATCAATCCTAACCCCCATCTGATTACGCCATCCAAAAATTAAATCACTACGACATCACAATCCCGGCATAGAGCTTGCCAAATATACGCACGATCGACCGAAACGGCATTGGCGCCGACGATAAAAAACTGACTGACGTTAGGCCTATCGGTCTCTCTCCTATTGAAATCGTTGCGACGAGAAAACGAACTGTTCGATTTCGGGTGCTCGTTTGCGCGTCTTGGATGGCAGTTCGTATAGTTTGAAAGGCTCCAATACGTCACTGTGACGTCGTAATGACGTAATTTTTGAATGGTGTAGTCAGGTGGGGGGTTAGGATTGATACGTGAAAAAATTTTCATGCTACGCCCACTAGAAGTATGTTAGGTAAGAAACTACATGAGACCCCTGAATAAGTTGTTGAATGTATTGCACATTCTGACATTACTATGTTAGCTAACAGACTGCTGCTTGTGGTGTGTGCTGCCATTTTTCGTATCGTACCGTACCATGGCGCATTTGAAAATGGATAATCTAGGTTCTGAAGTTAAGCATACCAGAATAGAACCAGTGTCCCGAGCTTCCTGGGCACCCGCTTCTTCACGTCGTCGTTCCTCTGATCGTTCCGACATCTTGGAGCTTGATATCTACGATTATGAAATGGTGTACACTACGGTACCGAAAACGAAAGTGCAGAGGCAAGATGAAAAACACCAGAACTCAACCTTCAGCAATGTAGCCACTTTGAATGTAGCAAGCCCCACAATCGAATTTCAAAATTATTGCTCGAGAAGTGCTGAGTCATTCGGATTTATGGTAATTCCGGATACTGTCCATGCATCATAATTCAATTCGTTTATTTTACCAGACCACCGTTGTCCGTGTCGAATAAAACTGACAAATCAATTAACACAGGAAAATACAAAAATAGCACAGAATGTTTTTATCACAATAAAATACCACAATATCAGCAAAAATAACAGCTAATATGAATCAAATTTACAGTTAGGCCGCGAGCCGAGGCCATGAAAAACGCCTAGAAAGTGAGTTTCGTAGCGCACATCAGGTAACTGCCTGAAAATGATTTTAAAATGTTCCTTAAAAATTTAGTAACAAATATTGCCTTGTTCCCACTTCCAAAAGTTGCACGTTTACGGAAAAGACGCTTTTACTACAAGAAATATGTGCTACGATCTGTCCTATATTCTCTACATTTTCGACAATGAACAATGACTTTTGCATGACGTAACAATGAATCGAATCAGCTGTTAGCGAGCGGATGAATATTAGTTATTACTGCTCGACCTTGCGTTGAGTTGGGCAGCCTTTCCATAGCCCTGTTTAGTTATTGGACACCTAGTGGACATAACGATCGTTTCAATATTATTGGACACGAAGTGGACATAACGATCGTTTCAATATTATGTTGTTGTTGTTGTTCTTGTTCTTGTTCTTTGACACGTTTTTAAAAAGTCGCTTTTCTCTTCGAATACTGGACCAATTGCTTTGAAATTCAGTGGTTGAAGATAAAATTTTTCTCCAGAAGGCTATTACTTTTATTTATTTTAAAAATTCCTGTGGACTTCGAGAGATTCGTTTTTTGTGTTCAAAGAAGTGATCAGAATAAAAAAATAGTGACACCTTGTGGCAATTGCGCGAAGGCATATCAACTGAGAAGCGATCGTAATTCTTGCTCCGCTAAGAGTTGTTTATGGGGAATCGAGATGTTTGGGGTTACCGGTACCCGCATTGCAGCAATGCAACGGTTTGCGATAACTTCTTAGCTAGTTGACTATTACTACAGCTTCGCTTGGAGACCATATATTTGTTGACTGCGGTATTTACTGTTATCAGTTGGTATTTCAAATTATTTCTCAATAAACTCGAAAGGTTTTTGAGGTTAAGTTGAACTACCGGTACTGTTTCGCTCGGTGTCCAATCAATCAATCAATGTTCACTTTCCATATATATCAGTATTTGTAGACTGTGGTTCCCGTGTTAAACGAAAGTGATACCGGTACCGGTACGATAGCTGGGAAAGCTATGACAGTCCCTGTGACCTGTACGGCTCGTACCGGTACCGTTTACAGGTTTACGTACCGTCTTACCGATACCGGTACCGTAGTCCGTTACGGTACGTACCGGTACAGCTGTACAGGTACGATATCGGTAGACTAGTACAGTATTACTGTACTAGTTGCATTAATTATATTTGTTTAGAGTGTGTGCCTGCATTGAAATTAAGTTTTTGTAATGAGCCAGCATGTCTGCACAGCTGCTATGCCTTTCTAATTTTTCGCTGTTTCGTTACATTTTTTTGGAAACAACATTTGCATGAATATGTATGGTACCGTATGCAGAGGAAGAAACTTCACAAAAATTTCAACATGTGCAGCAGGTTAGTGTACATAAATCAGTAAATACAGAAATATGCAGAGGAAGAGACTTTACAAAAAGGATAAGATTTACATAATTATCCCGATGGAGAGGAAAGCCTATAGAACGGCTTAACCATATTGCGAACCACAGCCTCTTGTCCGGTTACCGGTAAGGTACCATTCCAAGTCTGGTATGGCTGTATGGGATTAGTTAGTTATTTGTTTTCGGAAGCATGGATTTGATTAGTTTAAGTGGCCAGGGCTGAAAGTTAATTAAAAATGTTTTTTATGTGATTCATGTGTGGAATCATGTCCTGAAAGAGGCATACAAAAATTTGTTGAGCAGTAAATAATATTTCATTTACGGTATATGGGAACACGTTTAAAGACAAACTATAAGTCATTTTGTCATCTGTTTTTTATATTGCTGTGATTGTTCAGTTTTATCAAATATAAATTGATCGATACTCACCTATTTTAAAAATCAAATTGTTGCAATTTGCAGATGTGAGAATGAAATATATGACCAATGTACAGTCAATGATGTAGGTATGTGCCAAATCATATCAAGTTTTATTTACATGTTTACTCTTACTGCATTTGCAGTCAAATTAACTTATTCCATTTTTTTGTACTCTTGCACAGCTGCAATGTTTATGCTCATCTTTTAGCCTTTTTTCATTACAGTTCTGCGGTAAACAACATCAATATGCTAATAAAGAAGCATTACAATCTTTCCAATAGTGTTCAACATGTTATGAAATATGGTGGTCGCGGTTTCATCAATGCAAAAAATATTTGCCGGTTTAACAGCGTGATGCAATTATTGCAAATAGTTTTCGTGTCCATATATTTGAGCATTGCTCTCTTGTTGTTGTTGTTCTAGTTCTTTGACACGTTTTTAAAAAGTCGCTTTTCTCTTCGAATACTGGACCAATTGCTTTGAAATTTTCAGTGGTTAAAGTTAAAAATTTTCTCCAGAAGGCTATTACTTTTTTTTTCGCTATGACGTCATCAAAATTATGTGACTCTACGTGTCCATATATTTGAGCATAGCTCTCTTGTTATTAGTTAGGTTATGCTAGGACGTTGTTGAAAATGTATAAATAAGTTATTAAACACTTGTAGATCCTTACCACGGATATGGGCCGTGAGACGAAGCCTTGAAAACGCCCAGAAAATGAGTTTCGTAGCGCACATCTGGTAACTAAATAAATTCTTCAGTTTTGTGTGAAAATGAACATACTGAACGCATTACAGCTTGTTCCACAATCCTTATGCGAAATTGAATATAAGAGGTTCCCGGAAATTCAATAACCATAAGTTCACAACACATACATAAGCACTATGCAATTCGAGAGCTCTACAGCACACTAACACAAATGTATTCCTGTAATGTTTTGCCTGACCAAAATCGGACTTCTTCAGTCAATCATAATTTATTAGGTAGTAATACATGTAACCAACAACAAAAAATACTTCAATTGTGTGACAGGAGTCGCGAGTGACCTCGAAAGCAGCGACACCAACAACGCTGATTCACATTAGCGAATAAATTTTATGTAATAACCACAAGCAGTTTACAACAAGAACAGCATAAAAAGCTACATCCATTTTATAGAAGCTATCAAACGTATTTATTTTTAAGCAATGAAGTCACAAATTAACATTGTGAGCAGGAAAACACAAACAAATCAGTTATTTCTCACTTAGAAATTTACCAGAAAAGTCAAGAAAATTAAATGAATGTACAATATGTACATAACATAGTGAACAGAAATATTACAATTAGTCTTTTTTTAGTTTATGTGGTTATGTATTTGAACAAAGGCAATATTATTTCTAGAAACAGGACTACGACACTAACAAATGTTCGAAAAAAAACAAATAAATGATGCTTATTAAATCAACTGCAATATCTAATTCACTTTCTTCTGAATTGTTTTCGAAATCCACTATCTCGAAAATCGACTTTTCCTCTATAAGTGTACTGTGATTTTGCAGTCAATACAAAAACAAAAATCTGTGCAATTTAAGTTGATTTTGGCACACTTGCATAAATTATTTTGACCATTTTTCTTACACTTGCAGTTTGCCAACTCAAGAACTGATTTGAGGGCCATATGCTTCTTCAGTGAATCATTGTTGGGTGGGAGAGTATAATCCTTATGTTTGCCAGTGTTAAATAGACGTGCCCTGGTATCATTTACATTCTTCATATCCTCTTCGTACAGTGAACAAACAAATTCCTCAGCTTTATTTATTAATGCCTCGTTAACCTCAAAAGATCTTCATAGTTGAGAAAAAATGAATTGAAAACCACAATGAAGTCTCCAACATGAGTTTGATGGGCAGTTCCAATTGCAGAAAAGTGCTAAGGTATTTCAATATGAATAGCCCATCTAAGCTGTTTGCAACTATTATGATTCTCATATACCTTTACGCTTTAAGACTTCTTGTTCAATCCATTTTATAGCACTGATAGCAGCAGGGATTAGAGCCTGCGTTAGGTCGGATTGGTGGAACATTGCCGTCTTCTTTTGTAGTACAGTATCTAAAATGAGGAGGAAAATCATATTTGGAACAGCATGAGTGTAAAAATACCACTAAATACTAACTAATACCTTGAATACATACCGTAATGCATTTTATCTGATGTACTCAATGAGCGTATGTACTACAGTCCAGCAGTGTTTGCATACCATTACTAGACTATATCTACACTAAATTTTGATATATCACAGTCTGAAATGCCCTATGACAGTATGAGTATGGACTATAGGCCTAGACTATATTTTAAAACATCAACTGTCTGTCTACAACTTGATTTCTCACCTCTCAGTCGTTTTCAAAGCTACTTTCTTTCCACTCCGGCTTAACTTACCGTATCATTGCTTTCTTGTCGACTCTATGAATTCAGATTTAGACCAACCGACATTAGTAAAATTGATTATTTTCTTCTCTTTCACACAACCGTACATTACAGAAACAGCCATTAATTTCTATTTCCAAATATGCTGTGGCCTATATAGTAGTATAAGTCTGCTGAATAGTCAAGAAGAGTCATTAAATTAATCATAAACATTTCATGCAAGCCAGAAAATATCGTTGTTTGTGACATATTATTCTAGGTCTAGCCTTCCTTGGAATTACCGCACCGTACCTATTTAACAACGTCTTATGAGCTAGTGCTCAACTAAAATTGCTATTTATGGTAAGGATATACAAGTGCTTAAAATCTTACTTATACTTTTCAACACCTCCTTAGAATAACTGAACTAATAATAACTGAAAAAAACTATGGAAAGGCTACTCAACGCAAAAGCGAGCAGTAGTAGTACATCTGATATTCATCCGACCACTGGAGATTCACCTACAGCTAACTAATTTGCAAAAGTCTGCGTTCATTGGCCCATGATACCGAAAAAGCAGAGAAAATAGGACAGATGGTAACACATATTTATTGCAGTAAAAGTGTATTTTCTGTGAAACGTGCAGCTTTTGTAAGTGGGAACAAGGCAATATTTGTTACTAAATTTCTAAGGAACATTTTAAAATCATTTTCAGGTAGTTACCTTATGTGCGCTACGAAACTGAAAGATAATGGCCTCGGCTCGCGGCCTAAGTAAAATCCCGCAATATCGACAAAATAACTGCTAATATGAATTAAGTTCAATCATCATAAATATGCAAAGTCACTAAGGTTGTTGATGTTTTTTTTTAGGATTAAGATTTACACTTATTTATCCTGGGAGAGGAAAGGCGACAAGGCTTATTATTTCACTATGCTGACGCACTAACCATACAGAATGTAGAATAACTGAAAAAATCGCATTTCGGATTGACAGGAAACGTGGAAAACCGATACTGATTATCGGGCAGCGTAGCGTCACCCATATAGGAGTCTAACAGAAATTATTAAAAATAATATATAATAAAAAACATTTTAGTATGTTAATCGCACGTTTCAACATAAGAAAAACGACTGAGCACTGGATAGAAATTAACAAAATACTGATGACGAACTAATAGGTACCGGTATATATAATAACTTTATTCTTTTTGCAGAACAAAAGTAAACAACGCTTGAATGGCAAGTTTCTTAGATTATTCAGTCACCACGAAAGCGAAACATGAATGATAAAAGCATATTTCACAAAAAAATACAAATCTCGAAATTAACTTTAAAACACACATAAAATTATGACAAAAAGTCAAATACAGATTTTACAGCCGCATGTTTGCTCACTCATGAAATAAATTAGAATTATGGTATTTATTTCCTAATATAGAAAAGTCAAACGGATTAAAAATAATATCACCTTTTATTTATGGTAAATACAGTCCAAGCATGAGATTGAGAATGGTAAAAATACCAAATAATCGTTGTAGAGTAGCAATTGCATAACCATATAGTTGGATCCTCCCTCAGTATACAATATTACCACACATCAAGCTATTTGTGTTTATCCATGCACCCTAGTTACAATAAAAATTGTTATTCAATGATGTCCGACATTTGGGCCTCGTCATTTTTTATTCAAGTAATCTTTGACTGAAATTTCAAAAATTTACGAATAAAACTGGTAGAATATAGAAATCATTTTATCTGCTTTCATCAGCCCCGTAATTAATGAGAAATTTTATGAAACTGGTAAATTTATGTCATTAGCTCAGAGATTTTCATGAATTATATACGAAACATAGATACCAGATGTATTGAAGATCATGAATGAAAGAGTACGAACTTTTCGATTTCATATTGGAACGGACGTAATTACTATATCCCCAAATCCAACCCGAATGTGTCCATTTTATTAGTTTCAATAATTTCTGTATTATGTTATGATACTTAGTAGGAACTCTTAATTGGAATGCCCCAAACTTATGATAAGCTATCTCTAAACATATTGGTTGTAACTAAAACACAAATATATAAAGATGATATAAAGAACAGATGATATTGATTGCGACTTCATTTCCACCGCATAACTTCCACGTGGACTCGACACTATATTTTCCTATTTGTCAGTACAGTATATATAGCTGCCCCGCAACCATTGTATGAACAGGTCATCACGTGATATATTCATTTGTATGAGCAGTGGGTTTCTTTGGCGAAGTACGTTACATATGTGTACTGCGTATATGCGGGCCACACATAAATGGAAAATGACGCAAATGAGACGTCCGTTTCACTCACCATGCGCAATCTATTTTATTCTCTCATTTTTGATCCACGATCTCTCGTTTCACGTATCTTCGAATGACGTGGCTGACGCTAAAGTACAATATATAAAGAAGGTTGTATGCGATATCTTCTATACATCGAAAAGTGGCGGAGCACTAGAATATATAATTTACAAACTTGATTATTTAATCTAGGCTTTTTTTACTAATACGTATTTAATTACAAATATTAATTTTACTTGCACATATGCAGTTACATAATATTTAATAACGGAAATCATAGGCGAAATTGTTCGAAAATGGGTCTTCTTATGTCTAAACTTATAAAAGTATTTGAATCTTTTCAAGACAATCCAGCAAGAATTTTGATGCTTGGAATTGATGGAGCAGGTAAAATATTTTGTAATATTATAATATTTTATTTATCTTTGTAGCGAACCTTCCATGTCGTTAGATAAAGTAATTAATTGGCTATAGTCGCCGAACTAAGTAAAACTAATTTCGTAAAACGAAAATTTCGTAAACGTTTGTTGTAGTATTTGCACAATGAATTGAGTTCAGCATATTGAATATATTCACCAGAATATATTCAAGATATATTTAATTTTGGAACGAATTTTCGACTTAACGACTATGAATTAACAAAGTAAACCTATGAAATCCAGCTAGGTTTTTGACTGGATGTAGACTAAATGACTTTCATATACAGGTAAAACGACAACTCTATACAAACTGAAACTGAACGAAGTTGTGACGACGATTCCAACAATTGGTTTCAACGTAGAAACAGTTAGTCCATGCAAAGGTCTCACATTTACTGTTTGGGATGTGGGTGGTCAAACGAAAATTCGTCCTTTGTGGAGGCATTATTATCAGAATAGCGATGGTAAGCTAATAATGTTATGTTTCTTGGGAGACATTGGGATGGGCTTCGTAATTATAACTGCTGCACTCTTTAAATATAACAAAAATGCTTCGATAGTGTGTGTTTTACACTGCTTTTTAATGCCGAAACGTGTTTTAAACTTAATTTCAAGTAGGAATCAAAAATCTGATGAAAATTGTTGTTTTTTTGTCGATTTTTTGAATACCCCACACAAACCACATACTTTGTATGATTATAAAATTTATATGATCTTGATTGCTACTGACTGCTCAAATGATTCGGTTATAGTATTCTGATGTTCTCTAAAAATTTTTTATTTATAATTCATGTTATAAATTTCACAACCATTTTAGGTCTCATATACGTCATCGATTCCAACGACGCGGAAAGATTTGGTGAATCTCGAGAAGAACTTGGAGCAATCTTGGAATCGGAAGAAATGAAAGGAGTTCCTGTACTTGTGTTAGCAAATAAGCAGGATCTTCCTCATGCTGAACCGCTTGATAAAATGGTCGAATCCCTTGGACTGCGAAATTTGAAACAGGAATGGCATATTCAAGCCTGCTGTGCAGTCACTGGAGACGGCATTATCGAGGGGATGCACAAATTCACCGAATTAGTCAAAAGATTCAAAAGAAGTCGTCAACATTGGTAATGTGTATCAGAGCTAACGTGTATTTTCAGCTTATGGCATTAAGATCATCTGGACCAATATCGCAAAATATGCAGCTCTACATAAAACTTGGTATTACTCTAATATCTAAAGTTTAGTGTTCAGTTTTTCAGCTTCCTACCAATATTCCTACTGCTAATAAAGCGTGTTATAATCAAAACCTTGTGTCTTAATTGCCTCATATATTTTCTATCATTTTATACTTTGTTAAACTAAAATTTATCTAGATTGATATTTCATTTATTTTCTCTACCGGACTGATTCAAAGTTATCTAACTGTTTAAGTGCATAATGTATAAAAGTTTTTTTTAAAGACTGTACATTTTTATAGGATTTTATATCACATTTATTATCTTATATTTGAGTTTTTTAAAAATTTATATGTTGTAATATAAATATTTTATAGTTATTTTATTTTATCTTCAACTATACAGTTAACCACGAATTTTTATAGCCAACAGAATATAAAGTGACTAAATTGTAAAGCAACCAAATGAAGTCACGTTTTAACATTTCTAATTAATTGTTGCGTTTTATCGAGTCCTTATAATAAACTGTTGATTTTCTATACAAATTTCATATCGCCGATTTCAAGCAGGACTGAACCAAATGAGCCATCTTCGTCCATACCCACAATGTCAAGATATAATCCAAGACAACACTTCTTCAAATGTAAAAGATTCTTATTAGTGCAATTTAAAAGTTTAGACAATTCCATAAGAGTATTGATAAACGCATATCTAATTTTATCCTCATAAACAGAAATAAACAGAGAGCAACAAAGAGACGTCTTATTGTCAAGTTACCACAACGCGCTTGATATACTGTTACTGCATTTTAATACTGAGCACGACTATTCGTACATTGTATTGTTTAATTGGCACACTATCTCAATAGTGTTGACACTAGGGGCTGAGAAACCTATTTAATTTATTTTTTGATTCAACTCACGCGACCGATTCGGACTTGATTAGTACATACCAAAAAGATGAAAATACCGCCGCTCACAATGGGGTATTTTGGTTACTCATCCCAAGACTCGTATGGAAAAAATGAGAAACCAAATCATTGAAAACTAAATACATTAAAAATCTATAATTTTTTTTATATAATGTAATATTTTCATTGGGAAAACACCGATACGTAAGTATACCTCGAGGCAATGCACTTCTATATGTAGTTTTTAGGTATGTTTATAGAATCTGTTCGGTATAAGACTGAAGTAGACTTGAAGAATACTAGACCTCAGTTGAGAACTATATCATGAGTGTATGCATTGACAGAGGGTGCTAAGATTTTGTGTAATTGACTAAACGGCATTTCTCATGCAACGATACTTGTAACGAGATTGTAATAGATTGATAAATATCAATAATGCATTCCCTTTCCACAAAATAGTCAGTATATTCTATTGCTGGATCACTCCCGAACTTCTTCAGAAAAAACATATAAGTGTTAAGGTAATATGATGAAGATTTTAGAGTAAAGTTAACGTGCTACTGTGCTATTTTTCTAGCAAAAGTAATCAATTTTGAAATGTATACACTCTCTTTGTATTTTCTATAAATTGTAGTTGTAGTAAATGTAGTAAATACATTGTAGTTGAAAAAAAACATCCATACATATAGTACAATTGTTAACTAGCAGTAACGCAATATAGTCAGTTCATTATTATGTATAAAATAATTACTCAAGTCAAACAATAAACGTTCTTTGGATTCAACTTTACCTCTACCCCGCAATCACTTAACGAGCCTAGTAACAACGAGTGACATTCAACATTATCAAAGAATCCACATGCCTCAAGTTGTCACTCTTTATAAAATTGCAGTACTTTATTTCGATTAAATGAGGTTTTTCTCTGATTTCGATATTTTATTTTCAACTTGTATACATCTTCGTTATTAGATCGTTATAATTTTTCTATTAATATAATTTCAATTACGAGATTTTAATATGTTCAGTCGCTCAATCCTCGCATATATATTTCTTATTATGAGTTGCCCATTTCACATATCGGCATCAAGTTCTGTATGTAAGCAAGTTGAAAACGTTTGGGAAAATTTGTGTTCTGAAGATAAGGAATCATCTGTTGCTATAGAAATCGCTCAGGGAAGACCAGGGAAAAGAGGCCCACCGGGCCAGAAAGGTGACACAGGAAAAACTGGCCCACCAGGTCCGCCAGGAAATTGGGATTATGAGGAAATTCAAAAGAAATTTGATCGAAAACTTCAGTCAGGTATTGATTTAATAAAAGGACTGCGCTTGTAATACTAATCTAATTACCGGAAGACTCTTATAGATTGACTTCTACACACATTATCGGTAAATGTTGACCATTTGAATTTCAGTCGAAGAAAGACACAATAAGGAAACAAGGGAATTGAAAGAAAGAATCAATAGAATGGAAAGCATTATGGAAACTATAAATAAGGAAATGACTACTGCAACTCAAGAAAGTAAAGAAAACTTATTTGTTACTCTGTTAAACAATTTTTATGAAGTATCTTCACGTTTACGTTGACCATAAATTAAAATGTTTTTTTTTATCCTGTTACGATTACGATGTGCTGTATGGCGATATAATGATTTGCCTCTCATTTTTTGTAATTGATTTTTTTGAAATTTTAAATAGTGCCAAAGTAGCTTTTCCGATTCCGTTTCAAATGGACAAGAGTCAATCGTATTATGGATCAATGTTATTTGATGAGTGAAGCAATAAAACTTTTAATTTATAATTACCATTGGAGAATAATACGATTAATCAAGTCAATTTCTTGAAAATCATATTGGTCCAATAACGTGATGAGGTTACTTCTATATACCAAATCTTTAGGATGTCTACAGAATGCTTACCATTTCACCAGCGGTGATCAAATAAAGGATTTTATTCGCGTGAAAACAGTCGTGCCAACCATAACATCTATAACCGTTTGTGCATGGCTGAAACCTCCAAAAGGAAGCGTCGTCAAAGGCAGCTTGATAAGTTATGCAACATCAGCAAGTTCGAATGCATTTTTAGTTTATTTTAACGAAAAAAACGAACTGCAGGTCTTTCTCAACGGCGAAGCTAACCACAAGACGATATCTGTGCGCTTGGAAACTAAAACTCATTTTTGTGTATCTGCTGTACCAGTCGCCGGCTTTGCTGATGTATACATCAACGGAAAACTGTTACTCAGACTGAAATCTACAGAGAAAAGAAATCCTGTAGTTGGAGGAGGTTCTTTGATTATTGGACAAGAGCAAGATTCTGTTGGTGGAGATTTTGCAGCATCACAATCGTTTGCTGGCACTATTGAAAGTTTCATGATGTGGTACAAACAGCTAGATTCCAATCAAATAAAAGATTTATATGAAAACAAGTGTCCATGCTACAAAAAGGACACAAATGCTATTGATGGCAAATTTCTAATCGAAGGCAAAGTTCAATCTGAAATCAAAGCCTGCAAGTACTAAAACAATTTATATAAAGCATATATGATGCATAAAAATGATATATATGTACATGAACAAATATCTAATCAACTGTAAAATTGACAACATTATTGTAAGAGTTTGTATATATATATTGCTTATGCAGGGTGGTCCAAGATTGCGAGGTTGTCGGGCCGCAAAAACTTTTGAGGATGCCTAGCGGGCCGCAGTCGGAGAAAACCCTAAAGTGATCGAAACATCGCGAGTTTGCTTACTTTGAATATATTTGAAAATGAGAGTTTATCGTTCTAATCAGATTTTTAAGGAAGATTAATAACGCCTTTTGTTATTTTAAAATTGCTTCCCGAGAAATTCCGTGGTATTTTCGATATCTTTTCTCATCTTTGGTTTTGTAATGTCTTGAAATTAAATTCTTATGTGACAGATAATACATGAAAACACTTCAGACAATGTGGTTTACGTTGTTGTGGGCAAGGAAATACGTTTCCTCCCAGTTTACCTCGATCACCTTTTTTACACTCATTGTATGATAAATTGTTATATTTGACTAATTTTATGACTTGAAATGGCCAGGTGCTATTGTCAAAGAACGACCAAGTCCGTCTAAGTTGGGACTCCGGAACCAGCCTAAAAAATTGGTTAGTACGGCGCCAGGTCAGCTCTGTGGATCGTCACTGCTGTCATATGGCCAACGCTTGAAAATAGAGGAGTGTTTTTACTAAATTGAAGACACAAAACGTCTCTCCAAATGAGGAGTTACTTGATGCGAGCTTGAGGTACGAAGTTCAGATAAAAAGCGCTACTCGTCTCATCGGCTTGGTCCTGTCTGCACAAGACAATTCATTGTCCTTGTGTACCGATCACCGGACGTCTTTCCCATATTGGCACCGTCTTGCCGTTTATAGATACAACGTTGAAATCCCATGATTTTAACAAACATCAGTCCCGACATGGGGATTAGGAAAAAGGCTATTCCCGGTTAGAATAGTTTAAAAATGATTTCTACCAATGGTTTAAACATTGATGCACGCTAAAATTGTTCTGCGGGCCACACGAAATGTGTCCGCGGTTTGGACCACGCTGGCTTATAGTATTCAATTTTATTTAAGCTCCGACTCCTGCTTGAAAACTGACAGAAGATAAGCATAGCCTATAAGACCTATACGATAAAATTACTGAAACATTATACCAACATAAAAGCTTTTGCAACTCATATAAAAATAAGTTGTGACGCGTTAATACAAAGTTCCGAATGGTCCGAATTTCTGAAATCCTGTTTTTATTGTATATTCTGCAATTCTGCTCATAGTATCTTTCATTCATTCAAAACAAATAAAATTTTAATTGAACAAACATCATAGTTCACGTGGCAATTGTAGTCGAAGAAAAAGTAGTGAAAGTTTACAGCAATGTTTGTGACTGCCATATCTGTAACGTTATCGTGAATAATAGAAAAGCGACAGCTATGACAAAGCAAATTGTATCATGCTCTCATAAAACGTGTATTAAATCAATGCAATAAAAAATTGTATGTTCGTAATTGACACTATTTGGACAGATTTATCTTTTATACCGAGTTATTTGAAACAGTGCCCTGATAAAGAATTTATCATAATAGAATTGTTCAAAGCATCAGTAGGCACCCTGAAAGACGTACAAAATGAATATTGAGTTTCGTTCGACGTGATCTAGGTCCTATAGATAAGTATTCCAACAATATTTATTGGACCTGTTCATTCTATTATATAAATACGAGTAATTTACTAAACTTTGAGTGAGGTAGTAAAAATCGTGATCACTTATAATAAACTGTATTTCTTTCGAATAATGAAAAAGTTATTACTTTTTAGCTGCCATAAACAGCTATATTCAGTTAACCGTTAGTGTAACGTTTGGAAGTAGTAGGCAGTGGAAGTAACATATATATCAATAAATCTTAAAATGTGTCGCCAAATTTTTGCGTTGGTATTAGTCTGCTTAGTTCAGGGACCAACCGCAGCTTTTATTAATAGCCCCGCATGTCAACAAATTGAAACCTTATACCAAACTCTTTGCTCTCGTGACGGCACGCCAGCAGGAGTAACAACTGATGTTGCCTCTTATCAAGGACGTCCGGGCAAGAGAGGTCCGCCAGGACAAAAGGGTGAAGTTGGGGAAGAAGGCGCATTGGGTCCTGCTGCAATGGTGGATTATGATCGTATAGGATCAGAAATTGAGAGAAAAATTTCATTAGGTAATTATTTAATTGCATTAGCTTTGTAATTTAGAATTTTTTATTGCACATTGGCAACTTCCCAAAAGACGAATAAAGTCGTTTTTTACGTTTTACAGTTCAAAGACAATCGAACGTAAAGTTGAATACGCTAACTGCACAAGTTGAAAATTTGAAGGAAAGAATCAGAACATTGGAACTGAGACAAGGTAAGATAGAGTGATAAACTCAAAAATGAAAACCAATATTAACGAGTGAATTAATAATTTAATAATGTTAAAATTCAATCTGATCGCGAATATTTCGGATGTTACTTTTCAGGTGTATGTGATATCAAATACGACGGAAAATGTTTCTGGGTCGAAGTTCGCGATCATTGGTTTTCTGGATATGAAGAAGCAGCCGCATTATGTGCAAAAAAGAACGGAGCTCCGGCAAATATTTATTCTGCAGAACATTTCAACTTAATTATGCCTTATTTGCGCACAAAAATAATGACCGGAAGAGAGTATATTCATCTTTGGCTTGGGATGCGATACGACCCTCGGGTATGATTTGTATAAAGCAAACTCGAATAGAATAGTGACTTCAATGAAATATCAACTATGTGCGTGTGTTATTAAATCCTAGCTAAATATTTCTACAACATTATTGCAACATTACTAGCAGGAGAGTAATAACAATTCGTTATATTAAACTCGACCTACAAATTCACCAAATATGTGAAGCTATGAAGCTTCAGAATGACCATAAAACTGTTTCCAGGTGCAGTTTTACGAGCATTTTAATATATTTTTATTCATTCAGACCAATTTGTTGACGCTGTCTGACGGAAGACCAGCATTGTTTAAGCAGATGTACCCAGGTTATCCTAATAAAAACGTTAAATATACACACATGACAATCGTGCAAAGAATTCCATCAAGTCTTACCAACATCGGTTTTCATAATTTCGACCCGATTTCACAAAGGGAGGGCGCTCTTTGTGAAATTTAATGGATCAATGTTATTTGATGAGTGGAGCAATAAACTTTTGATTTATAATTACCATTGAAGAATAATACGAGTTATGTTGTAGAATAGCGTTATTGTAAATATGTATGTGGTAAAAGCATAAGAATGTACTTTTATAAATAACAAAAATAAATAGCATGTCAGCGGTTGCATAAATTGTCATGTTTTTGAGACTAAGTGGAGGTTGCATGTGACTATGTACAAAAACTTGCCATCTAGTGACAAACTTAGCGATATTACAAATCCCAAATCATACGTTTGGCATTCTATATTTTAGACATTAATTCCTACGACTTGCGCCGCCGTCTATTCTAATTCTTATTGCGCAATTGCGTACATTACGAAATAGCGCATTAAATCTATCATTAATTGCATAAATAAATATTAACGATGTGTTTCGGAATATCTATCAGATTATATATAAGATTGCTGCAAGTCACTCAGTTATGAAGTTAAGGGTAACTAACTAACTATCTATTATTTTGCTCATTTACTCTCCAGTTCTTCTTTTCCTGGCGCCAATCATTTGTTGAGATATTTTATTCCTCTTGTATGCAAGTCCTACGAATGCCATCATATCAATAAATAATGTGGTTGGGTTCAATTTGCTGATTCCAAATTCACTTGTAGAATAGTCTTGGGGAAATGCATGATGATAGTTATGAAAACCTTCACCTGTTGACAAAAAGTTATAATAAATATATAAATCAAATGGTAAATAAACGATATTCACAATCATCAGCTTGATTTTTGTTTAAAGTCGTGTTTGTTTCGCGTTGGTCTTGAGAAAATAAAATAGGACAAGGAAGGGCGGTATTTCCAAATCTTCAAAAATGTTGGTTTCGAGCTCATCCTAATATTTTCTATTCTCAGACGAGATATGAAGAGAATTTTAGTAGACTGCAAGCTGACGCATAACATCGTTTAGAGTGAATGACTTACCCATAGCAAAAAAAGCAACAATTTTATTTTCTCTGGGATTGATGGAGACATCATATGGTCGAGATCCCAACAAATGTGCAAAACTATTCACTGAGAACGCCGCATTGAGCAATACACAATATCTTGCAACGCATGCGCAATATGAATTCCAGAGTGTCTCTTCCCACATGTAGTACGGAATCAAAGTCGGTATGACAAAACACAGTATCAGGGCCATAGGAATAAAATACCTGTTGCAAATATAAGTAAATAGTACTGAAGGTGTGGTATGCTGAGGTGAATAAGTCTATTGGAAATAAGTTTGAATTTTGCTCTTTCTAGCCGAGCCTATTTAGTATTTGGTAGCCTATAATGGTGGTTCCGGGAAATTTATACGGTTCCATTACATTTGAACCCACGTACATTTGAACCCACAACAATTGCACCTGCATACTATTGCACCTGTGGAATTTTGTTTTTGTTTTACGAGTATTTGAACCCATACTAACCCTAACCCATGGGTTTTAGCACCCGCATATAGATTGAACCCGCGGATATACACATGGGTTCAAATGTACGTGGGTTCAAATGCACGGTCACCATTTATACGAATATCTAACAATAACTGCGAGAGAAAGTGCGATACAACCATTTAACCTATCGCAGACAATAGCCGAGCTAAGACGTGTTTCAACTTGTCATTCGTGGTCACCTGCGCTGCCACATTACTACAGGATCCTCTTTTAAGTCATCAAGAGAAAGCTTTTTTCCATTTTTTATTACATCTGGATGTTTTTTAACCAGATGGCAACCAATATGACTGAAGAAAAGGCCTCGCCTGGCATTGTGTGGATCGCCATCTGTTTCTGAACATTTGTGATGCGTTCGATGATCTCGACACCAATCATAAATAGGAACCTGACGTAAACATAAAAGTGTGTATATGAATTATTCTCCTGTGAATATGAATATCTATATATACAAAAAGACTCCGCGAAATAATAAACATTACAGTTGCTTATAAATTTTGCTTTGTGACTTGGCGAAATGTTGGGCATTAGGATGAATGAGAGAGTTTTCCAGGTATGTGGGGTAATGTGTTTTAAAAAGTACCAAGGCTTAAAGTCGTCTTATTTATGTAAGTATATCTAGTGATATTTCCAAGTTTCATAATGTTATTTTCAATGGCTTCACTGTTGTTACACGTCAACTAGTCACTAGAAAATAAAGACGAGTCTATTACCCCCAAGTCGCGATGTATTTTATCATTGTCCAATATATATATATTTATATATTTAATCTAGTCAATATACGTTGAAAGTTTTTTCAGGTCAAAGTTAATGTCAGGTATTATTCTCGAATTATATTATTTCTCGATTTGGTATCATGAGAATGCTCAATAGACGGGTTTAGTTTTGAGGTATTCATTACATATCCAAATAAGACATAGGAAATTTATTTTATTCCCAATAAAGCTAGTCGATCACCCACCTGCCATGCCATACAGTTCACAATTGCCAGAAAAATTCTGAGAGGTAATTTTGCTTTATAGGATCTATGACTCCACAGCCTATGAGCTCCTGCAGTTACGCCCAGACCAGAAAGTATATACATGACTGAGGCTGAAAATTATTATATATTTTCTTATTTATAATCTAAATTGGAAAATGTTTGAAAAGGATAGCTATGCTTCATAACATTTTTCCACTTATGATATATATTTATAACTAGTTGATAAATTTATGACAAATATACGTTTTTAAATAAATTATATAACTATGAAGAAATGCATCTTAAGCAGAAGATCCAATATTCACATGCCAGTAACCTAATCTATTTCAGCAATCTTGATTTGTTATCAGTGCCATGTTAGCAAGCCTAGCTGAGTTTTTTTTTATCTGACAATTACTCGAAAACTAAGAAAACTGGAATAAATGAATTGTCAACTGTGCTAAATATATATACTGTGTGTTTTAGTTGAAAAGAGACAGGTCCCTTTACTTTTAGTTTACTGTTTCAATAGTCTAAGTAAAACTTGAACATACCTAAAAATATTGTGTTCAACTTAAACGTGTGCACGCTTGTCAAAGTATAAATAAATATTATATGAACATATAGGAGGACTATTATTTTCTTCCATATCAGATCATTCCAATAATTTCTTTTGCTGGGTTCTGAAAAGAATTACAATAAGTTTTTGTCAATATTGAACAATAAAAATTATTCATTTTCAATGAACGTCTTTATAAAATTGGTATTTAGCAATTCAACGTTTGTCAAGTTATAATGCATGCAATAACGCATGCATGAATCACAGGAAGCACGCCACTGATAACTTTATTTAGAAATTAAAATGGCTATTACACCGTAATGAAATAAAAATAGGTAAGTCAAAAAAACAATACAAATATTCCATCAGTTAAGCCTAGCTTGTGCAAAGCCGTTGTTGGCGATGGAAACCGTAACCAATCAAACGTCCTAACAACGGCGAAATTCAATCAATTTTTCGTAACTGTTACAATAGCAGAAAAATAATACCAAATTTGCTTTTTTGTTTATTCTGTTTTCGACCGATACCAAATCGAGGCTATTTGCTCTAAGTAAGTTTTAGAGTCACATACTGCAGTCGGTTACCATAATATATCGATCATCTGGACCCGACTGCAAATCGTTTTAATTGTATCAAGCCTATAGGATACGGCCTGAAGAAAATAACCGTGTTCAAGCATTGGATAAATATTATACACCCACTCCTTTGTTCCCCACCCTGTTTTTACCCAAAATGAATATAAATTTACTAGTTTTCAAAATGTAGCTTGTTAGTCTATTTGTTTAGGAAGCACTCGGGCGTTTTAGTTTTTTTGTGGTGAAATGGAAATCGCCACTGGAAGCTCTGGTCAACTTCGATCCTTATGCAGATAAAAGTGTCTAAACTAAACGACACAATCATACTCTACCCGGTGGCCAAAACAGCAAACTTTATTTTATTAATTTTTGTTTTTTGATATTAATGAAGCCCACTGACAGTGGTAAATATTTACACTGAATCTATATTATTAAGTGAAAATTAAAAAAAAACGATAAATATTGATACCTTGGATTTCTTTGGAGTTTATTTCACATAAACGCTGAACGCAGTCATCTGAAGACATATTCTAAGTTCAATATTGGCCTTAGAGTAGAAATTATTCCAACTCTTCTGAATAAGATACATACATAAGGATTCTTTGTCAATACAATTTTTTCTGAAAGGGATTCAAATTGTTGAAAAAACGCCTACTACGAGATGACAACTCAACAATGCGAGTATCAAAACTTACTCTGATGAATCTCATTTCGTTGGGCATAGTCTGTGAACATTGCGCTTGAAGACCATACGCATGCGCACTTCATGAGCTAACTCAAGTTATCAAGAGGTATTATTCCTTTATAATTCTGCATTCTTTTGTGTTTTTATTTTTACCACACAAATGTAAATATCATCCGTTCTAACAGATTTTTTTTCTGTGATTTCTAGCCTCCGAAGTAACCTTGGCTATGCCATCATATCACAAACATTTAAGATATCATCTACTTTTCAATATATAATAATATTTAGGCAACATTTCTTTCATACCGCGATAGATTGCCATCTGTTCTTTATATGCATCATGTCAGCATTTTCCGAGCTATCTCCGGAAACACGACGCTGCTCAAGATGTTACGAATATTTTGACAAATTGCATGCATTTTATTCATGTCGTGAATCAGAATGCTTGCTAATACTTTAATATAATAGGTCTCAGTCAAACACCACTTTCAATGATTCTGATAGTCAAAAAAATATTAGGTATTCGTATTACTTCTCAGTTGTATTGTGTCATTCTAAAACCCATTTATATAGCCATCGGCACAATTGGATTTAAAGATAAGTTGCTAGTGTTGATGGGAAAGCGAGATACTTTGATAATTGCACAATAATAACTACATTGGCAAAAGTAGTAGGTCTTATACGATTAGAAAAAGTTTAACGTAATAATTTACTGGTGGTCCCATATTTATCGTCTCTATTAGATATAGAAGGCTATGATTTTATCAATAAATGATTTCTATTTTTTGACATTGTTCGTATACAATTCCTTTATTTGGTATTTATATTGTACCAACATATATATATATGAATTATATGAGAATGGAAATCAAACTCCCAAGCAATCATGACTTATCCAAGAGACGCCATATTCGTACGTTTAGCAAAGAATATCAAGTGGTTGAGCGCAGTGAATCCCGATCTTTTTCAGTCATGGACTTCTTTCAAAATATTATCATGCCGATGGACACTTACTTTTTTTAAGCCTGACCTAGGCTCATAATTTTACACAGTTACGCTTACATTACTTGATACCAGTGTTGGCACCACCACATACTCCCCACACACAACTTAATGGTATAGTTTTCGATATATAGTTTGGAAATTGGTTATTTCGTGTGTATGTGGATGCAAATGTGCTGTGACCCACAGCGCCATATGTGAGGAAACGGGATATCCGATGCTTAAAGATTAACCCAGTCGGTCACAAACGAATGCTGCTTGTTTCTCTAATTAACGCAGTGATTTTGTGCGAGTTGATGTAGCCTACTTCCAGTTATGGCCATTATCTTCTGCGACCACATCCAACATCGTAGATGTTATGGCTCATACATTTTGCTATTGTTTGTATTGCGGCCCAACAATAAAAGACAATGATATTGAAACAACAGGCCTCAGTAAGAAACTGAATAAAAATTCAGGATTTTTTTTTGTTTATTCAACCAAGCCAATAAAAAACATTGGTGAGTTAGAAAATTGATCTTTTGTACATATTGGGGATTTTCCTAAAGCAACGTTCCCCAACCTGGGAGGAATTCCCTCCGAAGGTGGAATTTTGATGTTCTAGGCGAGGAAATATCCCCTAAATTATCCATATAAAATTAAACAAACACGATACTACCGCCTTTCTAAAAGCGACACAACATGCTGCTACCAATGTAGCCAAGTGTGACGTAATACCTGTAAAAAGTAAGAATTATACACCGCAGCACATATCAGAACCGGTGGCGCAAATAAGGCGAACAGGTAAGATAAACATGAGACCAGTTGCAAGGTTGGGTTCGAATCCCACTGGGTTGATAGCTAGTTATTGAGTAGGGCTTCCCCTTGGGTCAGAGAAGAGGTTAGGAAAGCGACCGATCGGGGGGTTGGTACAGACAGGCTAGAAAAAGGAATGATTGAGAGAGATAGTGAACATATAGAACCGGAGTACATATAGAGAGAAGATAGAACATATAGAGAGTCGCACAGTCATACCAAATTAATGGTCGGGAGAGATGAGGGACGTACAAAACCGAGTTTAGGAAAGAGGCCGCTAGAAAGTGACATAATCGAACCAGGCAAGGGAATCAATGAATGGGTTCCGAAAAGGTAAAGAGCAGACTGAGCCCGGGTCAGAGAAAGGGGTCAAGAGACCCCTAATAAAAATCTTTTACTAATAGTACCTGCAAAAACAATATCTTATCAAAGTATATTTTATACTTTGAACAACTTTAGAACAATCACGACAATTCTACTTTGTTTCACTAAAGTAGATATAGTATATTTCTATTTTGGGGCATTCGTGTTTGAGTGCGATTTTGTGTTTTTAAAAGTATTGACTCCTGCAACAAAAATATTTTATTAATCTTGTATTAATAGGTCATAGAAAATAGAAACATAAGATAGATCTATATCACGTTAAATCTTAAAACTTGCTTTTGCTTGTCAGCTGGTCAAATGCATTCGAAAACACTCGTCACAATGAATCAAACGTAAATGTCAAAATGATGAAGACTGAAGAAACGAATTTTTGTTTGTGTTGTCAAAGGAAAATCCAGTATAGTTTTTCTTGTGTTTTATAAAACATCAAACTATGAATGCAAATGACTCACTTAGGAATCTTGTCTATTCCTGTTTTATTCCCTCGGGATACCTATTCACAGAATGTGTACTCGTGCTAGCATGTCAAAATAAGGAAAAAAAACGTCACATCAGTATGAACTAAAGTTACGGCATTGCTACCAAGAACGCTATGAGGACCGTGCACTAATAAGGTTGTTAGAAAACAATGTCTGGTAAACAATGATGTAATACACATCGCCATACGTAAGATAGCTATCACACACTTCATAGTTAAATAAGTGTTGTAGTAAAGGAGGAAGTCTCAATGAGAAGTCGTATAGGTTTGGTTAAATCACTGACACTCCACGTTGAACATGATTAGTTGTAGGATAGCAAGTTAACGACGTATTTTGAAATTTTCATGAAAAGGCATCACGATCTTGAATGCGAGAAAATATAGTTTATAAACAACCGGGGGAAGCGTATTCAGGAGGCAATTTTTGATTTTTTTTCTTTCTATGCTTTAAAGCAAATTCAATTCGATTCGAGACCTCTTGTAGAAAAGCAAATACGCTTCTAAATGTTAATGGTTTGCAAGCGACCGTTGAATGACATTTTAAACAACCATATGTGTATATACACTGGTCACACTTTTATGTATGTAAATATACACTTGAATGGGTATATTTAAATGGAAAATTCAATAGTCAACTTCAATAGTTAAAGTTTACCTTTCTGTTTTGTATACCGACAAAACATAGGTTATCTTCCATGTCAATAATTGGACATATAGCATTTTAAATGTTATTTTAGGTGTAAGCGAAGGTGTCTTACATTCAGTCTGAATTGAAATCTATTTAATTCAGATGTTGAAACTAGGTCTGTATCACTAAATCGGGCGGTATTGAGTTTTTCAGAGTTTTGCTGCTATATTACTATACTCTTCTTCAATCCTTGTTAGCCATATAGTGTGAAAAGTTATCGTTATCAATACACGCCACATCATATGCAGTATAGTTACGCACGCATATGGTATAGTTTATTCATTTTTATATGTTTCTTATACTTCTCATAGTTCTTCATGATGATAAAGTTTAAATTGCTTAGCTTCTTAATGCTTTTTTGCTGGTCGACAGCATCCTCCAATCCTAGTCCAGTTTGTGTGCATGCCAAGAAGTTATATCAAACGCTTTGTTCCCAAAATGACACACATGCGGAAATCGAACAAGGTCCCCCGGGAAAAAGAGGGCCTGTTGGACCGAAAGGTGAAATTGGGAGACCAGGGCCTATTGGGCCTCCAGCTGCTGTGGACTATAATCGCATTGAAACAGAAATAGAGGAACAAATTTCATCAGGTAGGACGATTATTTATATTATTCTGAATATGCTTAACATCCTTGTGGACAACCTTATTGAATAATAAATGCAAAGAAAATAGTGTATACTCCTAGAATCAGGCTTTGTCATTTTCTGGTATTTGGAGCGAGGAGATGCATTGATGTTTTTCAGAAAAAAAGCGGTTTATACTCCACATCTCAAATTGATTAGGTATTATTAAGATATACCGAATATTAAAAACAAATAGAAAATTATCATTTTGTACTATACTTTTCAGTTCGCAATCTTGCAAACTCGAACGAACGAACTTTTGCCTCAAAAATTGAGAAACTGGAAGAACGAATCAAAATTTTGGAAAGTAGAGAAGGTAACATAGTTTAGTTCTGAAAAATTCTTTATTGAAACAGGCAAATATAAAACGGAGTAATGTATTTTTAATGAAAACACTGCCCTAATAGTTTGTAAAGTCCGCTCAATTGGTTACAACACCCTGGCAAGTCAAGGGCCGAAAGTCGATTGCCAGACTAAATAGTGAAACAAAAGAAGATATATATATAGCGCAATCAGGCATCTAGAACTGCTATTAGAGCGCCACACCCGCAAATATGTGATGACAGTTGATTACACTAAAGTGTGTGATTTATTCAAAAAAAAATCACATTAGCCTTTTCATTTTTATTTTGAGCAGAATACAACTCAAAAAAACCTGAAGCAATCCCAATATTTCTCACGTTTAATACCAGGCGCATGTGAGATAAAGTACAATGGAAAATGTTTCTGGACAGTGACTCTGGACCACTTCGTACCTGGTTATGATAAAGGGGTCGCCATGTGTGCAGAGCGTAATGGATCACCAGCAAATATTTATTCTGAGGAACATTACAATATCATCATGAGATATCTTCGATCGAAGACATTGGCAAAGCTGAGTGCTATTCACCTATGGATAGGAATGCGAACAAATCCAGCCGTATGTATCTCTCTTTTATGAATTTTAGAAAGTTTAAGTGATAAAAATGTGGACCTGTCTATATAATAGTATTTGGGTAGTAATTGGAATCTTCTTTTTGAAGTTTATGGTAATAAGATCTTCACTGTTTTGACTACTTGATCTGACTACTTGATGTGTCCATTTGAATTGAAAAGGGATTTATCATTTTTAAATGATATTGACTACAAAAAACTGTAGATAGTGTAAGTAATAATGCACACACAATGTCTACACATGACGAAGATTTTACTTTTAATTGTTAAATATGGCCAAATATGTTTAGTCAAGCTACGTTATGTGACAGGTAATAATATTTTTTTCAGACTGGAACTGTTACACTTTCCAATGGAAGTCCAGCTCCATTTATGAAATGGTATCCAGGAAGTCCCTCAAAAGATCTTGCTAGAACACACATGACCATTGTTCAAAGAGTTCCATCGTCTAATCCATCCGTTGGTATTCATAACTGGCCACCAACAGCAACCCGAGAAGGCGTACTTTGCGAACTATGAAGCAATGCTGATTTACTGCATTCGTAGGGTATACCGATTGTCGAATAAAATTTAGACTTTAAAATATGTTTTCATGATTTTTGCATGGTAGAAATCCTTTTTACCCTGCTATTTTTCAAGTACTATATCAACCGCTATCAATTGACATATCTGTAGCAAGAATAAATTTTTGTTTACATTTCCGTCAGTATTCTTTCCAATTGAACTTCATTAGAACAAACTTGTATTGAGCCTTATTCTGAGTTAAAAGGTGGTAATTGCAAAAGCACAGAATCTAGGTAAAACATATATGAGCAAGACTGAAAAAATAACTTGAACTCGAAAAATAATTTGAAAGTAATAATTTTCATCTTTTTTTGAAATTTGTCAAACAGTCGTGATCAAAAATGAAAGTTGTTTAGTACTTACAATAAAACGGTATTACAATTTTCAACCTATAGGTATTGTAAACACATAATTAGTTCAAATACATGACGCCTGCGGCATGTTCATGTGACAAGGATTTCTTTCGTAGTACTAACAGAAAATATAAATCCAAATTTATCATTATGCTATTGCTTGTGTGCTGCCCAAACAATTTTTTATACGACTATCCTGTTGAAATTTTGACCGCACTGTTGTTTAGTATGGATGGACAAACTCAATAGAAAGCACTTTTAGGAAACAAAAGTTATTCTCGATGTATGTAATTGAACGTATTGCGTTTCGAAAGATAATATATGGTATATAAGAGTCATGCGGTATATAGCAAGCCGACGATGGTGATGTTCGTTGAATTTTTTGAGCTATTCAATTTCGATATAGATGTTACGACTAGGTCTATATCACGGACTAGGGTCATATTGAGTTTTAGAGGTTTCCTGCTATATTAAACTCTAGTTCTTCAAGCATATTTAACTACAGTGTGTCAATCCTTGCATGAATGCAGGGGCATATTGTGAAGTACCTAATTCTGTTCATCGTGCTGCGAAGAATTTACTCAGTTTATACATTTTATATATAAATCTCTATATTATAGTTCTTCATCATGATAACGTTTAAATTGCTCAGCATCGTGGTGATTTGTAGCGCGCCGACAGCATACTCCGATTCCGGTCCAGATTGTGTGCATGCTAAGCATCTATATCAAACACTTTGTAGGCAGACAGAAATTGAACAAGGTCCTCCGGGAAAAAGAGGGCCCGTTGGACCGAAAGGTGATATCGGGGGACCAGGACCTATTGGGCCTCCAGCTGTTGTGAATTATAATCGAATTGAAACAGAAATAGAGAAACAAATCACAGCAGGTTTGACGATGATTTTTATTTTTTAAAGTCGGTTGGAAATACTTGCGTGCAACTTTTCAATAGTATATACCTCGAGAATAAATTTATCATTTGCTGCGAGGGTTTTTTAATTGAAAAGAAGATAAGAATTTATCTTATGTGAATAAAACCTCAGGAAATTGACCAGGAAACACAAACCTCAAGTAGATTTCAATCATTCCCCTTTTTATAATGCATTTTGATATGATTTTTAAACTCTTCTTTAGGTATTTTTAATATATAGCTAAGGGTATAAAACAAATTAAAAGTAGTCATGTATGATCTTGAATTATTCTGTCATTTTATGTATTTTTTACAGTTCGCGATCTTGCAAACGTAAGAGAACGAAATTTTGCCTCAAAATTGGAGAAGCTGGAAGAACGAATCAAAATTTTGGAAAGTAGAGAAGGTAATCTACATGTAATAAAAACGATTAATGATACTATTTTAGTGTTATTTTTATTTGGAATGGAGCATTTAATTTCGCTCAAAAAGATTTTCTGATAAAGCAGACAAGTATAAAAACGGAGATATGGATTTTGAAATGAACAATAGTCCGCCCAATTTATTGGACCATGATATGTCAGCTACCAAACGTCGATTGCTATGAAAGCGAACAACATAAGTTTCACTGTAATGTCAGCGCAGTCTATCTGATTGAATATTCATTAGAAAAATATGCCTATAAAACTATACAATGACACAATATTATACTAAACTGTGTAATCTATTCAACAATTTTCACAATAGCTTTTTTCAACTTTTCTTCATACTTGACTGAGCAGCAAACGACTCAAAAAATGGAAATCTATCCTACTATTTCTCACTCCTAACCAGGCGCATGTGAGGTAAAGTACAACGGAAAATGCTTCTGGGCGGTGACTTTGGACTCCTCTATTGGTTATGATAAAGGAGTAGACATGTGTGCTGAGCGGAATGGATCACCAGCAAATATATATTCTGAAGAACATTACAATATCATTATGAGATATCTTCGATCAAAAATATTGGCAAAGCTTGGTGTAGTTTATTTATGGATAGGAATGAGAACAAATCCAACTGTAATTATACTTACCTATAAGAAATGTCATAATATTTAAGTGTTATTAGATATTTCAATGGTTTTTAAATGCCGTAATTATAAATTTCCGCTCTGAATTTCCTCTTGGCTAGTTTTCTAAGTTTTGACGTAGTCCCGTAGTATGTGAACCCAGATGGCGTACACCGGAACGTAGTGTGTGTACCAGGTTAGGGTTAGCCATAATTTCAGGTACAAGTCATACGGGAGTCACTTGGCCAGTCCCCGAACTCGCAATAGAACTAAAATAAGGAACATTGGAATAAAATTATGGCCTAACCCTAACCTGGTTCACATACTATGTTCAGGTGTCCGCCGTCTTGGTTCACATACTACGGGAGCGCCGTTTTGACTACCAAATTTATTTTTGATTTCCTGTTTACGTAGCCGAAAGAGATATCATTTATAGTTGTCAAAGAATCTTTCCTATCGAATATTTCGTACATTGTGGGCGTTTTTACATCATATAGCCTATAACACACGAAAAAGATTTTCAATTGAATCATAATTGATTTGCGTCAATGGCCAATCCCACATTGTTACAATATTGGTAATATATAATTTTTTTTTTTTCAGAATGTAATCGTGACACTTTCCAAAGGAAATAGAGCTCCTTTTATAAAATGGTATCCAAGATATCCCTCTAGAGATTCCGATACAACGCACATGACAATTGTTCAAAGAGCTCCAACGACTAATCCATCCGTCGGAATGCACAATATACCACCAACATCAACCCGAACAGGCGTACTTTGTGAATTATAGAACAACAACTGGATGTGAAGAGATTACCATTTAAATTTTTATCATGAATATTTTCTTAGACTGTTCTGGCATTCTAGAACTCTCTTGACGCAGGTGTTTCTATGGCAATGTTGAATTGCTTCAAGTTTCCCTTCAATCGCTATGAAATCTATTTCTTTCGGTATCAGAAATGGTTTCTTTATTATTAGAAATGTAAATTTTTTTTACTGACTGTCCCAAAGTTGAGTTGAGCATTTTCTTGTGATAGAATAATGAAAAAATATATTATACTTCTGTAGAACGAATATCATGTATAGCGTCTCCATTTGCTTTATTCTATTCAATTTTGTAAGCGTGTTTCATGTCCCCAAATAATAAAAAAGCTCAAAGCACTCTCAATATTTTAACGAGCCATGTACGTGTCAACTGGGACTATTGAAGTAGAGTAATATGAAATTGATAGAGAGAAATATTTAATTATTTATATCAACGTCTAGTATTTATGTCAAATTATTCATGTTGCTCTCTGTCACATGCAGTATCGAATTATGTGGATAAATATCAAAAATAGCACGAGACAGACGGGAGAAGTCGCACGATTTAAGGGGAAATAGGGCATCATTCATAAAATGGAACCTAAAATTCACCAACAACCCCAGGCAATAAACGCATGACAATAGTTCAAGCTCTACCTCCCTCCAACATTAGTATACATTACTCAGACGTCATCACAAAAAGACGTTCTTTGCGAGCTATTGACGACTATAGAAAACATCCACGACCGCTATATAAATACATATTAGCGAACGATAAATTAACCATTTAAAAAGTCTAGCTGATTTCACCAAACGCTTTACCTGATGTGTATATATAAAGTATATTTGCGTGTGATATGTATTATGTATATGGCAATTAGATCTTCGTCGTTGATATTCATATACAACTGCTATGTATTTTAAATTTTGTTGATGGAATACTTCGCTATCAGGCATTTAAATACTTTTATCACAAAAATATCTGAGGTCGTATAATATTTGTATTTTATTTTCAGTTATTTTCAGTACAATTCTACCTAAATAAGGAACCTATAGCATAATGTGCCAAACATGTCTACACCTATTGACCAAGTGTGAAGTTAAAAATCAACTGGGGAATCGGGGTAATTTATTGACAACGTTGTGATATCATGTCACCAGCGTCAATTTGATAATTTGGTAAAATCATATGAATATCGCGGTATTTGATCACAATTGATTAAATAGTTGAATCTCACAATTTTATACAAATTAAAATCTATATCATTTGAGTCTACATTTAGCAAAACCTTTCATGAATCACTCATATACTCTTTCCAAACAGAGTTAACGATACCAGTTATTTTTAAAATCTCATTATTAAAGGTACGAAATAACAGTCACCATAATTATTATTCTCGTGTCGATGTGGATTACATGGAATTATGCATTACAACACGTATTAACAGGTCCAGATAGAGTCCCCTATATAATTAAAAATGCTGTTCCGCATTTTCATTTGTGTCTCCGATTTCGGAACCCAAGACTAAATTTTCTGAATGCTACATTTCATACCGTTATGCAGACGTAAGTTGTGTTTTGGCGAAGCCTTTGGTCATAAGCCGGTATTGCTGTAATATTCGCGCAGCCTAGCAATTCAGGTTAGTTAACTTAAAAAATCTTTGTGATGTGGTTTGCCATAATTTCAGTAAAAGTGCAATCAGACAAAAAAATCTGTACAGACTATACCTGTGGGCCGTTCTAATATAAACTAGGTTATGTACTGGATTTTATGCAAGTCAAAGTTGAACTCAGAATAAGCAAATGTGCGTTTGTTTACAGCAAAAAAGAAAGCTGCACTTGATAGCAATTAGATTGTCGCTATAATTTTGATAGATTTGATTTTTAATCTTTCTCAGATTCTTAAATGATTCTTTTGCGGGTTCGGTTCGAAAAATTAGTTTTTAGTTTGAGCCCAAAACTTTGTTGCAAAACAATAGGTTTTCAACAGCAATAAGAGAAATATATAAAACGTTAGATAGAAAAGATTAACCGCATGCCACGTTTCTGTCTCTTTTGAGTTTTGTTCGAACAGAAGTAAGAAACATTCAAGACAAAAACATTGGTACATACAAAGAAGGTGGAATAAAAAAGATGGTAAACAAATATACATAATTTAACAATAAAGATTCACCGATTTTAACATTTTGGCTTTCATGGCTAAAACAAATTATCAAAATTGCCAACGTCTTCAACACTCCTGTCGCAGAAACCCAAATTTATCTATAGCCTACGTGGGATCCATGTTGATTTATTTGATCGGTTTTGAACTTTTCCAAATTATCTGTCAATTCTCTCTTATTTATTCAAGTTCAAGTGAAACTCTGTTTTTAAAAAAAATGATTGATTTCTTAAATTCGTTGTTATATAATTCAAAGGTAGCACGTAATCATAGCCTGGAACGAATTCAATAATGTGCTACTGATGAGAAAATAATTAATTTTTCGACGCCACTGTATAATTTTGTAGACGGAAACTATAGATTTTTGCAAAAACTCAAACTACAAAAACAAACAAATAGGGTAAAAACGCATAAAACAGTATCTCTTCAAAATAGTCCTAACGTAATAGTAATATGATTCAATACAAAAGTATAATTTCAGAATAGCCTAGATGAAATTCCTACCAGTTTTTTCGCATAAGTTCTCAATCTAAATTAGTTAGTTGCACGCTTTAAATCTGTAGGCTCAATTCTTTGAAATTAAATTACAAGCAGAAATTGCGCTCGAGCTATAACCTATATTACAATGAAACAACGATTTGAAGATATAATCTCAATTTGGTATCGTAAGATAGATGCTGGTAACAAAATATCGGTTAATTCAAATGCTTCGTAATATTATGCCAAACAAGCAAATTCTTTGTCATCGCTATTTGAATATATTTAGACTTGCGATTCAAAACGTTAGGATTCACCTCCATGTTATACTGTTGTAGAAGCACACACAGTAGCCAAACCTAAATTGCAATACTACGCATGAATCCTAAATTCCTCTAGCCAATATATGAATGATTTAAACTTGGTCAATCAGATAATATTCAATTTGATAATACACTATTTATAACCGGTAATTTTCAATTTTTGAATATATAATTATTTTATGATCTACATTTTAATGACGATATATCGCCGAACAAATTAGAAGTTCATAAATGACGACCGAGAAATCGTATTGCCTGTCGGAGTAACATCGTTTTTTAATAATTATCGCATGTGTGTTTGTTTATTCTGTTGATGCAGAATATTGATAAGAACAAAGAACTGTTTGGCAGAGTTGACGATATTTCGCGTTTTAAATCTGGGAGCGTGTCTATCAGAGAATCACACCACACCTTGCGGCAACATTGAACGTCACAGGTCTCGCGTTGTGATTTATGCTGAACATATTTCATAATTATTCCACCTATTAGCTAAGAAAATTGTTTTCGTAGACCTAGGGAAAGAGACAATAATTATCATTATGTCGGGCATGGAAATCGAAGAGTTAATTCTAATTAACGAATCAACTCATTTTATCAATATGACTACTATGGAGATGACATCAAGTTCACCTCGTTACATTTCGTAAGTACATTTTTATTTTATAGATTCGAAGTTAGTTACAACAACTTATACATTACAAACAATTTCATTTGCGTCGAACACCGCTGGGTATCAAATTTTTGTTATTAAAGATCAACAGAGATTTCGTGTAACATTAACTATTTTTGATTCCATGCTTTATGAGTTTTCAAAATCTTGTTCAGATATTAGTCATAGCGATGCCGTATAAAGAATAAAGCTTTTTTGTTCAAATTGTTAATTAAAGTAACATGATTCGCACACTAAATAAACATATTTTATCTCCAAGTATAGGTAGTATTCAGCATGTGATTTTACCCTGCTATAAATGATAAACTTGCAATTTGAGTATTAAAAGCGTAATATAGGAAATTCATAATATGTTTTGTAAAAAACTGAACTTATTATGTAATTTGTCCTATACGACAGGAAATTAAAATAATTCAAACCCACTCAAGTAGTAGTTTTGTCGTTCTTGTGGGGGAATTTTGCTTTAGTATTTGCTGTAGTACTACTAATTTATTTTCTTTATCATTGCTATAATATAAATGCATACATTAGAAATACCTGAAGTATGCAAAAGCGGCAGTGCAACTTGCGCATAACAGTAGCTAAGAATTTATTACAGATTGACTAAATAAAGTAGTTTTATTGAATAGTGAGGGGGGAGAAAGAGTTCTCAAATAAGAAAATGGTGAAACTTGACAAAAAAGTTTTGGAACTACTAGTTAATATTGAGGAATTTTATTTTGGGTAATAATGAAATTCCTTCCAAATTTCTGCTATATTTCCTGTCAGGAAATGATCGTAAACTTTTTATTTATATATATATTCAGATTGATGGATCAAGTCTTTTCAATGGCGCAACTCGTTCCGATTTTAATACTGTTTGGTGTTTTCATGATATTTGGAATGCTTGCAAATGCTGTTACATTTATAGTTATATCGAACAGTAAAAAGTAAGTGGAAAATAAATACTGATTTTACCGGTAAAATACCTAATCTTTGTATTCGAATTTTGTAAAACTATTGCAAATGTTAGTACATTTGAATGAAACGAAAAACAACCATAATTTTACTTACTTGGCCATCAGCACATACCTGTGTCTACGGAGGTGGTAATCTGTACGGATCTGCCCAAAGAGTTGACTTGAAACATATAGTCTTCGTACGTAAATTGGATCAGATTATATGTTCTGATAGTACATGTATAACAGTTTTTGACATATCTTTATATTGAACTTTGAAAATAAGATTTATGATAAAACCGGTGGTTGGTGCATCAGTTTTTTTTTTGTAAAATTTACCAACCCATTTTTATATACATATTGTGGTTATACAAAATTTTACAGTGATAGAATTATTTTTTAATATGTTACCAAGAAATATATCCGTTTTACATCAATTCAAAATGAAAAACTTTATTTTACCTTCGTTTGACTGAAATGATATTTACAACTTGAAGATACTTCCGGCATGACAAAACCTCATAAGAAAAAATGGTACTCCTGGAATATGAGCACAAAGATGTCGCATAACCTGAACCATCACCTTAACCATCTTGGTGCGCATAATTCAGGAGGTCCGAAAATATATCCCGTTCTTCACGTAACTAAGTTTACGGCACCTACCTGATGTTGAGTTCTGCCTACATAGGACATACTTGTAACAATCGATAATTTACGTGCACCAAGCGATAGATCCTCTTTCATAAATCAAAACTGAAAGCTAGGCATAGATCGTGAATGGAGTTGTATTTAACAGAGTACTGAAGCAATCCCCTATATTCGTCAATGTCCAAGGATTGGGAAAGAAAATTCAAGTGTCATAAGAAATTGTACCACAATTTGGGGCCAGTTGGCGCATATTAATTCTTGAAATTTAGGGGCAATAGTCGACTGATGATTTGGAGAAATAATATATAGTAAACATTACGGGGGAAAATTAAATCAGCACAATAAAATTGTAACTTGAGTACAAATTATTTATGTTTTGCATTCAGTTCCAAATTATTTTCAGTTTACTTTTATTTTGGTATGTTGATATAATTGTCGATCGATCAAAATATTTTAATAGTTTCGATAATAAGTATAAAGTACTTTAATTCAAGTAATTTCAAACTAGCCAATTACATACTCAGCTTAAATAACATTTCGCCAATTAAAATAAATTAGTCCAAATTGCCTCACACATCATGCGTATTCAAATCCATAACAAAAATCGTCGCTTTACGTAACTTATTGACACAGTGAATGAGACGAGTGATCGAACTGCCAGGATGCAAAATAAATTTTTAAAAGACATATAACCACGTCGCCACGGATTTCATCTATATTGTGACGTAAACAATCATAAATATTTATAATCATCACCTCGTTTCGAATCATAGTGACGTTTCGTTTATCTGTCAGCTCAATAAAAGGATCATTTGAAACAAAATGTTGTATTCAATAATGCGGGAGGAAGTAAATTTCTTCCAATGGAATTCTAAATTGAATTTGAGGTAATATAAACTTGCTTTTTATTTCAAATTTTTTTGTTTGCAGGACGGCTTTTAACGTATTCATTATGAGTTTGTGCGTTTCTGATTTTTTATCAGCAGTCAACAGTCCCTTGATTGTCTACAGAGCTTTGAAAGCATTTGACGATTATCGACTCCCCGTATTTTTTTGCAAGGTAAGATTAATCTCGTTGATATGATAGGATTTTCCTCTTTAACCCGTGGGAGAAGAAAGTCGATGAGACGACTTAATGATGTGGCTGACATTACACGGCCTCTCGTCCGGTCACCAGTCCATGTCGGGTATGCAATTAGTTAACGCGGTATTTTTTCAGATGTATTGAATTTGGTGATTTATTATTTAAAACATAACAAATAGCTAGACATAATAATGAGGTGCAAATTATGACGTCATTTAAAAGTTGGAAACTATAGTTCATTTTACTTTAGCTTAACACATTTTACTTCAATGACGTCGTTACATTATCGAAATTCTTCATCGCTATTTGGATGGAGAAACGAGCCATGTACATGTTTACTATAAGTTGCAAATGTTATGAACTGAAGACAATTTTTGAACCCCAAAAATTAAATACTTCGCTATCCTCAGTCGAGAGATGTTACTTCGAAATGTTTATTTCGTGCCGTTCCCTGATGTAGCATCTCTGTATACACTCTGACTCAGCTTTGTAGAGTGTTTTGTCCAATTTAATTTCTGCATTGTCCGTATTTACCATTTTCGTTTTTTCGTTATATATGAAATATATATAGCCCCGGTTCATCCCTTAAATAATATTTTGCCATAATCATTAGTGTGGTTATAGAGCTAACACTTTCGTGTAATATACTTTTATCAGAAGCGAACTAAACTTTTTCCAATTTAACAGTAATTTGACTCTTTTATAGCTTGGATTAAGCATTGACTATTGGACATCAATTTCAACGATTCAACATATTTTAATCTTCAGTTTTCTTCGACTTTACTGCATCAAGTTTCCTCATAAATTCAACAGAATAACTGTAAATGGTTCGACGGTGAGATATACAAAACGATATAGCAATATAAAAAGTGTTTCTATGAATTAAAATAATACATCAAAACTTTGGGGGGAAATTTGGTCCCGTGGAATTCAGAATAATTCGAAAACGAGAATATCGGTCGGAGACCGAAGATTTCGCGTGCATCTAACAGACAGACATACAAATACCTATCAACATACTTACCGATTAAAATCGATAAGTAATAACTTCTTTCGTATGGTTTATACGAGATCAGTTAATAACTTGTATTAATTTATGCCAATCGTAGAATTCAGACTAAACAGAGAGAATAATTAATCAAAATGCTTGAGGTTCGCTGTTGTGCTATCCTCCATTGGGTACTATTTATTTGCTTGTTTGATTCCTCAATTTTTTATTAATTTCACAGATTAGCATTGTTATCATCTGGTTCGAGACATTTTTTGTTGGCTTTTTGGTCTACATGTTGTGGCCCGATGTTCAATACCTTCCTGATACTATTCCTCCGCGATTCAAATGTGGAATGACACGAGCTTGGTGAGCCCGTTAAACTTTTATGTACATACAAGCTGATCGCATAAAACCACTTTTTGAAGAATGAATACCCTCTCTAAAGTGCAATTTTTGTATTATCATAGATTCTGTTGGATGTTCTTTTTTAAATTCAGCGACAAATAGTTTCAATTCCATTCTAAAGTATATATATGTTTGCTCTCACATATCAGGGTAGCATGCCTAATTTCATATTCCTTTCGGTCAGCTTTTCTCCAAATTCACCCTATTATTTGATATATTTGTGACTCAATGTTTTATTAGAAGCCAGTCATTTTTTAAAAGAATATAAGAATGTTATGTCTGACTCTTGGCAAATGTCAACACTCGTTTTATCAAAACAACAAAAACAACCAAAGCATACTTGTACGTTATTGTGACAGGTCATTGCATTCCACTTTTTCATATGACATTCATTATCATCCGTTCTATTCTTTCGATCAGTTTAAAAATTTCACGCTTTTCAATATAAGCTTCAACCAACCTACGATTAAAGTCTTCGTAAATAAATCCCGACTGTTATCGAAACATTTTATTAGTGGTTGATCTGTTTCTTACTTTAAAAGGTGTGGTAAAAAGTATTAAATTTCATTATTTTAAGACATCCTCTTCCATTTATGGCCACCTTTAGCACGAGAAGAATGTATTTAAAATGTCTGACAGGTGATGATGCACCATATAAATGGTTTATTTTCATATCAAAGCTCATTTGAATATACGATCGTAACTGCGATATCCGGTAATTTTGAAAATTTCAAGAAAATTTGTATTTTCCTACCGGCGATAAGGCAGCAATTATTGGGGATTAGTAGTAGATTGCTTTGCTTATTGCACAAGAATAAATTGTCGACGGAAAATACGCTGGTCGAAATTTAGACGCCCATCACTTCGAAATTATTAGGTTTAGTTTTGACGTATCAAATAAAATCACAATTTTAATCCAGGGCACCAACCATGTTTCAATACGCCATGATCGCGTTTCCAATTTTCATCTACGCGCCAATGGTCTTAATTTTGCTGACATGTTTAGCGGTAGCAATTGTTTTGCTGCAGAGAAGACGTGATAAAGAAATAGGTAAGCCTAAGATTCTCTCTCTTTCTCGTTTCCCTTTTTCACTAATTTCTGTCACATCTTTAATGAATGGTATTTCTAGGCGGACGAGTAGGAAGCAAAAAAGAAAGATTTGCATTACTGCAACTGGCACTCATTGTCATCTCGTTTCTAATCGGGTATTCAGCTGATGCATGTAAGTTTTTAGTAATGTGCAAGTGGCAGGTAACATGTGTAATGTACAGTTTTTATCGAATCGCTTTTAAAACTGAGACATTTTATTTATATTGCATATGAATATTTGTAAACACCATAGATTATTAACAGAGTAGGAAAAATAGGAACTGTCATTTTTAGGCAAATAGTAGTAGTACCTGAACAAATACATTCTAATTGTCAACTCGACTCAATCAATGTAATTTAATTTTATATATTCATCAGCTTTCACATGAGTTATACTTTTTTTTTTAATTTATTAAAATATATAGCTTATCGCGTGACTGCAATATCATCAATTCAGAGAGGAAAGCCGATCTCAGCTCGAACAGAATTGATTTACAGCCTAATATCGCATTGTCTGTTGCGATTATCTGAATGTCTAAACCCGATTTTTTACAATTTTTCATCCAGGTATAATATATATATATAAATTCATTTGATCTTTTTTGTTAGAGCCAAATTGTACCTACCTATTGTTTTATTTTTGCTGTGAAAAAAGTGCTAATGAAGCAATCGATATCAAATTTTCATCACTTAAAGATGGAAGAAGTCTCTAGAAGGCTATCAGTTTAATTTGTTAATATCTTGTCTGGGTGCTATGGGGCTCGTTATTCACCACGAATTTCGCTATTTTGTGCATATTGCGTCCTTGCTATGATAGTGGGTTGTAATTCTTGCTTAAAATTTTTAAATGATCAGGTATAAGATTTCCACTGCGGTTAGTCGTTTGATCGTCGTGTCAATACATCTGAGCATTGCTCCATTTTGACGAGTACGGCGCAACAATAAAATTTTTGAATAGTGTTCTAAAACTTAGCAGTGATTGTTTCCATAAACTTTTTCTAATGTGTCCATAAATGTGCACCAAAGAGTCCTATCCATAAAAATCGTTAACGCAAAAATACCAACTATTACAGCGAGCTACGGAGTGCAACGAAGAAGTATATTCTTCAGAAGTTTGAAACAATTTCTTCCTCCAAAATTGGCCCGCTAGACACAACCAAAAAACACCAATCAAGCGACACGGGAACAACTTCAAAACGAATTTCTTCGTCAACATAACGAACGAATGAGAGAATTTTCAGTTTCGTTTTCTCATTTAGTCGAAAGGACTGGAATGGTTTTACAATTGTTGCTGCAATTTGAAATCGTACAATGTTTTTATTTATATTTTCAACTGTCAACTGCTTTCATGTCAACTGCTGTTACAAAAACATTCTAGTCAGCTAGGGTTAATAAGTTACATGTAAATATTGTGATTTGCACATTTTGTTGTCGAAAAAAACTTTGTCTATTTGCATAATTTTTATATAATTTCAACTACACTATGAGTTGCATATTTACTAAAATAACTGCCGTAATTATAATTTGTGACCAAAGTTGAAAAACGAGCACAAAATGTCATCAATAGCACTATTATTAGTTTCAAACTCGTACTATCTGTACTGTAGTCACTTACTGATCTACAGAGCACATAAATTCTGGCATGGAATGTTTTAGATCGGTACATTAGCTCGGATTTTTTAATGTGACAAGAGTATAATATACAATCATTAACTTACACGCGACTTTTGTCGTGAATTCTTTTTTGTAGGTTCGAATTACTATTTAAAAAAGTTTTATTACGCTGGACAATAGTCAATTAGACTGCTCATTTTGTCCATTTGGAGTTAGACAATTGTACAGTGTCCTATTTTGCACAATTTATTTCTCTGTTGTGGTCAGACTTCGTAAACGTTCTCTTTTATTGTGAACATTTCTTTTTCTGTTGTGGTCACACTTCGTGAAAAGAAGCAGTGCTATTTCAGAAGCCGTGCTAAATCATCAGTAACTTTGCCAACGTCGGTCACTGATTTATTGAATAGTCTTAATTGCATTACAAAGATTCGGCTGATTCCTCGTAAAACTACCGTTTTTTTCGATAACTGAAAACATGTTTAAAAACATTTAGCCCGCGCATTTTATTAGAAATCCGTGCCATAAATTTTGATTCCATTTGTTACAGTTAGTTCAAATCCTATCTACGGCTCTATTTATAACTTTCTTTTTGTTTTTAATTGATATTTACTATTTTTTACTTGTTGTTCATGGAATGGGAGTCCGATATCTTCATGCATCTATGTGCTTTCCTATGAGATTCTTGCTGTAAGCTAACAACGAATTACTAACGTGAATCTAACTGGAAAATTTCAACGAGTTCAAGTTTTGGTATCTTGATGTTGTACCTTTGTTGTATTCTTATTTTAAAATATAATTGTCAAAAATATTACATATATATATACTGTACTTGTTTTTTTGTTTAAGGGTAGACCCGAGTAATGGTTGAAAACGCATCAACAAATTTCCTAATGTTTGATAAGTTATAGTATTATATGTAAGCTTTCCCCTCAATAATTTCCGTCAAAAACTAATTTTTAAATTTTCGTTTTAGCCTAAAGACGGCAGTATGCAATAATAAATCATTATATTTAAACCCGCCTTGTTTAATGAGGCGAACGCTACGTTGATGGCAATGGGATAACTATTATAACTACATCCTTCTACTGGGTGATAATAGGGTAAGGGATCATTTGTACAAATCGGTTTACTAACTGCAAAACATTAGAAAATATAGGATTAAATCGAAGACGAGATGATAGTATCATTCTTTCAAAATTATACATAAAGTAAATAATTGATCCTAATTGCAATACATTAGTGTCGTGTACAATGTTGTCACATTTTAGTTAGATATAATTCCAAATGCATTTACCAAGAAATCTGGGAAGCGAGCGACTGAAAGGATAGTCGACTATTCAAATTTTACCAAAACCAGCCTAAAAATATCAGGAAAAGCCCCTTTCAATCTAATTTGAGTTTCTTTTACCAGATGTTTCGACTTTTTTTAAATATTTACCTAGAAATGATTAATGCATTTAAGCTACGATTGCGAGATGTTTGGCTTTTAATTATATTGAAAATACTGTATTATTATAGCATTAGTCAGTATCCGGAATTTATGATAAACTCTACAAACCATTGATGAGGTAAAGCCGAGGTAACGGAGGTATTTTTGCACAACCAAGAAAGGATCATTTTTATGAAACTTATATTAATTTACCTCGTCCAACATGTGGAATTTGTAATTAACTTTTAGCTAGGTTGCGTACTTCAAGTATATAGCGTGTACGTGACATGCTACAGGCAGGTCTATCTATTGTCGTTGTTTGTCAAGGCAGTTCAAGCGAGGCTAAAACAAACTACTGTCTATCGGCATATTTCTGATTACGGTTTGTCTTTAGCAAGCGTTTGAGACAAAGTCCACCCGTGCTTAGTATTTAAACAAGTCGTGCGTGTCGGTTGACAAACTAAACGAGTGTGTAAAAGCTAGCCTACATAGTAAGCTGTTAGCTGAGATGGTACCCACGCGCAGTATAGATATAGCCTACTGAGGATACGGCAAATACATAATATTTCGACAATATAAAAAGAGTTAGAGTAGGGCAAAGAGGGAGGTTATATACATATTCCGCACATTAGCATGTTTACTCGAGAAATTCGTTTGCCGCAGCGATTATTATGCAGATTGAAATCATAAAAGGGGAACCCGCGCTACATGCAGTTAGAATGAAATAGCCTACATTTGCGAACTTCCAAGTACCAAATGCATGTATATCAATAATCTCATTGCTCAAAAAGCTACTGTCTCGGTTTTCATTTTACGTGGTGAGCTGTGAGTGTGAACCAGCGTATAATGCATTACGACCGTCAGTGAGTATTATTACAAAATATCTCTTTTGTAATGATGTAGAAAATGAAATTTACGTGCGCAAAAATTCGCGGGGTTAACAACTTTTTAAATTACAGTATTAGTGACCAATATGCCGTTATTTTGTGTGCAGAAAAAGCTGGTCTAGTGAATAGCATAAATATTTTAGAGAGCTTAGCGTCTGGATTTATCGGGCGAAACTTTTTTAGACACTCGAAGCTATCTGAATTCATATGGTTGCAAATGTCCGTCATCAGCAAAATTGGAAGTGATAAAATACTTGGACCACTGGACTCTGTTCACTATACATGTTACGAAGTGGGTCATACATGGAATAGTTCTTGTCTGTTAACCTATCTTGACACGTTTCATAAAGCCTTCGCATATTCTCTAAAGCTCTATGCACCATTCTATGCGCTTAGTGCTTTGTGGAAATTTCGAAAAAAGACAACAGACAAAAGAAAATTGATGAAAAATGCTCTTTTATCAACTTTGAGATCAAGTTTTTTTCTAGCAATGAATGGAACCTACTTCATAATTGTATTCTGCTGTTATGGTAAGATCGTTGGAAAGTATCACGGCATTGCCGGTTTTATCGTTGGAGCAGTGGCATCATTTTTAAGCATAATTTTAGAAAGAAGCTCGAGGAGAGGAATGCTTTCAATTTACTCGTTGAATCTCGCCCTTGAAACTTTGTTCAAAATGTCTGTATCAAGAGGGTTTGTTTCTCGTATTAATGGGGGTGAAGTTTATCTATTCGCGTTCACAAATCTTGTATACATGCGCCTATTCAGATCATCGAATTTACCACCTGTCATTCAATCTGTTGTTGAAAAGATAATGGGCAAGGAAGAAACCATGACTATTTTACCAGGAGAGAGGAGGTTGTCATCTGATACTTTAGTTGACAATACCAAGCTTTCACAATCTTTCCTTCGTGCCAAAAAGCTGCACGATTTTGTCTTGAAGAACCTTAATAGGCTTGGTCCTAATACGCCCTGCTGTAAACACAACAGCAGTTGTTCCGTGTATGTAATTAAAGGGACATTAAAGTATTTTTCTCTTGGCTGTGCGTTTCATGTACTTCTTAAGTACCGGACAATACTACAATCAATACTTACCAGAAACACATCACTATTAAAAAAAGCATTTTCTGATCTTTCTTTAGCTAAATTTTTTTGTGCGTATGTGGCCCTTTTCAGAGTAGTTAATTGTTCTCTTAGATGGATGACATCCAGTGATAATCCTAAACTTTTCGGAAGTATTGCAGGCCTTATATCCGGATTCAGCTCTGTGTTTTATCCCAGTACCGGCATAGCAATGTATGTTTTTACCAAATTACTTGATATATTATGTATGAAAGCTGTCTCTGCAAACTGGTTCCCACGTATCCCCCATTTTGATATAGTGGTGTACAGCTTTAGCTTAGGAATACTATTCCATGCTGCTGTATTCGAGCCTCACAACATTCGTCCTTCTTATTGGAGTTTTTTAAAAGCGTTGAGCGGTTATAAATTTCCATTAATGTTCAGAAAATTATTAGATAAATTTGGTACTGAAGCTTCAAGAATGTATCCAGACTTTGTTCCGGATTTAGACCCAAAATATGTGAAAACAGAAGAAGTCAAACGAGTTTTGGCGCAGTTTGGCAAATGGCGATGACATTATTCAGTTGTATTTTGTGACTTATATTCTGATTTATGACGTTTGCTTTGTCCTGTTTTTTTCCCAATCCGTAATGGACACAAAATTATGAATCCGATATTGTAATCAATTAATTATATGATATTTTTGCATTGTTAATATTTACGAATTACAAATACTATGCATTTGGGTTTAATAATTATAATAAATCTCGTTTGTTTTTTGTAGTGATTTAACTGAATGTACTGAACTATTACAATAGATGTTGAAAATCAGCTTGTGGCATTGCACCTATTTCATTGTAATTACGAATGAAAATTCAAACCGTGTATTCTGTTTGTGTTTCTGATACCTCTCTAAACTATGAATTTCTATTAACACTGGTTTGAAAAGTCAGTTGGGACTCTTGCCGCATTTCGTCATGATCACAAAAAGATACAATAGGCTCAGCCCAGCGATATATTTCCAAACTTACTAAAATTTTACATAAGTTAATCTCTAAGCTCACTAAAATAGTACATTGGTTAGCACAATTCTTCGCGTATTGACAATTAATTTACCAATGTTCTAGTAAAAGCGTACTGTTTATTTACCAGTCCAGAAAGCAGTCAATTCCTACGGAATTTGGCCTGTTTGTGTTTGTCATCTGACTGTGTATTTTAACCTTTTTGACATCACAGCCTCACACAAACATGTAAAAACCGGAGCATCACAATCGTAAACCAACCGAAATCTTTGGCCCATATATATAATAAACTCCTATTGGACACGAAATGTACATATGGATCGTTTTGGTATCATCATTTTTCGTTCTCGCATTTTTACTTCCCCATTTTTGATAATGTCGAAATATTCAATTTGAAAATGAGATTTCTATATGTACAACTTCGTACTATTTGCTGTTAATTAGATGTTCATGCATGGCCACATCTTTGTGCAATTACTAAGTTGTAGACGGCACTGGGTGCTGAGTCTGCGCTGTACAAACAACCACATTCTAGTGCTGATATGTTTCTTAACATGGCAGACTTACCCAAAGTAAATGAATTCACCTTTGAGCAAGAAACTGAAAACGCACAGAAGTATGGTGGTACATTACGTGGCAGTAAAACCTGACTGACAGCAAAATTTTTGGAAACTTTAGACTTTTAGTAGTAATTTACCCCAATGTCTATTTCATATGCATGTAAACCCTTCTTTCGGAATGAGCAGTTGATAGTGATAAGATATATACTTTATTATATATATACTTGTACTTCATGAGTATGATCGAGTACCAATATGTATTATGATGGATGGTGAAAGTGATTATGAGAATGTCGGCTGCATATAGAAAAAGGGTAAGAGCCTGGGATTTAAGGGTTACTCTGAGTAGCATAGTGGAAATATATATATATATAACATCTTGCAAAAGTATCATGTCTTTTTGAAGCATCTGGGCTGAGGAAAAGTCACATTGTCAGGAAGCCCATCACCATTCAGTCAGATTCCGTATCATATTTCGATTTCTGGTAACCAAATTCAATCCGGAATAAACTTCTAATCTATACAAGATGAACGCAGTTTGACATCCATGAAGAGTTATGTACATTCAAGTTATTCGTGGAATCCGTTTTCACAGACGCATCACAATCGATAGGAACTGTAAACAATTGTACCGTTATTAGATTATTAAACTCTTCAATTGTATGGTTAAGTGAGTCAGTCTTCATATTATTATACAAGTAATAACATTAGAGTGTAGTTCACGAAAATGGAATATCCATACTATCGAGAAAGCACCCTACAGGATTAAGCAGGGGGAAATAGGGATGTTAGCGTTTTCGATTCAAACTATATAATATATATACAGACACCACACTATTGGTCAGAAGAGTGGTATGTATTTGACTAATTGGAAACCTATTTTGATTTCCAACTTCAATCAAATATTTATATTGATACTCGTGCGTATTTTGCAAATAGCAACTTTAAGTCAAATTGAAAAACGTTAAAAAAATCATTCCCACTGACGTCAGATATAATAAATACATTGCATTGCATTTTGTATCAAAATATAAAAAATAAAAATATATTACGTCGTCCAAGGTGAAAACTGCTTTTCCGTAAGTCGCACTGGGACCATTTACGTCGGTGTGCTCTTTGAACTTTTCTGAATCCAATAATAAAATATGCATATAATATATAACTACCGAAATAAATATGTTAAAATTATTTTGATATCCAGTAAAACACTTATATATTTTAAAGTTTTCAAAATAGGAATGATCATAAAACAGACGCTCAACTATGTGTATTAAGTATAGAAGTTCCCTAAAATTAGAAAATAAAAAATCACGCGGTTCTCAAAATTATGGACAGATACAGCGACATACATCTCACTAAATGGTAAACTAGTTATGATTACAATTAAATAAAAAATTGTGTCTCGTGCACATTACCCATTGTTTTGGTCAGTCTACTTGCAATCATTAGAGCGTTAGAGGTGGAGATTTTATTTTTGTTGTTTCTAAATCCCAAGTAGATTGAAGACAAAGTTCCGTTCGACAAGGAAATGCCAGCTGTTTCAACAAAATAAAAAGTATATTTGTTACATGAGTAAACTGTTATTCAAATAAAATTTAAAAGTCTAGTTTCAGCTCGACAAAAGATGTACGGAAAGCTACACGTACACAGATAATCGTTTTGCAGTCATTTTACACATATACATCAACATAGGACAGCGTTAAGTATAAATTTTCGGAAATAGTCTCATTCACCTGCATCCCGCACGAAATCTCTCAGTTCGTAGACATCCAAGTCGTTACTCTTGCCTGGATCACGCTTTTCACAAAAGTACTAAAATTTCAAACAATAAAAACAATAATCAGTTGGATTAAAAACAATATATTACTCGTCGGCTCCTGCTTGATACAAGCCGAGTGTATAGGTCATTTTATTTTTCATTTCAAATAGATTGAAAATTCTAGTTCGTGAAAAGATTGGAAGTGATAAAATAGTTAATTGAATTATAATTCAAGGGTGGCCAACCTGCTTTCGACTAAAATCTTCAAAATAGCTCGCGATCGACTGATTGGTAATAGGGTCATACACGAAAACGAATAGGTACTGAATATGCAGATAACGACACACACACGTACAAAAATTCCTTCGCTGCCAATAGGCTCGGGTCTGTGGGTGCATTCTTAATGAAATCGCCACAAAAAGCATCATCCATTCAAGATTTATTCAAATAATACAATTCAGATATGAGGTCTGCCTACTTCTTAGTCGTAAGTGTTAAAAATTTACTAAAAAAAACTTGATAAGTATCCATGTATCATCTAACCAGCGACATATAACTATTTTCAAAAATGTTACATGACTGATCAAACTTCAGTATCTAATTTACAGTTTCCTCCAAGTCCGATTCTTCGCTCGCTTGGAATTTGAAAAATGTGTGACTTTCGACAATTACTTTCGCACACAGCAGAAGTTATTGTAAGATCGTTCGCCAGTCAAGACCAGGGTTGCCAGATTTCAGCGATTAAAAAAAGTCAAATCAAGACATGAAAAAGCCAGATAAAGTCAACAATATTACCAAGTACAAAAGCCCAATGATTTGTCAAAGTTGAAGCCCTTGGCACAATAGTGGATTTACACAGCTTGCAATATGCTGATTTAGAGCCATCAGTTCATTTAGTGAGTGAGTCAAATAAATTTCTTGAAAGTTGTATTTTCGGTTGCTATCATGCCGATTTCCACTTCAGCGAGATGCATGGTTTAAAAGTCACGCCCAACGTGTTTGAAAAAAAGCCAAAAATGGTAAATTTGGCATTAAAAAGGCGACCCTGGTCAAGACACGCGCTATTTACTATACGGCTCATTCATTCCTAAACTTTGGCAGCGACGGAACTTGCATTTGTTACGTAATAATATGCTTTATCGGATTGGCCCAGACTCAAATAGTATACTGTATTTTGCGCATGAACAGTACTGTTTCTTGTTTTAAAACACACAATAAGCTCTGCATGTAAATGGTTCAAGGCAATTTTTAGGGTATGTCATTAAATTTTCTCAACATTAGACGCGATCAACCACTCGAGACATGGCGATTGACCTGTCGGCGCGATCACGTGTTGGCCACCCCTGAATTATATATTTAAAAGTAATTTGAATTTAATTTAAATACCTGCCTCACTTAAAGATATTTTATATGATTACTTTACTAAACATCAACAGTTGATGATGGACTGAGAATTTACTTTTCACCGCACTACACGATGGCCTCAATCACATATATATAGCAAAGTACAATCCGACAATGCTCATTTGGATTGCTATACTTACAATCCACTTTCTAATGTTCGTCCATAATTTTTTAAACTCTTCAAAGTCCAAATTGGCGTCCTCGTCTTTCTGTTTGATGGGTGGTCAAGGAATAAATATGTATTGACTTTAGTTATCACTTCCTCGCATTCGCTTACACAAAATTAGAGGGGAATTTGCATATTCAATAAAATTCAAAATAAATTAATAAATAAAGACAAAAATGTTCATGGTAGCAAATAATGCATATAATCAATAGATTTCATCAATTAAGTATTTGCGCATATTATAAAGCAGTATTAGCTGTGAGTATTAAAGCAGTCCTAAACGGTTAAAGCATTTTTGCTGCAAATATTTGCTTTAAAAGGATACGTCGAATGTTGCCACCAAAGCTCTCACAACTCCGATATCTACGATAACGTTTTCTGAAAAAAGAAATCAGCAGTATCGAGACTTATATATTAGGTGATAATCAACCTATTAGGCACACTGCCTTTTCAAAATAAATACCTGCTTTCAGAGTAGTAGTAAGAATTTCTTTCAGCTCAAACGCATCAATTACTCCATCCTGAACATAAAAACATGGTAATAAATGGGATACGTCATTTTCCACTTGGCTAGAGGCAATCGAATTGGGTTGTACTCAAAATCTTTTTATTGCAGATTGCCATTACATTTCGAATAAGATTTTTCAAATGAGTAAATGACTATTAACTGACAAACATCAATTCCAAATGGATACATTCATATTACCCTCCCGGCCAAGCTCTCGAAAAGTTTTCTGAATTTTTCATCGACTGTCGAATTTTCCTCCTTAATACAAAATTAATTTTTTATAAAATAATAATCAATAAAAACACCGTACATTGTTGACATTCCTTTTCATAATTGATGAGATCAGAACACCGCATGGTAGTTATAAAATCCACGTTTTTGGAAATTAGAAAATTTAAATGATGCCCATATTAGGAATATTAAAGCCTATATCAGAAATGGTTGATTAATACAGATTTTTTTACTCGAAAATTTTTAATTTTACTATAAGAAAGAAATTCGCACTTTCGTCTCAATACCAATCTAGAAATCCAATTCGTGTCCAACAAGAACTGCGTTACAGTATAGTAACAATTGATATTAATAATATATGAAATAAAATATCTTACCAGATATGAAAAAAATTGTTATTTCGAATCGAATGGTTCTGCGATTTATGAAAAGCAGTTGAAAATATCAATTTAAATGTATTTTAAACTGGTTCACTCAAAATATTTGGTTAATTTTTTATATCGACTACGAATGAGAATGTAAACCAACCTCGGTAACCATGGTTCCTCCAATAGGCTTTGTTTCAGATGTATCAGTTGATACCCTATAAGAAACGGAACATACTTGTCATCATTTCGAATCCCATACCAGATAAATTATACCGGTACTAAGAAGAATGAGAGCACGTGGACTCGATACGATTACACCACTAAGTCAGATTTAAATTGATTGAAGTGGGAAATTTAGTTTTTATAGAGTGTACCACTTATTTCAAAAGGTCTGGTAGAAGATAAGACGCATTTGTAAAAACAGAATGAGCAGAATTATTGGCATAGGGAAAAGAGAAAGAAAATTGATTAAGAGCTAAAACTGTTAAAGTTTACAAGTTTCTGTTTACTGTGCTTTGCATTATAACCACAAATTTATACAAATATTCAACCAAAACTAGATTTTTTTTATCCTATAAATGCATATATATTAAAATGGTGAATTACCGAGCCTGTGTCCCTGTAAATATACGAAGCAAAAATTTTCCCTCAACATCCGGATCAAGAGTCGAAGGAACAATAACATATTCTCCTGGAGGAAGTGAAAATTCTTTGGTAACTGATCTGCTACTCAAGAAGTCTGATTTTTCGTTCGATTTGTTTTTCAGAAAAAATTCTTTGTTCAGTTTTTCATTAGCCTGTGGAAAAATATCTTAAATCTTCCGACAGTGCGTAGTACTCAAATAACAAATACAACAAGCCTCTGATGAAAGTGAATAAAACATAAAAAGAATGCTTAATTTTTATCCAATATAAAATTTAAAGAAGATTGACGTTGTACTTGGAAAAGAGTACAAATTTGATCGCTCCAGAAGTATGTGCGCACAACCTGAACCCTAAGCTGGTACACATACTATGTTCAGGATGTGCGCCATCTTGGTGCACATACTTCTGGAGCTCCCAAATTTGGGAAAATGTATTCTCATGCGCTATTATAGCATTAATGGGCACATACAGCTCACCAACAATCATCAATTTCCCTACCTCTTTTCCAACCACCAAATTTTTCAACAAGGTTATTTCTTTTTCAAGACCTACTGTATGATAAATTAAATTATATCGAAACAAAATAAGATTACAACTGAAAATACAGAATATGCGAACATATTATTGTTGCAACGTGATTAAAAGCTGATCACTTTATTTAAAGGATTCGGATAACAAATCAATATATAAAAAATAATCGATGGAGAGTAGAACTAACCTTGTAGATTTCAAATCCGATAACGATATTATCCAGTCCACGTATTTTTTGCCATCTTCTGTCTTTCTGCACGAGCGATATCACAACAGCACATGTATCTTTTTCACTGTCTTCTGGTACATCCAATGATAGGAAATATTGTGGATTTGTGTGGAACGTGTCTGAATAATAAATATTGAATATACAATTCTAGTAAAATAAAAATAAAATTGATAACACTATAAATTGTAGTAAAATTCACGATTGCGACTGTTCTGCAAAACAACTCAAAAATGATATTGAATAGTAGATATATCCGCAAAGCTGTTATAGCTACATCACGTATCTTTTTATCGGTTTCTAAAAGCCGGTCATCAACCAAAACGACTAAAATAGTTCGCTGTAGAATGATAAACACCAGTTTTGGATCAGTCGATAAACGTTTTTAACAACCAACATTCAATAACATTTTCATTACTAGGCCCAGCAAAGAAGATATAATAATATTCTTCAACACAATTAAGGCTACAAAATATTACAAATTCAATATTTCGCGATTGTAGCATTCATTTATACCTTTGGAAGATCTTAAACAATTGATAACATTCATTTATTAACTTCGCAACATATCTGAGTCGTAACAAAGCCAACAAAAAGAGGAAATAATGAAACGTTATATGTGTAGTAGTCGTTTCACGGCTTGAGCCATAAAGAAAATCTGAGTAAGCGTATATTCACGAAAATTTTTAGGTTATTATTTTATCTTTTTAAAAACTACATGTTTGCAAATTTTGTTTGGAGACCAGGTTACTTTTGCTCACCCCTGTTACCTGTCAAACGAATTTTTTCACTTGTTTTGAGCACAAATCTCATTACTCCAATAATAGTTTGTCTACATCATGATGCATGAGGTGCAGAAAATTAAAATTCTAGAAAAAATAATCACCTGGAAAGTTACTGTTTCCACCGGCTGAGAATCCCTTGATCCACTGTCCATCTTTTTTTTCAGTCTTCCAATATCCTTTCGGGTTATCGTTTGTAATCGGTTCCAGTCGGCAAATCTCAAGAACGGTGAAATTAGAAGTGAACTCTTCAAAAGACATCCTTAAGAAATATACAAATTCTTAAAGTATTTTGTCAAAGGTTGAGATTACGAAGCATCTCAATATTTGCTAAAATGGATATATTTCATCACTGAGGAGAACAGTGATAATAAGAAACTGTTTCATGAGTTATAGAGGTAATCTCTTTTTTTATAGGATGTTATTTTCTCATCAGTCACGCTAATGAAATTCGTTATTTTTAGGACGTATACGTCTAGAAGAAAGCTGTATCAATATTGATTCAAATTTTCCCTTGATTCAAAAGTATATTATTATAATTTCTATTGGTTTTTAGTAAGGCCAATGCAAATCGTTTGTAAATTCACATATAATACATACAACCGCAAAACACAAAAATAGCAAATTTTCTGGTTTTTGATTATTTCAAGCATCTAACATTTTAATTGGAGTTTTCAATGAAAGCTTGTGAAAAGTTGGGTGAGCATAAATACAGTAGCTCAAATTTGTGATATGTCTTGTTCCTAACTCACCAAAATTCTCCGTCGCTATCAAATGCTAGTTTCATTTCCCTTTTAGCAGAGTCAGATAAAAGCCTCCAATTAGCTGCTCTGTAATAAAAGAACACTGTAAGGAGACGAGTAAGTCGTCAAATTATGACGAAAAAGTTGAAAAAGATCAGAAAGCGCGCTTTCAGCTCATACATACCCGTCTGCCCATTCTCCTGTCCATTTATCCTCTTTACCTCCAGGATTACGAACTCTGACAAGCTGCACTGTTGCATTTCTCTGCAAGCGGGTAAATGAAGATAATTACATCCAAAAAAAATGAACAGAGGCATTAAAATAACACACTAAATATAGAATCGACTTTTATAGTATCTATCATCACGTATTATCATGAAAGACGTTCGAATTTATGAAGTATTTACATTTCACAATTTTATTGCGATTCTTTTTTGCATTTGAAAACCATAGAATATATATATATATCAGTTCATTTTTGTCGAAAACAGTTTGGTCTGAGAGGCTAAACATTGTACGACATCCCGCGATATTTCTCGCTCATGTGTCATACTTGAAGTAAAAATTCATGATTATAATAAATTTAACAAAATGGTAAAAAAAGTAAAATTACATACAGCCATTTTTCCTTGAAATTCACCAGTTACAGCAAAGTAGTGACCTCTTTTTAATCCATTCCTAGTATCAGATTGGTTTTCTTCGAAGAGCTTCAAAATATTGATATGTAACGTTTAAAGTATACGTGCCGATACGCAAATTTGATTTAGATTTGTCCAATTTTTGTTGAATTGCAAACCCCATGAGCGTTTGGAGTTTTGCTGAATGAGTCAAACAAATTCGACGCTGTTGTTGCTCAAAATCCTTCCACAATGAGACGATAACCAAAATTTATTTTAGACTTCTGCCAGATTTTATTACAGTGAAAAAAATGTGACTAATAGAGTCGAAAAAGTTTGATGTTGTTTCAAATTATTAGTTGCCCGCTTTTAGTAAAATACCAAAAAATTGAGATTCAAATTGATATTTTTTTTTTGGTGTCTAGTGAAGTAAAAACCAAGTGTTTGATATCATTTTATGTTTCAAATATACCTTGATCAAGTAGTACGATTAAATCATTCTCAATAACATTAATGGGTGGCTCAGTGAACGTCTGTTGGTATAAGTGTGGGCATTACTATTGTAAGTATTTCACTAGCTAAAAAACATTTGAATATGTATAAATATAACAATACTTCTGCTGCACAGCACATCAAAGCGTTCCTATGAAAACTCATTTGCATATCCTTGATGACATTATCAGTGGATTTCCTTAAATCAATCTTTTGAGTGATTCCACCGGTAAAATCTTCCATTGCTTCTGAAGCAGTACCTTTTTCAAGAGCTCCATATGTCATGAACAGTCTTAACAATATTAAAACAATTAACAGTGTTGGCTTGTACTAATAAGCAGTGTCATTAACTGGTTGTCTTCAAAAAAAATGATGTATTAGAGAGACTTAGACTTTGGTATTTCTGTTCTACAATAATCAATCTGTTGTGCATGGTTGATGCAACAGATTATGTATCATCCACTTACATCTGAATCGAGAATTTCTCAGATTTGGTTTAATACAGATAAAACAAGGTTCAGACAGAACTCGAAAGCGAACATGGAAATCTATTTATCGTTTACTTCTTACTTACTTTGCATAGGCTTTCTCTAGCAGTGCGGGCCAGAATTCATTCTTTTCCGTTGATTGCGTGGATAGCAATCTGCCACGAAACACAGGCAAACGATCATCTATCAGCACTTCAACCCATTTTCCGAACTTGAAATATAAATAAAATTTTGTTTGATTTTTCATTTAGACATATATATATAGATAAATAATTACTCAGATGAATTCTAGAACTTATTCAAAATTCATATTTTTCAGAACTAACGTAACGTGACACGATTTTAAAATATATAAATCGAGTGTTTGTGTAGTTTCTATTTGAAAGAAATTCAACGTCTAATCTGTCGTCCATCTCCAAAGACGCATCCTACCACAAATGCGGACTCCTGTGTATTTTACCTGCCAAAATTGGAAATGAAATATCCCAGCATATTCTTTTTCTGCAAAAGACTGACCCTCAGGCATCACTCGTCTGAATAGCGCGTAATTGGTCGCAAGATTTGTAAGGGCCGCTGAGAGCCAAGTATCTCCTGTAAAAATAATTTTTTGTATTTGTGTTACATAGGAAAAACTGAAAAGATAGTTATTTCAGGATTAAAATTCGATAAGGGGAAAAGGTTAAAGTACTTCAAGTAAAGTAGCTTCAGCAAAACTACTACAACCAACGCAATATTTGAAATAATAAATTATATATTTTATGCAAATATTTCCATGTAATTTCTTGAATTGCTTGCAGACGACTTATTACATACTATCGTTGCATTGCATATACGTCACATGCTTTATCACTTTGTATGATAGAAAAGAAAAAATTGTAGCGAAAATCAAGACAGCAGGCCAGATAGGCACACAAGTCACGCGTTATAATTTCCAAATTATTCGTTGATTTGTAAAAATTTCGAAAAAATTTGTATTTCCGATATCGGAAAGTGCGAAAACCAAGTTTCTACAATGGGGTTCATGAAAAATACTTTCGGGGTGAGAAAATTTGATATATACACTTTTTCCTGTCATATCTGTTTAAGTACTGACCCAAAAATCCTTGATTAACGTCGAGTCTGCTCGTACCGCCAATGAAAAGCTTCGGATTGTCACAAAGGTCCTGGAAAATATTAGGCATCTTATATTACTTCGACAGTAACCAGCACCAATAGCAGTAGCACAGTCTGCTCGGTAGCCTAAGCTCAAAGCGAACCACATACCCTTTCTCGTGTACTTATTTTTTAAAGATGCATTATGAGGGATGATTAATGTCATTGTTACAAGTAATTCCATAACCCTGGTGCAAAGTAACACAATATGCGAAGGGAAACAAAAAGTATGAGCTTGTCCAAAGTTTTGTATTGTATTACTTAGGACATATCATATATAGTTTATGTGAATAACATCACCATGAATGTTTACCCTACAGTGAAGTATTAGATCCACATAATGAAGAGAGGAGTCATCAAAAATGAACAAAAACCGCAAATATGAAAACATTTATTTGAACCGAAGATTATTGGGCAGTAATTAATTATTAACACAAAAATTACCTTTGGGCGTTTCCATTCTACTGCACCCGGTAACTGTTTTTCAGAAGCCAAGGAACTGTCTGTGGCGGGGAACTCATCATCCTCAAAGAGCACCTTCTTCTCAATGCATTCGTTTTGAATTTGTTGGAAGGTTTTGTCTTTAGTAGTTACAGAAAATGAGCTCACGTGCACCTTTCGTGATTCAAACCTGCATGTTGTAAAAGAGAAGGAACATTGTATGATTCAAATTTTCACCATCCTCCAGCTCGAAGAAGATGATTGCTTTATTCATAAAAAAAAGTATTCACCTACCTTACAACGTTCATCCTTCAGCCTTTTATTCAAACTTCAAAATTAATATTATACTAATAATTATATAATTAGATTATTTAAGGTAATTTTACGTAAATATAAAACACCGATCTCGATAATATTGGGACCAAATTCACTTGAAATACGTTAACGGAATCTTAATGTTTCAATTCGCGTGCAATACGGAATACTGTCAGCTACAACGAGGTAAATACCACTTTATCTCTCAATCCATGCTACTAAATATATATATATACCTAATTTAAATTCAATATCGCTGTAAATACATACATTAATTGATTAATATACAGGTATTTTAAAACGTGAGATCAATTGCCGATTTCCGTTGTAATTCTGTCACCTAATAAGTTATTAATCGTTGTACTAGCACGGATAAGTGAATGAATGAAAGGTTAACATTTTTATACAAAATAAAGATGATTAATCAAGTTTTGTAAGAATTGCAGCACGCAATTTGCAATTATACTTAATTGATGAAATCTAGAAAATGAATGAAATTGCTTTTGTATTTAGTAAATTTTATTGTACGGTAGTAATTTCAAATACGAATAAATTATACAGGGCCGACTTAAAATTATCGCATTTGCAGAAATGTTATTACAATTGTAGAGTACACCTTAACTGCAAAATTTTCCGGCTAACGCACAAACTCGAATTTTTCTGATCGCAACCAAACGGCAATTCTTTTGCTTGTACTGTGCATTTATGTGCGCGTCTTTACATATAACGCAGCTAAATGTTTTAAAATAGATTTAATGAGATTTAATTGAAATTACACTCATCGTGTAAGCCATACAGGAAGAGGCAACTCTGCTATATGCTATTAGTATTATGGTATATTTAACATTTTTGTTCGTGCAAATTACAGACCTCTTGCGATTAAACCACTGATTTTTATATAGGCATTTATTTAAAATACGTCTTTGATGACATTATTTCCTGTTTATATCCTGGACTATTCATAGACACGATTATTGGACACGAAATGTGGATCGTTTCCTTATTATTTTCATTTATGATATGAATACTTTGATTCATTTTTGGAAATGAAATTATCACACGCCTTATGCCGAATAGCATGAAACTTTTCTCTTCTTTCCTTTGCTTAGTATTTATTTTGGATATATACCTTGCACTTTGCAGCTAATTGAGTTGCAATATATATATGTTTTAAAAGCCCAGCACTATTTTAGTGTTGGATACGAGTTAGTCATGCCAAAGAACTATCGAATACCAAGCCAAATGGAGTATATTTTGTTCGATACAAATGTTAAGTATTTGAAGTTTGATTAAAGCCATTTCGTTGGGATAGTTCGAATCTATGAAAAATATGACAAAAACCAGGTATGCGACTGAAACTATGTGTACATTTATATGCTCCCTTGAATCAAATATATATACATATATATATATTTCTATTTTATCGATTTGGTCGACAACACGAAGTTATTTTCGCTGTATTTGGGCGACGGGAATTTTTGGGCCACATTTTGTTGTCGCCCAAATAGTTTGGGCTTTATTTTCTACATAAATTCCTCAAGCGATCACCACATAAATACCCTCAACTATCACCACATAATGTTGGATTTGAAATTCAAGCAAAAAAACTCTGGTTTTTGCCGACAGTTTCTAGGCCAGCTATATCCCGTTTTGCTATTTTTGCTAAATTGTGGCTACAAAAATAAATCATGATTTTCTCGTTTCTAACCCGGTTATCTTTTGGCCAGAATTGGAGGATTAACAAGAAAAAATTTTCGCTATCGTATGGTATTCCGATAATTCACCGGAAACTTATCTGGGACTTGCGACACTGCTATGGTATATTTCACTCTGACAAAATGTGCAAATTGCAGACGAGACATATGACGTCATATATGGTCTGCGTCTGCTCTGTCAGGAGCGATGAGAGAAGTTGGTTTTAGTTATCGTTTTGAATCAAAGGCAATTCAGTTTGTACATAAGGATGCGGGACATGTTATTATGTAAAACAAAGGCTCTGAGATATTGTATGCAAAGAAATAGTTTGAGATGATGTTATCACTTTGAGTCTGCAAAGTATCTCGCTACCTAATTATGGAAGACATGAAAATATATGGAACAGACGTGATAGTCCTATCCAGTGCGACAGAATAGGATTTCGCAGTAAATGTAGTCTAGTCCAATATTTTTTTAAAAAAGGTAAACTTTATATTATTTTGTAAAATAAATTTATGTTTTGTTTTCCTAGTCACAGATTTGGGAAAAAACGAAGCTGACAGAAGATCATTGAACGTGTACGGAAGTCTGTCAAAGATCAGGAAAAGGAAAACTTTCCAAGCAAACTCGAGAACATTAAAATAGAAAGTTTATAGTATATATATATAAGATAATTTTGAGTCATTTAAAAACATGTGGAAGGAAAACTGTTATTTGAAGAACAAAAGGTTCAATGAGGATAAGACAAGTGAATATTGTCAGAAAAGCGTAAGGTCAATCTGGAAAAAGGTAGACACAGTAAATATGGGGAAAAAGACAAATTGGTTGCATCTCTAGAAATTTGTTTATAAGCCAGAACTATTGTACACTAGAAAAGGTTATCTATTACAATCCATGAATATAAATATAAGTTCATTAAAATTTCGGCAGGAGACGCACGCACCAATCGAATTTTGTAATCTGTGTATTGGGTTTCTCATGTCTTAAAATAGGACTGACCGGATTTTGAAACCCATGCCTATTTTGGCAAAAAAATAGGTTATTTTATAAAAATTCTTCTAAATACCTCCATAACGTTTCTGGATATTGAATGGATGACAACGGAATATTAGAAAAGTTTGATGCATGATATATAGCGGTTATTGTAATATATATTCTTGATTACTATGTACTTTTCGCATGCAAATGTACTTTGTTCGAACACAATTTTTTGGAAATAAATCATGTGTGACCAGGTGTATACCACCGTGCTTATTTTAGCCGGAGATGTTAAAATACAACGCTGAGTTGAATTGTTTGTCGGTCAATGGTACAAAACAGTCACTATAAACTGCATGGTCAGCGTAGGTCATTTTGCTGTTACCGATTTTGAAAGACTGATCTTGGGGTGGGGGGTGGTCATGAGACGTTATAACAGTTGAAAAGCTGGATTGGTCGTGTAAAGCTGGGCGATTTTACTTCTATATAAAGCAACGATCTGCATTGCGTTGCTAACAATATTGCCATATCACCTTTATTGAACATATCAAGAAATGCGCAGATACGTTTTAATATTACTCCTACGCCCCTCTCTTTGAAGTCCCAGATGAGCGATTTCATAAAATTACAAAGAGGGTAAGATTTGGGTAAGTCCCTGCACCCTTGGCACAAATAGAAATAGCTACTATGACTTCAAGTTTACTGGTGACGCGGTTTATTAGTTTTTTTTTTTTATATTCAACTTATTATCCAGTATACTTGCGTGAATAACATACGGATCTTCCGTACAACGGCAATTTTCGTATTTTGCGAAATTTTTTATATTAATTTATGACATCATATCACATGAACATCTCTGCTATGACGCCAAAATTAATTTCACTCAAAAAAACCGTATGACGTCACTATAATTTTTCACATTGTCGGAAATACATAATACTAATTACATTAACTGGTGTCACTAATTTCCGACTATCAAATAAGCAAATGAGTTATGGTAACCTCTTGTACATTGTTGGCTATTTTGGACGCATCTCACTCGGAAAAATACATTATCTGAAAATCGGAAATCGAACACTGCGCAGTTGAAATTCAGATTACAAAGAGCTAATTAGCCCTAAAATCTATTTTAACGAACAGTGGCATATTTGAAACATCTGTGATCCTTTTAGCGACAGTATTCCTAATTAACAAATGGGATACAAATTGTTACTTAGATTAGCGGAAATGTAGGAATTAGAAAAACTTTCTATATCGGAAGTCTAGGTCGCTCATGCCGATGCCGGGTTATTTCGTTTTCCACTTTCATTCCCTTTGTTCTCCAGTTTTAATTATATGATTAAGCACGGTCATCACAACACAAAACATTGAATTAAATGGGAAACGTTCTTTGCTTTACTAGACCGGGCAATTGGATTTAATTCTGCGGGAATTTGAGTTTTCATACATCGCCGATTCTTCTTCTCGTTTCCGAAATGGTGACTATATTTATTTAAAAAATGGTTAATTATTCAGGTGATGGTTTAATTTAATGATGTGAAGTACCATAATACTAGGTACAGTTAAAACTTGCTCATATAAATGCTTTTGATTGTTAATACAACATATTATCGCCAGAAAACTTAACAATTACGGCGAAAATTGCGTTTTTGACAACATCGCCATAAAGGAGCGATATTTTCGATATTTTTGCCTAAAGTTGATGAAAAGCACGTGCAATGCACTTATTATATTCAAATATATCTAAATACAACAAAAAAAACGACATCGAAGGCAAAAAATTAAAATAATCGATGAAACCCTAGTAACGACGATATGCTATCATATGTTTCCGAACTGCATTTATTTGGAAATTTCAAAATTTTGAATTATTTTTCTAGCCATCCAATATAATTGAACAATATATCGCCGAATGCGTCTCTAAAATACCAACTAAACGGTATTAACATTTTTGTTTTTTATTAATTATATCAAAAGTTATAACCAAAAAACGATAAAAAAAATAAATTTTGAACCCAATTTTCTCGAAAACTATTAAATGAATTTTAATTATAAAACTATTTTTAGTTTTGTTTTATTGAAATCTATCCAAATATATTAAAATTTTCAATACAACTACAATAGAACAAATTTTCAATTTTGGGGTCAAATGACAAATAATTAATTTAAACCACTCCCTGAAAAGATAAATACAAAACTTCCGCATAGACTAGTGAAAATTTTTTCAAATTTGACCTAAAATTCGCTGATTTATATGTGTTCGAATTTTAACTCGTGATTTCGTAAATTTCAGCAATATGTCACATCTCAGACAATCCAATTTATGAAATTATGGAAGTTTTGTCATCTGCTATCTAGAATCCACTATGAACAACTTTCAAATATCGCCATTGAATCTATTTTCAGGTTACACTTTGGCCTACGTAGATACACAATATATATATATACAGTATACAGTATATACACAATTACTCTTTATACTTTGAGATGATGTTATCACTCTGAGTCTGCAAAGTATCTCGCTACCTAATTATGGAAGACATGAAAATATATGGAACAGACGTGATAGTCCTATCCAGTGCGACAGAATAGGATTTCGCAGTTAATGTAGTCTAGTCCAATATTTTTTTTAAAAAGGTAAACTTTATATTATTTTGTAAAATAAATTTATGTTTTGTTTTCCTAGTCACAGATTTGGGAAAAAACGAAGCTGACAGAAGATCATTGAACGTGTACGGAAGTCTGTCAAAGATCAGGAAAAGGAAAACTTTCCAAGCAAACTCGAGAACATTAAAATAGAAAGTTTATAGTATATATATATATAAGATAATTTTGAGTCATTTAAAAACATGTGGAAGGAAAACTGTTATTTGAAGAACAAAAGGTTCAATGAGGATAAGACAAGTGAATATTGTCAGAAAAGCGTAAGGTCAATCTGGAAAAAGGTAGACACAGTAAATATGGGGAAAAAGACAAATTGGTTGCATCTCTAGAAATTTGTTTATAAGCCAGAACTATTGTGCACTAGAAAAGGTTATCTATTACAATCCATGAATATAAATATAAGTTCATTAAAATTTCGGCTGGAGACGCACGCACCAATCGAATTTTGTAATCTGTGTATTGGGTTTCTCATGTCTTAAAATAGGACTGACCGGATTTTGAAACCCATGCCTATTTTGGCAAAAAAATAGGGGTTAAATGACAAATAATTAATTTAAACCACTCCCTGAAAAGATGAAAACAAAACTTCCGCATAGACTAGTGAAAATTTTTTCAAATTTGACCTAAAATTCGCTGATTTATATGTGTTCGAATTTTAACTCGTGATTTCGTAAATTTCAGCAATATGTCACATCTCAGACAATCCAATTTATGAAATTATGGAAGTTTTGTCATCTGCTATCTAGAATCCACTATGAACAACTTTCAAATATCGCCATTGAATCTATTTTCAGGTTACACTTTGGCCTACGTAGATACACAATATATATATATACAGTATACAGTATATACACAATTACTCTTTATACTTTCGTGTGAGGGCATGGAGAATTGAAGATACAGGCAGTCAGAACGAGTGGGCAAATCGCAACAATATCGTTCAGCGAGCGATCAACCGTGACGCCAAAATAACAACATATCACGCTGTAAATAGGGCGAGGCGACAAGCCTCAGGCACACCTTAAAACATCCAAAACCACTGTTTTTGGCTATTTCATGGTACGATTGTAACTGGTGTTTAATTTACCTTGCAAGCAAAGCATTTAGCCGTATCTGTGAACGTTTTTAATGAAGGACAATGATTATATCTATTCCATGCGGTGTCGACCATATCCAATAATGTTCTTCATTTCCGCAAATAGGCTAAAAAAAGCAGTCCCTCGGAATTGGGCGACGACGATTGTGCACCAACTCGACTATATTTTAAACAAACTGTATTACTTGCGTGAAATTTTGTCAAAACATTTCCCACTGAAAGCCACCAAAATTAACGCGGTGAGTAGCTCACTATATGCCACAGAAAACGAGTGGCCCAAATGCAGCAAAAAATAGTATGTAACCTCAATGCAGCAAATAGATATATATATATATATATATATTATATAACTAGCGAAGTTTGGCACAAAAGCATATTCATAGCACACCACAAAAGCCCCAGTCATTCAGGCAAACAGGTTCACATTTCAAGTAAAGCATGTACCTCATCTAAAATTTATAGTGCGTATTTTCTTGAATCAACATGCAAGTGCGAATTTGAAGTCATATAAATATAAAAAATAGTGAGACTTAATTGTCTAACAAGCCATGATACTCTGCCACGTATGAAATTTGCAGAAACGTAATACATTATATTAATATTATAATACATTTGCAGAAATGTAATGTATTATAATATTTACTATATGGACATTTCGCCTCAATGTGTCTCCGACTAGACGTGTCACGTTATATTTATATTAATTAATATTGGGGTATATTTAATTTCACAAATATTGTTACCTGAAATGTTATCAGTATAGATTTTTTTACCATTCAAAAGTTTTTCTAAACCGTTCCAGGTAGTCAAGAATGCTAAAGCCCTCATTATTAATGAGACAATGTATGCATGTTTTCCCCCTCATGTTTGATAGATTATTTTTCGAGTGTGATTTATCACGCTGTCTATACAAATAGGTCACGGTTTGTTAAAATAAGTCATTTTAAATCATTACTTTTGCAGCTAAATATACAGGTTGTACGATATTGCTTGCAACAATTTTATCGTTTTTCTATTGGTATATTTCCCTGCATAGTTGCATAAATTCATTAACATCTGCAAAGACACAGCAACTTCTTTAGGAAATATTGGAACCCTTATACGGCTGACTTACCAAACAAATATACCTGCAGGGCAATATATCTAAATTAACAACAAAATAGTTACGCTATTTTAATCTCCATAAACTGATAAGACTTGCACTGTCTTCTATGCTTCTCATTCATCTTTATTCAATGATTTCCTTTTGAGTCCATTTACAAAAACGTTTATATATATATAACAAGTGGATTTCAATGTCGATTCAAAAAACGAAACACGCAAACTTTCGCGGTAAGTGTGGGGGATGCTTCATATATATAAATTGATTGATTATTTTTTTGAATTCAGCAACTGGTATTTATAGCGTAATAATTTCATTCACCTTACGAAGCATAACCCTTAAAATATATCACGGCCTGCTCAAATGAAGAAAACAAACTATGCGGGAAGAAATGAAAGCTTTTTAATTTCAGAATATTTATTCTTAATAGGGTAATACTTTTGAAATAGTGTCAAACAAAGCAAAGTTAAATCTTTGTTAATGCAATAATAATAAATGGAGACTCTATCTATGTCAACGTAGACTCAATGCTGAAAAAAGGCGCTCCAGAAGTATGTCCACCAAGATGGCGCACAACCTGAACCCCAATCTGATACACATATTATGTTCAGGTTGTGCGCCAAACTTCTGGAGGTCCGAAAAAATCTATCACAACAAATTTAGCAGTGCGATTAAAATAATGTATACACATTCCAATGGGTGCTCCCGTAGTATGTGCACCAAGATGGCGCACAACCTGAACTCTAACCTGGTACACATGCTATGTTCAGGATGTGCGCCATCTTGATGCACATACTACGGGAGCGCCCATTAAAATGTGTATACATTGTTTTAATCGCACTGCTAAATTTGTTTATATCACAATTTATGCTTTAGGAATGCCTGTTGTCCATTTTATATTCTTGTTCTTGGTTTTAAGAAGTTGGGGCAAACTGGGATCCACTTTGTCCATTTCCAGTCAGTTTTAAAAGGAAGTTGGTACACAAGTCCGGATGATTTAGTACCGGACTTTGATGCATAAAATCCGACCAATCCTCTTTCTTCTCTTGTTCCTGTAGGGGATTTTGCAATGATATAAAATTTGTGGTACCACTTTATATAAATATATATTACACATGTACGAACCAGGTGCAATATTATCTAACGCAAATCCAACAATGCCTCCGACGAACATGGGACTGCGAATCAACACGCGAATAATGTTATTGAGTTCTTCAATACCAACATCTACTCTGTCTCCATGTTTTACTGCGTACATTGGAAGAACAACTCCGAACAAAATACTGAATCCGAAAATGAATAAGTTCCTGGAAAGAGAATACTTTAGAAACAAAACGAAGAAGGCTAGAGAATATGAATATAGACATAGGTGGAGACTGGACGTCGAATTGATAAAATTGGGCAAGTGTGTACTGCCACACATAGATGTCGATCTATTGTACTGCTTTACATACATATATATCAACTAAAATGACTCAAAAATTTCATTACGAACAATCAGCTTGAATTAAGTATTGGCTTGGGATGTATATAATTTGAATTCGACTCCAACTCAGAGAAAATCAAATCAAAAAACGCCAACCAAAAACTACTTTATTAGTACCTTTAAAACAATGATTTTTATTCTGAAATCTAACCTGTTTTTACTCATATCCACGTGTTTCAAAGTATCAACCCCGATTGCCAAGATCATTCCCATTGTAGCACATACAGTTCCACCCAGTACAACCACAGGAAGACTTGAAAATACACTCAAGAATTTTGTGAAAAGTCCAAAAATAAACATTATCAATCCAGTTACTTGGAAAACCTGAAAATTAAATAACAAAATTTCAATGTTTTTTATTTAAAAAAAGCTTGGTTAAGGTGGATAAGAATTTGATATAAAAAATATAAAAAGTAATATGTCTGTTATAGTGAAGAATTTTTTTTTTGTACATGCGGCGCTTGCGTGAAGCATCTCGATCGAAATTCACTACAAAACAGCGGTTAAAATGTGTGGGTATGTCATAGAGTTTTTTAATATGCTAAAGAGGATGAAAAAAATTGAGTGACATTGTATAGTACTGAATAACAATGACATGAATGGAACATTTTTTGGACCTCCTGAAGTATGCGCACCAAGATGGCACACAACCTGAACTCAGGTTGTGTACCAGGTTAGGGTTCAGGTTGTGCGACATCTTGGTGCGCATACTTCAGGAATACCATAAAATACAAACAAACACTTACCCTGCGACTCGCGACTTTTGACACTCCAAGCAACACTATGTTGTGACTCCAAGTCGTTGTAGCGTTGCCGGTGCCAAACAGACCAGATAAAAGAATACAGATTCCTTCCATAAACACGCCTCTGATCAAAAACAATTTTTAAAGTAATAAAGAGAAATGCGTCCAAGCACCAAGATTCCTGTAAAGATTGTCTGACGATGCTTTACGGAGGCGGTCAAGCGTGACAGAACAAAAAATTGTTTTACTCCAATGAAAACCGGAGGAGCAAAATTAGAGAGGAAATATCGGGTACCATAAGACTCAGGAATAGGAATATTGAAAAGACTTCTTGCGCCATAGAGTATTGAACATTTGAAATTTGTTGTTCCATTAGTAAAGTCTTTTTTCACAACACTACTCACCCGAGCAACAACAACAACAACAGGATGAACAACAACCATTCAGCAAAACGAGTTATAGACCTACATCGCGATCAGTAATTAAAATAAAAGGCCAGAATAATCACATTGAAGGATTGAATCTTGGACAATGATTTAGGTATACCTATTTATTTATAATGGGTCATTTATTTACTAACCGATTAACAGCATGTTTCGGTGGCGATGGTTCGTCACAAACAACAGCAGTTGCATTGTAATCCCCTATTGATTCCAATATTCCTGGCAATACCGCCGCCATCATTCCCAGAATGCTTCTTGCTGTAAATATTGGAAAGCCAAACTGGAACGGGTAGGGGAAGCGAATCCTGAAAAAGAAGTATCACTTAATAAATTGGGCAATTAGTTGGCGATATGCACTATACACAACGCCGGATTTACCATTAAACAATATAAGCACGTGCTTAGGGTAACAAGCAAAGAGGGGCACCAAAGAAATTTTAGAGCAGAATTTTATATAGTTTATCGGTGTTTAAAAATATTACGAGTTCACCAGACGACTCAAACCTCAAAATGTTCGCTTATTTTTCGTCTTCAATTATCATATTAACCTACTATATTAAAAATAAACACTGAAACTTATTTATTGGACACGAAATGTGCCTATGAGTCGTTTTCTTAAATCGTTGTTGTTTTTTCTTTCTAGTATTCACCTTGTTGCTGCATTTTTGTTTTAAAAAAAGTTCTTTTCTCTTCAACAATTGGACCAATGAACTATTTACACTATGTGGCGGTTCCACGATCGCATTTCAACGATCTAGTGGTCAGCGAAGTCGGAAGTTTTTTGATAAGGTAGACCAGGGTGGTCCAAACCCTGTCATGCTGATACATTCCGTGCGGTTCACAGAACAATTTTAGCGTATATTTGTATCTAATGGAGGAACGTTTTCGAGTTTTTTTTTAGGTATTCCAACTGGGGTCGAGATCCCGAGATTCAAACCCCTTTTCCAACGCTTTGTGCCTTTATTTTAGTAAAAACACTCCTATGTTTACAAGCGTCGGCCATGTGACAGTAGTGACGAAACGCAGAGCCGACTTAACGCTGCGCAATCCAGTTTTTTTTTTTAGCTAGGTCCCGAAATACTTAGACGGACTTGGTTGGTATTTGACAATGGCTCTCAGCTTGCTCACGCTGCAAGTTTTTAAATTACTCAATATAACAATTCGTAATAAAATGAGTGTCGAAAGAAAGGTGACATAAGGAAAACACGGCGGAAACGTATTTCCTTGCCCATCACACAGTGCCTGGTTTCATTTCAAGTAATATCTGTCACGAAAGAATATAAATTGAAGCTACATTAAACGCAAGATGGGCAAAGTACAACGGTAATTCTCGGGAATTAACTTTAAAATAACTGAACGCTATATATATCTTATTTAAAAGAACGCCACCCATGCAACATATTAATAGTCTGATTAGAACGGTAAACTCTCGTTGTTTATTAAATTCAAAGTAAGTAAACTCGCGATATTTCGATCACTTGCGGCCCGCGAGCCCTCCTCAAAAGTTTTTGCGGCGATATATCGGTTGAGCTCTAATCCTGAGGGAGTCACAACTATAGTTTGAAATTTTACCGGTGACTACTAGGTACCGGTAAAATTTCAAACTATAGTTGTAACTTGTATCATTTGGTATTTCGATTCACGTTGAGACTGGAGACATGAATCTTTATTGTCACACTCCCTCAGGATTAGAGCTCAACCGATATATCGCCCGATATTGCGTGTTTGCCGATATTGAAAAACCTTAAAATGTTCGTAAAAGTTGTTTTATTTACTGTTGGTTGTGTTATTTTTAATGAATAATCCACTTTTGAGGTTTATTGTTTTTGTAATTAAATTGCACATGAGGGGTCACCAAAGTCTTCAGTGCTTATAGGGCACCAAAGGGGCTTAATCCGCCCCCGACTATACATTTGACTTCGTGTAAACAATAGAAATGGTCAGCTGAAAATTTCTCTGCTAACAATAAAACTAAACCAAGATGAGTGACGCTAATTTACAGTTTCGAATTTCGTGAGATGATATCGTTATGAATGTTTCCCCAAGCCCCTTTTAAGCCTCTAGCCCTGCCCATTTTATGGGTATTTTTAAACCTATTTTTTTATGTCAACCATTAATCCCTAAAGCTTTATTCATGGGTTTTTAAAAGCGTCTGCTAGAGTTCTATTCAGCAATATATCTTTAAAACACACCCCTCGAAAAAAATTTTTGCAAAAAATTTTCAAAAATTTCTAAAAAAAAAATTGGACTTTGAGATATTCTGTGTACAGTAGAGGGTTAATAATTGATTCCTAATTAATTAATTTTTTCTTCAACGTTTTCGTCAAGTTTTTCCTAACATAACAATACCAAAACGACTATTATAGCATAAATGGTTATCACTCTGAAATTCACAATTGTATTTACAGTATTGTCAAGTTCAAGGTCAAATTACCGATACTGATGACGTCACAGCTCTTATTATTACTGCACAGACCACCCCCAATGCAAAAAAATTAAATTTTTTCGACGGAAATGCGCGTAGAACGGCGTAACCAATCTCATACGCGCATTTACGCGTTAAAATTACCATTAATTTTACGTTTTTTTTACATGCAAAAAATCTCCATACCTCTGCCAACTATGGAGCATTCGAAATCATATTTATCAAAACAACACAGCGCCAGGGATGGTCAGGGATAGTTAGTATGACTGAAAATACATGCTAAAACAATAATAAGTCGTTATAAAGGAGTATTTCCTGTCTGAAGGGAGTCACATTTTTCAGACGTCTGACAGGTGATTTTGAAATCCAGGATATTTATACGATTCGCACTTTGCGTCACGGCTGGAAGGTTTTATCGCTTCTCTCATATCAGGGCATTACGTCGATAAACAGCTAAGAGCGATATTGACTCTATAAGTACATAAATTTTACAATTTATCAAAAAGTACACCCATATGGGCGTTCCGGCTGTAGAAGGGTTAAACGCAAGATGGGCAAAGTACAACGGTAATTCTCGGGAATTAACTTTAAAATAACTGAACGCTATATATATCTTATTTAAAAGAACGCCACCCATGCAACATATTAATAGTCTGATTAGAACGGTAAACTCTCGTTGTTTATTAAATTCAAAGTAAGTAAACTCGCGATATTTCGATCACTTGCGGCCCGCGAGCCCTCCTCAAAAGTTTTTGCGGCGATATATCGGTTGAGCTCTAATCCTGAGGGAGTCACAACTATAGTTTGAAATTTTACCGGTGACTACTAGGTACCGGTAAAATTTCAAACTATAGTTGTAACTTGTATCATTTGGTATTTCGATTCACGTTGAGACTGGAGACATGAATCTTTATTGTCACACTCCCTCAGGATTAGAGCTCAACCGATATATCGCCCGATATTGCGTGTTTGCCGATATTGAAAAACCTTAAAATGTTCGTAAAAGTTGTTTTATTTACTGTTGGTTGTGTTATTTTTAATGAATAATCCACTTTTGAGGTTTATTGTTTTTGTAATTAAATTGCACATGAGGGGTCACCAAAGTCTTCAGTGCTTATAGGGCACCAAAGGGGCTTAATCCGCCCCCGACTATACATTTGACTTCGTGTAAACAATAGAAATGGTCAGCTGAAAATTTCTCTGCTAACAATAAAACTAAACCAAGATGAGTGACGCTAATTTACAGTTTCGAATTTCGTGAGATGATATCGTTATGAATGTTTCCCCAAGCCCCTTTTTAAGCCTCTAGCCCTGCCCATTTTATGGGTATTTTTAAACCTATTTTTTTATGTCAACCATTAATCCCTAAAGCTTTATTCATGGGTTTTTAAAAGCGTCTGCTAGAGTTCTATTCAGCAATATATCTTTAAAACACACCCCTCGAAAAAAATTTTTGCAAAAAATTTTCAAAAATTTCTAAAAAAAAAATTGGACTTTGAGATATTCTGTGTACAGTAGAGGGTTAATAATTGATTCCTAATTAATTAATTTTTTCTTCAACGTTTTCGTCAAGTTTTTCCTAACATAACAATACCAAAACGACTATTATAGCATAAATGGTTATCACTCTGAAATTCACAATTGTATTTACAGTATTGTCAAGTTCAAGGTCAAATTACCGATACTGATGACGTCACAGCTCTTATTATTACTGCACAGACCACCCCCAATGCAAAAAAATTAAATTTTTTCGACGGAAATGCGCGTAGAACGGCGTAACCAATCTCATACGCGCATTTACGCGTTAAAATTACCATTAATTTTACGTTTTTTTTTACATGCAAAAAATCTCCATACCTCTGCCAACTATGGAGCATTCGAAATCATATTTATCAAAACAACACAGCGCCAGGGATGGTCAGGGATAGTTAGTATGACTGAAAATACATGCTAAAACAATAATAAGTCGTTATAAAGGAGTATTTCCTGTCTGAAGGGAGTCACATTTTTCAGACGTCTGACAGGTGATTTTGAAATCCAGGATATTTATACGATTCGCACTTTGCGTCACGGCTGGAAGGTTTTATCGCTTCTCTCATATCAGGGCATTACGTCGATAAACAGCTAAGAGCGATATTGACTCTATAATTACATAAATTTTACAATTTATCAAAAAGTACACCCATATGGGCGTTCCGGCTGTAGAAGGGTTAAACGCAAGATGGGCAAAGTACAACGGTAATTCTCGGGAATTAACTTTAAAATAACTGAACGCTATATATATCTTATTTAAAAGAACGCCACCCATGCAACATATTAATAGTCTGATTAGAACGGTAAACTCTCGTTGTTTATTAAATTCAAAGTAAGTAAACTCGCGATATTTCGATCACTTGCGGCCCGCGAGCCCTCCTCAAAAGTTTTTGCGGCGATATATCGGTTGAGCTCTAATCCTGAGGGAGTCACAACTATAGTTTGAAATTTTACCGGTGACTACTAGGTACCGGTAAAATTTCAAACTATAGTTGTAACTTGTATCATTTGGTATTTCGATTCACGTTGAGACTGGAGACATGAATCTTTATTGTCACACTCCCTCAGGATTAGAGCTCAACCGATATATCGCCCGATATTGCGTGTTTGCCGATATTGAAAAACCTTAAAATGTTCGTAAAAGTTGTTTTATTTACTGTTGGTTGTGTTATTTTTAATGAATAATCCACTTTTGAGGTTTATTGTTTTTGTAATTAAATTGCACATGAGGGGTCACCAAAGTCTTCAGTGCTTATAGGGCACCAAAGGGGCTTAATCCGCCCCCGACTATACATTTGACTTCGTGTAAACAATAGAAATGGTCAGCTGAAAATTTCTCTGCTAACAATAAAACTAAACCAAGATGAGTGACGCTAATTTACAGTTTCGAATTTCGTGAGATGATATCGTTATGAATGTTTCCCCAAGCATTGACGTGTTTTGTTTATTTTCGTTACATTGACTAACAATAATATATCAAAGGTGACGCAACGATTGAAATTCTGAAAGTCGCTCAGAGACATTTTTAACTAAGACAGAGTTTCAGATTTTTAGGCATTATCTAATACTTTTTGCGGATATTTGTCAGTTTTTAGTTGCATTTCCGAAATGTGGATATGCAATTTATGGTCATTTTGAAGATTTTGTTTTCCTTAAAAAAATCTGATATATATACTATACTAAGCTAAAATTATTTATCTTTTGAATGACAGGACTATTTTGAATCAAAATGTTAGTTATGAAACAGGGTAACGATTTGTGCCAACTGGCAAAAATCTATTAAGAATTTTGTAATAGTGAAATATAGGGAGTGATTTTTTGAGTTCAAGAGTCAGAGGAAACTCATTACTCATTTTATAAACAACCAAAACATTTGAAATACATACCATACAAGCCATTAATTTTAATTATATATTTCACACTGGTAATAACGGGGATAATGTCATACAATTCAAATACGAAATTTACATATTTTTTATAATAAAGTAGATATGCATTGTAGATGCTATAAATATCTATAGTACAAAGCTGACAGGTTCTTACCACGGGCTTCTCAAAATTGCATTAGCCCCGTCAGTGCGAGCATTATATGATGGATCGTTCGGATCATCAGAAAAACCACCAGCGATTGTAATAACGTAGCATACAAACCAACCCAGCAACGTCGCTAGTAGTATCTGAGTGAAAAAGAGGTCTCTGTTACTTAAAAACTAGATTATATATTTGAGCTATTCACTACATAGCCGCCAGAAAACAGCAACTGTAGGTTCTGTACAGCATTTTGATTGCTTCGCTCGATCTGACTGCAAAGTACTTTTATCGTTCTATAGCGTTTCCCATAAACATATCAATAGTAAATTTTTTCAGTAAAATATTTTGAATTTTTACTGAACTGATAGCAGTAAGTAGGTCTGCTTTATTGCTTTAATCACTTGCAATAATTATATTTTAAGAAGTGAGAATTTATGTACTTCATATAATTATTTTACAATCAATCTCACCGGGAACATGGAAAATAAAGGCAATTTCGATTTTGACGTAATCTTCAATTTGTTTCTCTTGAACTCGCAATTAGGAATCGGTACTAGTACTTTTTCCATGCATATCGCAAATATGAAGAACAATGCAACAACTCTGTAAAACATTTGCTAAAATAATCGAACATTCAGAACATAGAGCGCTTATGCACAAGCCGTATATAATCCATAATAAATAATCAAATATAATCTTAAATTTAATTGACGAATATAGCAGCAATATGTTTATAAAAACAACAATTGTGCGATTTACTTTTATGACGGATATTTTGCAAATGTTGATTGCCTGAACGGCTTAAACATATTAGCTTGTCCCCAATTTTATGATGGATCAGCTTCAACCAAAATCCATCAGCGATTCAAACAAGCTCATAATTCCGATAACAATTTTTTTGAGTCTTTCATTGGCTCAAAAAAATAATCAGTCCGAATTAGTTTTTGAATTTTCAGACCATTATTAATTAAAGATGCCATACACTCATACTGAATTTTAAATAATCTACATTATATTTTCAGTTTTTACTAACACCAAATCTTTGTTTCGCATATTTGCGATGTTGATTTGCTGTCGTTGTAAACATTGTTGAAATATTTACCGCAAACAGTCATGGACAGAACACACATGTAAAACAAACATAAATGTATCACGGTAGCAATGTTAAGTTCATACAAGAGAGAGATTCCCCATTGATCACTCGACATCTGTTGGGCTGTTTCAAATATACCATACGAAAGCAAAACCAAGGTAGGTGCAATGGTGAGCGGTCCGATGAAACGTAGTAAGAATCCCATGGCACCAGTCAAGCCAAGCGCCAACTGTAGAAACGAAGCGCAAATGATGCCGCCCTGTATCTGTAAAATAGCAATCGTTTTCAAATTTGCATTAGGAAAATCATTGATAATATAACAAAATAATATTGGCGCAAATCAAATAAACTGAACATCTTGCATCTGTCTTTTTGAATGAATATATGGATCCTTAAACATTGAACAATTTTGCATGAAATATTAGGAAAAAGACTGAAAGTCGAAATATGGCAAATTTGATATATTTTTTGCATAATCGTTATATAACTTTTTTTAAGTGTGTTTGCAATAAATAAATTTATTTACTATACGCCTAAGAACTGTGGCAACTAATTGAGGGCTCAGTTACTTTTGCATAAAAATTGTAACCTTGTCACCAAAATTAAACAATTTCAAAAACGAGAATATCGGTCGGAGACCGAAGAATTACCAATCGAAGGTTAGGGGATTCCCCAAAACAGCTTACAGCAAGTGGCACCGTGTGTCCTATCACTAATTAATTAATAACTCGCTAATTATACGACATAATTCATCTAAAATCAATAGGCTTCTGATCCGAGCTATGATGAATGCACATGCAAAATTTGAAGCAGATTCAACCTCGCTTTCGTGAGATATCGCGTGCATCTAACAGACAGACAGACAAACAGACAAATACCTATCAACATACTTACCGATTAAAATCGATTAGTAATTACCGATTAAAATCGATAAGTAATAAGTAACATATAAATTACTTCATGTAGACGAAGAAGCCAAAGTTCATTGCTACTTCTTATAATTCCATCGTTGTCTCTGTAATAATTCGATTCGTCATCTACATTTATTGTTTTGTTCATCAGGTTATCATGAATTGTTTTGCTTGAATTTTGACCCAACTCGACCGAAAAGTCGATGTGAGAAGAATTTGGATTCAAGTCCAATTGTGCCGGACATTTGAGGTCGGGTGAACTCATTATACTTATCTGAGATGATAAATAAGCTGCGGTCAAACTCTCAATCAGCGGGAGTCTGAATATAGAGTAAACTGTTTCAATTTTGGAGGTAAGAAAAGACAACACACTATTAATACATAGCCATCCATACAACGCGGTTCGGATTAGCGTGTAAGGCTTGCAATACGGATGAAGAGTTCTAGATCAATGAGCATCAGCTATCAGTCACATTCTGTACCTTTGCGTAATTTTGTTTCGGAGTTGCCTATATATTTACTGTGTCTTACTGTTGTAGTAACATTTGTATGTATTTCATTGCCGCAAAAGTGTGGCAAGCTGATCATTAGTACTATATTTAATTCTAAGATTTTGAATTAATTTGTATTGAGCATAATTCAGCCCAGTAGGTAAAGTGGATCTTCTGTAGAAAGCACCCGCCAATAAAAAAAAACCGGCTGCCGCTTGAAATAATATTCTAGTAATTATCTAGTTGCAATTTTCATTGATTGATGGAATGAAGCTATGTCAGTGTTAGCGAACGCGCAATTACCTAAAACGTGGCGACCGCAATCTGCAGTACTTAAAATGCGACTGGGTGTTTTTCTCAAATCTCATATTTTTTGCATCAGTGGCAGGAGCTTTCTATACAAAAGATCCGTGGACGTTTTGAGGTCAAGAGTTTCATGTACATCTCACCGTAATCCGAATGTTGTTTGAATGAAGGTAGAAATCCCGGAAACCACAAAAACAGTTCCAATCATATATGTTTTGTAATCAGTCACGGCTTCTGAATTATCAGCACACATGACAGTCATAACGATCAAAGGAAACGTTACCATGAGGCTGATACATAGAAGAAATTGCTGAAATATAAATGCGCAATGTTTTCTATTGGTTATAAAAAGGGACGCTCCCGAAGTATGTACACCAAGATGGCGCACAACCTGAACTCTAACCTGGTGCACATACTATGTTCAGGTTGTGCGCCATCTTGGTACACATACTTCTGGAGGTCTAAAAAAGTATACTGTCTACTCGATTTAGATTTTCCTCATCTGTTGAAATACTAAAATAAGCCGAAAATTATTGAATAATATAATATTTATTCCCTTAAGCTTAAACAATACCTGGAAACCAAACAAGGAAGATGTATACCATGGAGGAGATTCGTCTACTCGATAAAGCAAAGAGTCGTTTGATTTGTCTTCACCACTTTCAGTACGAATATCACCATTGCTGCTTAACGTGACTGTGGTCACAGATTCCTCCCGTGTATTAACACACTTTGAATCATCTTGGCGTTTACATGATTTGTTTCCCATTTTTGCTTGTAGTATTCTGTCAATAGGTTTAGTACCGAATCGTTGAAGATGGAATTGCGATATCCGTAAAAATAAAATATGTAGTTAACATAATATACATGTATCTTTCAAGTACAAGTATCTCAATAAATGCTTGAGTAGACTAGTAGTAATATGGATGAAGTCTTCTCCCTTATCTGAGTAATAAATCTTCTATAGCCTATATTCTCGAAACACTTGCCATTTACGCTTCATCGGATAAAAACCTAGAGATATATTATGCTCGAAATATAACACTCATTCTCACACGCAATACAAACGTTTTGATAGATAAGATTGATTTTAGAGAGCGGATGACAAGTGGAAATGATGTAGGCCTATTCGCTGTGATTGATTCGTTTTTGTTTTGTATTTCGAGATGTACTGATAAACGTTTGGTATATATACATGTGGGCTATTAAGATCGCATATAAAGTTCAGGTTTGATATTTTTTAAGGGTTCGCAACAAGATGTGTATTACCAATTACGCGTCAAATATTATTCGTATATTGTGGGCAAATGTGTTTTGAGATTTTTTATTTGTATATATATATAGTATTCAAGAATGCGTTTTGGTTTCGGAGCCACTGTTTTCGACAACAATGCTATACTTTGAACTAGAGCGGTTTTCACTGTTCTCTCTTTTTCAATCCGTCCGAGTTTTCTGCTGCATAATAAAGTTCTTCGCCTGCGTCATCATGCCATTGAAGCTATTGTGAGGGTTTGCAGCACACGGAATCACAACGAGTATATATATATATACTCAATTGCGAATCCGCTTCTGTTAATTTGGCTTTGCTAATACAGACAGGGATATTTAAAATGCACCAAATTCCCATTTGTCTGTTTTGGCATTCAACTGAATTCAGTCGGTTTGAAATTATCGACGTTAAATTGTTCAAGCCAACAAAGCTGGTATGCTAGTTCAGTGGTTCCCAACATTTTTATCTTAATTTCCCACTTCCGATTCAGGCTGAGTTTTCATTCTCCACAACATACAACACATCGACTCCTTTAAAAAAAAGATAATTTCCCGTCAATAATAATTGATAAGATTTTCTTTAGTAAAGAAAGTTCTTTGCAATTGGTGCAGAAGTTGAAACCCGCGAGAACAATCAATGCCCTTTCTAGCATTCCAAGACAGTGACGATCCGTGTAAAAAAATTCAGTGTTATTCATCGAATAGAAAAATTAAACGCATACAATTACAGAGAACGCATAAGATTACAAAGAACGCATCAGAGTTTACATTACACCGTCATGTTTTTTTAATATGATAGACCGGATGTCGGGATCTATTTTTGAAAATGGCATTTTCAAAATGCGCATCATTGTTATTGCACAAGGCGACTTGCTTAACGCCGCAGACGTGCTCAGCAGAATATCAGCACACTCTACCAGACAAAGTTTTATCAATATCTCACGATGTTATGGGCCCTTTTGGTCATTGCTATTTGCAGGACAACTGCATAAGATACATTCACTATCGCCTTTAAACTTATCTGAAATTGTCCCATGCTGTCGAATTTCATCTTTTTCACTCGACTCGCCTAAATTTTTTCAGCCAAATGAGAATAGATCTTTGAAATATGTTGCTTCAGTTGAGGAAGCTTCATAGAACAATTGGAAAGGGGCTTGAGGCAAACAACGCATTGCGGAAGTTGCTCAAAATTTCTCTTTACAGATCTGAAACCGTAGCCGAGATAACTATGATCGTACTTTCATTTTACGGTGTTCGTACATTTGAACCCATGTGTATATCGCGGGTTCAATCTATATGCGGGTGCTAAAACCCATGGGTTAGGGTTAGTATGGGTTCAAATATCTGTAATACAAACAAAAAATGTACATAGGTGCAATAGTATGCAGGTGCAATTGTCGTGGGTTCAAATGCACGTGGGTTCAATTGTAATGGAACCTCATTTTACATTAGCCATTACCTTTTATAACAGTTTATCAGAATGACGGCACGGGCCAGAAAATTTCTCTTTACAGACCTGACACCGTAGCCGGGATAACTATGATCGTACTTCCTTTTACATTAGCCATTACATTTCATAACGGTGTAGCAGAATGACGGCACGGGCGTATTTCCGGGAAATGTGATAATAGACTGTCGCCATTTGCGGCCTTGCAACAAATAACTTCTTGCGTAACCTTCAGATCAGGGGTCGCCAAACTGCTGCCCGCGGGTCATATGCGGCCCGCGAACGCCTTTTTTGCGGCCCTCGAATGACTTTTAACTCATTAAGCGAAAATTGCCCCAAATGTATTGTATCCACATGGATGGCGGGGCGGTGTGGCTCGGCGCGGCGGTGTGGCTCAACGGGCTAAGCGTTAGGAATACGCTCGCCACCGCACCTCTAACTACTCTGCGTGGGTTCGCAGGTTCGAATCCCATGCAGGGATGGTTATGTGCGAGAGGATTGCTGGACTCCTCGCCGTCGTTGGGTGGTTCACGTAACCGCTGGTCGGTTACGGCTTCCTCCACCACCAAGTCCATGCTTCCGAAAACAAACAATACAGTAAATCTAATCCCATACCCGACTTGGAATGATAACCGGACGAGAGGCCGTGGTTCGCCATATGAATGAGCCGTCTTATCGGCTTTCCTCTCCCCCGGGATAAATATGTAAATCCTATCCTATCCTTATTTGGTAACAAGTACCGCTTGTTTTATAGCAAGTAGTGTCAGTTGTAGCCTATGTCATATGTCGTTTACTTAAACGTCCCATCGTTGGTTGTAATTATAAGCTAAGTTTATTTTGATTTTTAAAATTTGAAAATGTATGGGAAACGGAGGAAAGTTTGCGACGAGGGCCGAACATTCCAAAGTGGAGAGGAAAAATATTTTTCTTTTTCGCGCGTTTCAAAACCAGTTTGCTTGATATTCTAGGTCGGCATCGCAGTTAAGGTATTTAATGTTAAAAGTGTCATCGCAAAAACGAAATCGACCCCGATGTGCTCATCTGAGCGACAGTGTAAAACGTGAAGTGTGCACGTTCGAAAGCACAATATTGCCGTGAGCAGCACTATCTAAACGGTATTACGCGTACACTAAGATTAAATTTCGTACCCGCTTGTCAGATCGTCAATTGATTTTAACGCTTTGGCCATGACACAGAAATAAATTTATCCTTCACACTGTTAATAACTAAATAAAAATATGTATTGTTCGATAAAATATATAAAAAGGCAACATACACGTCTCATTGTGGCAGCCTTTTAATAACACAGCAATAGGTGCGAGTGCGCCATAATTTGAAGTTAAATGTGGCGATTGTTTATAGCCGGAAATTTATGCGGCCTGTACGCTACCGGAAAAGTGGATATTTGGCCCGCAAGTACATAAAGTTTGCTTTAGTTTAGTGCTTTAAACTGCTTTAGTTTAGATAGGGCATGGGTCGGCAACCTTTTGTCGCTACATGAGCAAAACGCGATCAGAATATCACGGCCAACAACGTGATATTTCACCAAAATTTCGAATGGCTTATATTGAACTTTTTCCGTTTTGTGGCATAACGTCAAGGACCCTAATACCGCCACCCCCGCAAACTCTGCCTGCCCACTTTTAACGCACGGTATCTGAAAAACATGAGGACGCACACAGTTTCAATCAACACAAGCATGTTCGTGACATCTAGTGGATGATTTTTGATTTTATTTCTCACCGAAGGCCATTGCCAGATTGAAATGGCCCTGACCCAAAAATTGGGGCGGTAATGGGATGTGCTTTTTACGCTCGGCCAACTTTGGCAGTTTGGCGGGAAACGGTCGTCTGCCAAAGGGTTATAACCTGGCAGGGACGTTTGTTTTTTGTTGTCGTTCTTGAAGAAGGAACTTCCACTACGTTAAACCAAAATATAAGCTGAAAATATGAAATATTGTGATTTTCATTTTGTAATATTTGTTAATTGGGTTATTTTGCGTACATTTTTATATGAGCATTCATTTCCCACCAGCAATCCCCGAAGTGGGGAATTCCCCACCGGTTGGGAACCGCTGTGCTAGTTTCTAATTAATAACAGCTGCGATTTTGATAGACATTGATGTAAATTTGATAACCGGTCATATCATAGTATTTTCTAAGTGATCATGGTGTAATTGAAATGAGGTCGTTACCCAGAAATTGTAGTTTGTCACACTGTTATATCTGTCATTCAGATGCTGATGAACATTTTCTATGTGTCGCTATTAATTAAAGCAAAGAATAGACCGAAACTGATATAGCTGAGTCTGCAACAATATGGTCGACTGTTAGTTGTGAATATTAGCCTACTAGCAAAAAATAATGTGACCCAGTGTAAAACCAAATTATTTTTATAGCTATTAGAATTGATAAGATTGCACAAAATATGTCGGTAAATGAAATTTCATAAGGTGATCATCAGAAATGTATAAAAAAAAGAGTTGTTCATAACATGAGTTCTGATTTTATGAATTTTTTGTGTCGTGTTGATATATTTGATTTCTGCAAAAATATCCATAGAGGAATTTTAGAAAATGTTTCATTTACTGATTCAAGATAACATGGAACATTGTATCTCTAAATAAAATCTGAACCGAAAACAAAATCTATTGCAGGAAATGAGACTTGGGATTTATGATTATATTTATTACTACTTTATAAGTTGTGTACATGCATAATGATGGCCATAAGTCAGTAAGTAGACAGGAGTATCAAAGTGCTTTACAATTAGATGCTTTCCTATTGTACAGCTATTGTCACAAAATGTAGAAAAGGGTATAAGAATGAATATTGTGAATGTTTTTATTATGAATGCTTTTGCTCAAAGAAATAATAGATGATGTTTTATAATTTATTGATAATGATAACATTGTAATGTATTCATTTACTAATTGTTGTTTTTGATTCTTACTCTAAACCTTTGTAAATTTATGATCTTTATATAATACCTTAAACTAGAGCTCGACCGATATCACTTTTTGGCACCGATACCGATATATCGGCCAACGGGTGACCGATAACCGATATGGACATACCGATATCTACAACCTGAACTAGCAGTAAATACAAATAGAAAGAAACATTTCGTTTCAGTCAATTAAAAGTTTATGTTGAAAAATAAAGCAGTCCTACACAGTGCTTGCATCATTAATAAAAGTTTCACAGCAAATAAGAACACACATTAATGCACAACAGAAAAAAGGCAGTCAGTAAAAAGCTTATAGAAGTCCATTTTGATCCATACAGTAGTAGGTGGGAATAGGCTTGCACGTAATTTACGGATTTACGGAATTATTTCGAGTTACGGAAGGGAAGTTACAAATTACGTAAAGTCGTAATTATTGGTCGAAGCGCTTCCGCGTTTGAAACGTGCTCCTTACAAGCAGTCAATTCCGTCGATTGTAAAAAATGAAAGTTTAACAAGTAGAAGAAATTAGAGTTCCGGTATTCGCAGCCGTTTTGAGCCGGCATGACGCGTTGCCACCCCGTTTGAGCGTTTGATTTCACGGTCAAAACGATATTATTATAAGCGTCATCACCGTAACGCAATTAATACCGACAGACTTTTTTGTCTTTACGATTTGGTATCTTTTTTATTTGGCGCTGATATTGATAAATAAGAATGTGTGATAGTTGATTGTAATTCCGGAAGGCGTATTTTTCTTTCTCTCCGTGAAACAGACATGAGACGAATTTTACCGCCGCTATAAGCGCTCAAAAGGAGAGAAGGCTAGGCTACTTTCTTTTCCCCGACTCAATCACTTTTATTAATACAAATCACAGCGCATTAAAAAACAAAATAGAATTTATTAGCATTAATTTACAACGAGTTGCGGGTAAGAATTTATCGCCGGCTAAATAATTAATATTTGATCTAAATTTATCGCAAATAATCTTATAACATTTAGGCCACGAAATGATTTGATATAAAATGAAGCTTGGTAATCGGAATATCGTCAATAATTCAGCATCAATAATTATTTTAAAATGCTAACTAGGTAGCAAAGTCGGATAATGTAAAAAACGGAGCAATAACAAGTCTTCGTCGCGAGGCAGGCGCAGGTATAATCAAATGAGAGAATACGCTTGTCGTTGATTAATATCTTAAAAACCCGAAATTTTTATTCAATACGAAAGTCGATTTTGAAAAAAGGCCACTATCGTTTCATATATATCCGTATACCAGTGTCGGTAAATACGGTAATGATAAAATTGATCGCATAAAATTGGGACGGTTAATTTGCGAAGGTGATAAAGGAAAATCAAAGCCAACACAATAAAACAAGATAAAAATCAGAATAAATTTAATTTGAATTCACTCCTTGGTATTTGTCTTTAACATCTGTCGCCGGTGTGTAGTACTGTCGGTAATATGAAAACCAAACTTCAATGTCCCATTCGGAAAAGAAGTGGATTCAAATGGTTTTTATGATAGGTTTAAACGTGTGAAAAATATCGCAATTACGGGGTCATTACGTAATCGATTTTGCCGTAATTACGGAATTGATTTTTGTCGATTACGTGCAAGCCTAGTGGGGACGCAAGATATTCGAAGGCGAGGATTTTGCGCCGCTCGAAGAGATAAAAGAGAGAGAGAAATATAGAAGAGAACTCTCTGTTTATTGAAAGGCAAAATGAGAGAAGCGAAAAAGAGAAAACGCTCGGCCGCAGATATTTCCCGGAGAAAAATACTCATTTTTTAGGACGTGGAAAAGCGACTAGCGCTGATATATATCGGCAAGATATATCGGCTGGTTGGGCCGATATGATATATCGGCAAACACGCAATATCGGCCCGATATATCGGTTGGCCGATATATCGGTCGAGCTCTACCTTAAACACACACCTTATAATATTATCAGGATGGATAATGCAGTAATGTGCATCTTACTGGATTAACGTTTCATTGGAATGGATAATATTGATGCTAAATTCATGAAATATACGATCATGGGAATTACTATGTTCAGATGTTGGAGGTTGAAAACTAATGTAACATGATGAATTTTCTTATATAGTGATTTAATACCTATGGTACCGTTTGACAAAGGATACAAGATGTCGGTGTGAAAAAGGGATCTGAGCAGCTGCACAAAATTACATTCATTTATTAACATAAACTCATTACTGATCGATGTTGAACAACAGAGCAAGAAATAGACAAACCGACTGCAGTGAATAAACTCTCATAGCAATCCCCATGATTTGAGCGCTCTACTACCAGACCAGGAATAGATGCAACGCTTATATCAAGACTTGGTGATTTCCGGTAGATTTTATGAAATTCATGTGCAAAAATACAGTATCGCCAGCATATGCATTTTAAACAAGCCTAGTGATGACGATTCAGCTATTTATTGGATATTTCGTCTGTTACTCAAGCATTATCATGCATTCTACTTTTTATTTATTTTGAGAAATAGTCAAAATCATATCAGCAAAGTTGTCAAAATAATCACATTGTTAGGGTGACAGGTACGGTACATTGTTTAAAAACAAAGCAATTTAAAATATAAAAAGTTTATCAGGTTGGTTAAGTTTTATTGTGAAAAGCGCAAGATTGTTATTCCTCCTGCAAATAATAGCCAGTGTGACACATTTGCAGAACAGCAATTACAAAATAGTGTTTATTTTCATTATGACTGGTATATTATGGTTTTAAAAGTTTTACAAATAGTGACTAATTGGGTAGATGACAGCTGTTCAATGGTACAGTAGCAATTATCATAATTATTGATAAATGATCATGCTTTATGTAAATAATAAATGTGTGTTACTCATTCTTCAATAAATCAAGAAATTAAAAACTAATAATATCAGCACCCTGGTTTATTCATAAAGGTTAGAGTGATGGAATATCATCCGAGTCTTGAATGCAGTTAGACTGTTGTTTGTGAGCTGGAAGAGTTTTGGTATGAAAAAAATAATAAGCAGTATTGGATTATAATTAGAACAAAGTACAGGAGATATGGCTAGTAGGCTGAAAACATGTTACAGGAATGTTCTACCACCATCTTGCATTCCATTTACATCTGACAAAGGTAAAAAATATTTTAAGGAAGCTTTGCCAACGGGTCACATGAACTGCTACTTTGTGATCGGTTCTCAGTATAAAACACAAGAAGAACCTGGTGGTTATAGCGGTTTATCATCTCTTGTAATGGTTCTTAATGCATTTCATATTGACCCTGGAATTGTTTGGAAATGGCCATTTCGTTGGTACCATGAGGATATGTTGCATTGCTGTACTTCTCTTGAGGAAATAAGGAAAAATGGCATTTCTATTGAGAACCTGCTGCGTTTGGCAAGATGTAATAACCTTGAAGGCCATGTTAAACGGTTTTCCGTTGAATCCAACATTGATGAATTTAGAGATGTAATCAAAAATGTAACACTGAAAGAAGATGTAGCTATGATTTTATCATACAATCGTTCTACTCTTGGGCAGATAGGATCAGGCCATTTGTCACCAATTGGAGGCTACAATCCTATCGAAGACAAGGTTCTTATCTTGGATGTTGAAAGGTTTAAATATCCACCACATTGGGTTTGTTTGCATGATTTATGGAATGCCATTAAGAGCATAGATGAATCGACAGGACTTCCTCATGGATATGTGAAACTGTGGAGGGCTGATACTATCATAGAGGAGAAATTATTCTGCAATTGTTTGGAAAGAAAGAAATTTTAAACTGGATCTAGTAGATTTTAAACTATGAACATATTAGGTTTTTTGAAAATGAATTGAATAATTAGATTAGAGAGTCTAATTATTCAAACCTTTATTAAATGTTAGAAATTTCATTGAAACTCTGGTTACCCCGCCTTGTTCATGTGTAACCTACAACTTCACTTTTGCATTTTATTATATTTATCAATTTTTATAAGAATCTATTAATATGCGGGTTCGTACATAATTAGGTCATGATAAGTTATGGAACATAATATATTTCATCTTGTATGCTATTTTATATGACTGGGTGATTTGTAGTTTTTCAAATCTTGCCTTTCTGTTCTCAATGTTTTTATTATTATTTCCACCTCTGGTAAATATTTACAAGTTTCTGACACCAAACTGTTAATTGCAGTTCTTACTACCTCAATCGAAAAATTTTAAAAAGCTAAATAATACAACAGCAATAGGAATTATTGATATTGGAAATGTGACTTGAAAATATCAGCAAGTGTTTCATGTGAATTTCCCAAGGATATTCCAAGTTATTATTATACACTTCTGTAATGCCCAATTTAACTCTTAACTCAATCATAACTGTTATTTCCTATTCATGTCAACTAATCCGAACATTGTTCATGAATTAGATTCTAGCACGAAAGTTCTACTTCCCTATTTATAATACACCAGGTGTTGACCTCTGTATTATTTGTATATATGTTTTCTGTTATAAGAGTTTGTAGTGGAGTGTGTAATGATTGACGAGTTGACATATGCCATTCTTGCATCATTTTTTATAATAACTGTTATTAAATTATTCAAAGTTATCGATTTCATTTATTCTATTTTTTAGGAAAATTTGAATTTGTTTCTAACTATAGTTGATACATATTCATGTAACAATGCTAAATAAAATAACATTTGCATGTGACGAAGGTTGAACAGCCTGTGGTTTGAACTATGATAGCTGCTACTGCAAAGAAAACATTTTACAGGCGAGTTTTGCCTGACATCTGTACCGCATTTGCATCTGAAAGAGGCAAGCAATTGTTCAAAACTGCTCTTGCCACTGAGCACATGAACTGTTACTTTCCACTTGCTAGTCAGTTCAGAACACAAGAAGAACCAGCATACTGTGGTCTTTCATCTCTTGTCATGGTTCTTAATTCTCTGGCAGTCGATCCAGGTGTGGTTTGGAAAGGGGTTTTTCGTTGGTATCATGAAGACATGCTTGATTGTTGTTCTCCCCTAGAAGAAATTAGGAAAATAGGTGTTCCTATGGACAACCTGATGTGTTTGGCACTGTGTAATCAACTTGACGGGGAACTAAAACGGGTGTCTGACACTATGAATATTTCAGAATTCAGAGAGGATGTGAAAAATGCCACAAAAAGCACCAAAATAGCTATCATAGTATCATATGGAAGAGGGGTTTTAGGTCAAACTGGCACAGGACATTTCTCTCCTATTGGTGGATACAATTCACAGGAAGATATGGTACTTGTTATGGATGTGGCAAGATTCAAGTATCCTCCATATTGGGTTCCTTTGACAAAATTATGGGAAGCTATGCTGACTAGAGATGTAGAGACAGGACTTTATCGTGGATACATGGTTCTATGGAGGGCTGATGAAGGAGATATATCCAGCCAACCACTGTTAATTTTCAAAATTGCCCAAGGCCTGAATGCCTTTAAACCGATACTTAGAGGCTCTGGCAGTTTCTTTTTAAAAATCAAGTCATTTCTCATGGAGAGAGTAAAAGAACAAAATGACAAAGATATTCTGCGAATGATTATCACAACTTTGCTTGATCAGTCATACAAGCATACAGAGAGTAATGATGCAAGAGATTCTCCGAACCTTTTGTCAGTGCGAGCCACTGATGACGAAATAAAAAACTCATTTCCCAATCATGCTAAGGCAATAGGTAAGTTGATCGGGGCAATTAATGAAACACCTTTATATAAAAAAATTGTGCAGCTTTTCCCAAAAGGAATTTGTTGCAGGCAAGCGTTATTCATAACCGAAAATGGAGAAGATATGGATGACTATTGCCAAAATAATGATTGTGTTATATGCTTGCCTCATTTTTTGACAGTATTTCTGTTATCTTTTCCGACGGACGATGTAACACGTTGCGAGGGTTGTAGCAAGAATTCAACAAAGAATACAAATGTTGTGGAAGGAACCTATCATGCCTTTTTGAAAAAAATGATCAATTCACAACTGGAGGATGGTGGCTGTGGTTTGTGTGGAAATGTGACAAAAGAACAGGAAGAAGGTCATGTATTATTAGTCAACGAAATTACCCAACTGAGAAGACAGTTTGCTGCTCTGATTAATTTGGAGTTGCAATCAAATAAGTCCAGCCATGGATCATAGTGCTGTTTCCTGCAGGAGTTTTTTTTTTTTTTCTCTAAAGGTTGGAATCTGGAAGGATAAATGGTGCAGTTTGCATTCAAGGCATTTTTTTACATAAATAATCAAACACTTTTGATTCATGTCTTTATAAATAGATTTAGAATATGCAAAAAAGCACCTCTTTGCTGTGCTATTTTATTTTATCTTTTGACTGTAAGCCTTGGGCGTTTTAATTAACACATCAATTTTTTTTAACAATCATCCATACATATAATATAAAGTTCTATGAAAATGGCATTGTGATCAATTGCCGTACGTGCAATACTCCCGTAACACTTTCCGGTCAGCGCATTCCACCATGATGCAAACATCAATTTAATTCAACAGGCGCCTTCGTGATACTCATGGCGACCAGAATAAGCTGATATATTCAGCTTTTTAGTCTGATCTAAAATAATTTAAACAGCAAAATAGTATACGGTGGGATGATCATGTTCGTGACATACGGTACAGGTACGCGTATGTATATTCAAAACGTTACTATTAGATTTTCCGCTGACGCCATGATGTCTCAAAATCCGTACGTCACTCTGCGAAGGATAGATAAAACTTACCTATTTCACAATGAATAAATATAATCTACAAGACGCTTCAATGATATGGCGAACTTGGCCTCTTGAACAGCCGATAATCAACAATTTCACTTTGAGATACGCTCAGACGTCCACGGCGGAGGCCTTATTGCGACAGCAGTAAACCCAGCATTATCCTCGCGCGTGATATTACTCCGCAGGTAGAAAAACTCGCTCTAACGGAGTGTATCACATATAATAGTCCGACCAGAGCCATATATAGCCGGCTATTTTAGGCTTGACCTTGTTTTCAGACAAAGTTTTATTTCAATGGGATTATAGCGAGTCATTTCCACACGAGTGTGGGTTTTGAGCATTTTTTTAATTAGTAAAATACCTAATAGCCCTTTTCTTCCAATTTCGTTCAAATTTTCTGGGTATACTTGAACGGGAATAAATAATACTTAAATGAATATATCAAAATCTAAATAGGCATGTCCTGGCGCTCCTCCGTATCTTGTGGTTAAAGAGTGTCAGGGGTGACTTTGAGCCAAATTGTTTGATATTCATAATGTCAGCGAGCGATTGTAGAATTATTTTTAAAGCAAAATATAGAGGGTGGTAAGCGTCATAACTCTCGAGTAATACTGTTCTAGCAAGAATTCATTCGATTATAAGGGCGAGCAAATTGTACGAAAATGGTATGTATATTACACTACAGAAGGAATTGGATGAAAATATGGATATGACTGTCCATTACCACAAAAATTGCGTTTCGAGATATACCTCCAAATCGAATCTCAAAGCTTTTCGTCGCGACTTCGTGAATGCACAGCAAACAGATAAACTGTCAACAAAACGTTTGCGACGTTCATTCTCAAAATTTGATTTTATGCGTGATTGTCTTTGTGGTGAGGAGGTTTGTGAGTTTCAGAGGGGTAAAAAAAAACTTCAAGGTGGACCCGCATATCTCTGTCGATCAACACATTTATCGCAAGAAATTTCTTCATACAAAGATCGACTGTTAGAACCCATATTATATTCCAAAAATTGTTAAAGATGACGATGATGACAACATCAATTCAGAAATAAAAAAAATATATCTGAGCAAGTGATCGGCGAATGCAAAGCCTTTTTCCACAATAAATTTCCACAACAAATAAATAAACTTATAAAACAGATAAGTATGTATAAGCAAGAAAAAGCATTAGAATCAGTATCGACAACATTTTCAGAACTACTAGCTGCCATATCTTCAAAACTTGATAGGTCATTGCCAGCTGCATATTCGGCAATACTGTAACCAGTGCAATAAACAAATGTGCAACTGACCACCAAATCGCACTTGGTATTTTTTTGAAAACTTTAACTAGCCATATGAGGGACTACTATGTAGCATGCTCATATGATGAAATGCTAAGTTTCAGAAAGTATACGGACATGCCCAGTTCACCTGTTTCATTGCTGTCACCAGAATTCCAGAACAACGAAAACTTTCACAATCGAGAGCGGAGGATATCGATTCCATGTTTTTTCGCGATGTTCTCACAGATGAAAGCCCGGAAAACGGGGGATATATGACCAACTTATGACGAGAACAGGGTAACAACTTGCAACTTAGAACAAATATTGTATATTTACCTCTATTGGACAGAACCCCAACGGATCCGACTACGATTATGTTAGCAATGGTGAAGGCACAAAAAATCTTGGAAAATTGATCAAAAGTATGTTGTATTTACAGTAGATCAGCAGTTGTACCGAATAACATTACATGTAAAATGGGAAAACCAAATACAATTCAACAATATGTATTTAAGACTTGATGGTATGCATCTGCTGATGAGTTTATGTGTTGTATTGGATATTAATAACCGATTCTGGAATCGTAGATGTACTTACCGAAGCTTTTGGAGGTGTTTTGAAAATGTTGAGTGGGAAAAAGTTCCCACAAAATGTCAGGGCTTTGAGAATGCTTGTCGAAGAATTACAACGACCTGTTCTCTCTAAGCATGCAGTTCATGACACGGCTGAATCTCCAAGAGATATTGCTTACATTATCCGCAGAAAGTAGAACTGCAAAGATGTGGATTAATTGTCTTGTGAAACCAATGTTCGCAATTCTTAAGTATATTCGGGCTGAGCGGGAAGCAGACTGGTAAATCCACCTGCACTGTGTGGAGGAAATGAAGCTTATTTTCTTCGCAGCCTATCAGTGCAATCACGTGAACTATGCCAGATACGCACTGTACTATCTAAGATCGATGCACGAATTGCCTAGTGAAGTTTTGTCACAATTTCTCAAGAGACAGCACACGATGGATTGATTGTTCAATGGAATGGAGTGACATGGCCATTGAAACTACATTTATGATAAATTAGGGTTGTGTATTCATCCACTTGACCCTCTTCAACACGAAAAAGAATTGGTGAACAATATCACTGGGGAACTTTTCACCCATCCTTTTATCAATGTGGGCGACGCTGTTCAGATTGGAGGAGCACAGATGGTTGCATTCAAACGTATTTGGCCGGATGGATTCCACAACTCGATATCTGGTAAATAACCTTGACAACAACGCGGAGGCGCTTGGTAGTTGAGAAAGTCATTGACACTGAGACTCCTTATGCTTCAGCTATATGGATTCAGTCTGCCACACACAGTTTAAATTGTAAATGAGGTATTGAAATATATCACCCTTCAATGTTTGACGAATTTCGACGTATGAGAATTGCAAAAACAAAGGGAATCTTAAAAATATGGGTTGTCCCTTGGTCCTCAGGCGCTATTGGAAATTGCGGTATATATATATTAAATTGTTCTGTAGACACATCTATAAGTATTTGGAAGAATCTGATGTTTATTTAATTTTTGGTCGGTGAAGTATGTGAAATGTTCATTGTATACTGTAGAGCAGGGCTATTCAACTGGCGGAGTATTTTTATTTTAGATCATTAGCCCCACTTTACAAGTTTCATTTTATAAAAATTTTTTTATTGTTTTGAAAATATATGAAAAGAACTATACCATCATAATAAACAATCTTGATTAGCTGATGATCATTAGCCGGTCGAGGAAGTGCGCGTTTAAGGATGCTGAAATATAATTTCTGGAAACACCGGACCCAAATAATTTTTAAATTTTGTATGCGGATCTTCAGTAAAACTAGTTGAGGAGCCTAAAGTACGAAGTTAAAGAACAGTATATAATTTGGTGTTAAAATATGTGATAGGAAAGCATAGTCAGTAAGCAGCAATAACTGAATTTTTTGATCTGGCGTGTAGATTTCAGTGTACAATTTTCAAATTTAGATCAGTATTAGATATCTGCTGATTTTAGACTTGGAATGGTCTATTTATAGCAGAGGTAACCAAACTACGGCCCGCGGGCCAGATCCATCCCTTGGCGTCCTTTCATCTGGTCCGCAATAACACGAAAAAATGGCGAAATATTTTTCCAGGGAATGTTTCCCAGAGCGACTTCCTTGTTTATTTCGTAACACTGGCCAATCAGCAAGATGCAAAAAGTGACGTAACAATAGGCCTTTTCGCATCCGCTCAGGCACTTGTCACTCTGACAGATTTTCAGTCGTGGTTGTAAACAGTACCTCGTTTTCGCGATTTTGAATGCTATTCGTTAGTTTTTGGCAACGACTAACATACCGGTTTTTGGTTGTGTTTCGGAAATTTAAGTATGAATAAAATAATTCAATCATCATTTTGTCTTCTTAGGGGTTGTAGTTTAACTGCAGTAATCACAAATTAGCCTAAAAAATAGTTGTTATAAAAGTCTGAAATTCTCCACCGGTACGCAACGTTTTCTGCGAAAGATACACTCGTGGCGCGTGTTTTCGGCCAAACTGTTGCTGTGTACGTTTCAGGTTGTCTAAAACTCTAGAAATATTGTATATTTGCTTTGATGTTCTTGATCTATATTCTGCGTTATAGAATTTAATATTCGAGACTTCAGAAATGTAGAATTTATATTGGTGAATAAATTGAATGGATTTCCCAACTTTTGTGAATTTATTGTATTGCATTGACAAAAATATTTGTCCGGCCCGTTTCCAACACAGTTTGAGTCATTCCGGACCCCTGATTTATAAGATCGTAGCATTTTATATCGTGACAATCCTTGGCAGAATAGTATCTGCACATGTACATACGCTAAAGTAAACTTTTTTGTAAATATATTTGATGTTAGTACTAAAGAAATGACACGACGAAGTCGGCGCGAGTCTTCTAGCACCAAACATACACTGGTATACACTAGCCCAGGGGTTCTCAAACTTTTGATGTTGCGGAGCCCTTGAAAAGGTTGACCATTATTCACGGAGCCCCAAAAAAAATGTTAAAATTGTTACTTTCCAATTGATATTCCTGAGTAAGTTAAAAGTACTTTACTTAATTTGAATGCAACACCTTTTTAATAGGGTTAATACAAGTCATAAATGAATCTAAATTTCAAAGATAAATTATATATACTAAAGCTATAAATTTGACACTTGACAGACATATTAATAAATTAGGGGTCGAATCTTTTCCCTTTTGACATTTTTGAAAGACTTAAAAGGCGCTAAAAACGCGCGCGATTGCATTTTGTTACAATCGCCGATTGTTTTCGTCAGAATGGCGTGTTTTAAACCTTAAACATCTTTACGCCGATGTTTATTCTTCCTGAATCAAAAATTTCCATTGACATATACGTGTATTGTTCCACAATGACAACGATAATTGCTTTTTTGTTCTCGTGGGGAATTATGAGTTCAATGTAAAAAAACATGTTATCATATTATAGTCATCGGCGACGAAATACTAAAAATAATAATTAATAAAGAGGTAAATCCGCAACTCGAATTTCTTGATTGGAAAGCGGCATTCTAAAATATTAAAACTGAAACTTAAATGGGAGATAACACTATAAGTGTTGTTTCAGCAGACTTTTATAGACATTGTGAATCACAAAATTTAGTTTTATGTTTACTTTTGTTATTCATCATAGTAACTGCGAAATCGAAACACAGTCACTTGTTCATGCGTTGTACCTTTTAGCCGCATGCAATAAAATAAATTACAATCGTTCTTATTTTGCCCAGACCTTGGGTATTTTATGTTATTGGACACGTTTAGTGGCCATAACGATCGTTTCAATATTATGTTGTTGTTGTTGTTGTTCTTGTTCTTTGACACGTTTTTAAAAAATCGCTTTTCTCTTCGAATACTGGACCAATTGCTTTGAAATTTTCAGTGGTTAAAGATTAATTTCTTCGCTAGAAGGCTATTACTTTTATTAATTTCAAAATTTTGCGTGAATTCTATGAAATTTGATATTTCGTCTAAAATTTTGCTATATTATTTTTTATCCATGGGAACACGGATTTTAGTCAGTGTCATGACTGGCTGTACGTTTTGATTCGGCAAAATTCTTGCTACTGGAAATTCAGAACTTTTTTGAGGGTACAGGTAGCGTCAAAGGTACCGGTAAAGACTGATTCGCTCTGGTCTAACGTGTCCATATATTTGTGCGTAGCTCTCTTGTTTTAGAATAGTATTCTTTCATTTTAGTAATCCTAATAGTAATCTCGAATCAAACGTGAGTGACGATGAGCACAATTAGAATTATTACGACAAGACACTTTAAATGCAATTTAAATGAAGAATGTTGCGTAGAAATTTCCAATTCCAATTTTGAACCCCTCCCTCTTAAGAATCCTGGCTGTGCTCCTACTTATAAATAATGTCATTTTTTAATTCCGCCTTTTTGCCATATTTCGAGGCTATATTGTTGTCCAATTTTATCAAAGCTGTTATTGCTTCTTTGAACAGTTACAAAATTAGCCAAGTCAGTATTTTGAAAAGTAACCGAATAGCTCGCGGAGCCCCTGGGTTTCTCTCGCGGAGCCCTGGGGCTCCGTACGGAGCACTTTGAGAACCTATGCACTAGCCCTCTACCTTGGCAAAACGTAATACTGGGCAGAACTTAAAATAAGATCCAATTGATTCGAAAATTCACAAACAGTTCGTCACATCGTCAAGGTCGCAAACTTTTTGTCACTGGCATATCTTCGATACCAAGAGGAATCAGATGCGAAATGATAAAAACGAGACCATATATATGTGGAAACCCCGCACTCAGAAGCGGACTGGTTGAAGGCCAAATTAATATTAAATTACATATTTTTTAAAAATAGTTTTCATACCTATAAACATACAGGATGATAGAAAGAAATACAAGCGAAATTTATTTCAATCGTGCCAATATTGAGGTATGAATCGCCTGGTCAATTAGAGTTAGACCAATCATTCATTCCATTAAATGCTGAGGCACTATTGAAAACTCGGCTATGAAGACTGCTGTGGCTCCCCTCTTACTTGTTGTCCTAAGCACGTGGTTCTCAATAATGGTGGAGGAATAAATATAGTTAGTGTCGCCTTAGAAACCCAAAATAGTATAATATCCCCATACAATATTCGTGTATCTCAGCATTAGCACGATTTAATTATATAGTTTAACTATTTTCTGTATTAGATTTTGTTCATAATAGTGTTGACTTTGTTTTTATTTGTGATATTAAATCTCTCTTTCTATACTTACTTAATATGGCATAAGATATTTATATTTCTCTCGGGGGAACGAAAGTCATGGTTCAATCTAGGGATGGGCAATAGGCTTACCATACATCCCGCTTTAGGCGGGACAGTCCCGCTTTCCAGCGTTTTGTCCCGCCGTCCCGATAAGTCAGCCAAAAGTCCCGTTTTTCCAGCATAATACACAAACGTGTTCTCGTTACTGTTGTTTCTGTGTAGCGCAGCGCTAGCCTACTCACTGAAGGTGAATGCGTTCGTTTCCCGCTGATTCCCATTGATGGCAGACGTATCGCATGTAAAACCAATACTAATTAGTCTAAATTCAAATTATTTGTACCGGTAACGTTAACGTCATTTCCTTCCTATTTTTCGAACTGAACCCGATATTACCCGAAAATGTGAAGTTATAAAATCACAGCTAAGGTGTGCTTGTCTTTTGAGGCGTCCCGATTTGAAGTCACAAAAATATGGTAACCCCAGCAATATAGAATACCGAATCCGGAGGATTTGAATCCAACGGGATTCGATAACAGGATTCGGTTTCCGCCTCTCCGGCGCCAAGCGTCCATTTCGGGTTTCTAATTTATCAATTAAAGACGAGCGTTTTTTTTTTTCGCGTGGAAATCTCATGAGCGTTTTTTCTCGCGTGGGAATCTCTCTCGTTTAATATAACTTGCGTCTGCTCGTAAAATCGGTAAACATCAAACACTGTTATCTCAATCGGCATATTCAGGACAAAAAGTCGGCGAAATACACCTTACGACGAAGGCTCGTTATTGCACCATTTTTGCGTTTTACTGATTTGCTAATAGGTAACGTATAATATTAATAAATATTTGTGCCGACTTACTAGCAATATTCCGATAATCTGATTGCAACAATCTTTATTTGTTTACAGACGTGCCTTGCTTCATTTTACATTAAATGATATCTCGCGACTTGCGAGTTTTACCAAAAAATGATGCATGTAAACCAAAAGCCAGGCGTTAAATGTCATAACATTGCTTGCGAATAATTTAGATCAAATATTATTTACGAATAATTTTATTACACCATTTTCCGAAATACAAAAGTTATATATATCGCAATACGCGAAAATCTGACACTTTTAAATTTCACTCTCAAAACATTACATTTTTTTCGGTCCGTTTCTATCGTTCAATATAGACGCACGTTTGATCGAGTGTCTGTGGTATTTCAGTCGCCAATAAACTTAAAAAGTTGCCGCATCTGGCGAAGATAGGAGCGTATTGAGTTTAAATAGGGCCAAGTCTGGGTAGATAATGCTATGTAATGATAATCATAGAAAAGGAATTAGTCTTTAGATGTTATTAACTAACTACGAAATCGCGTTTACGGGAACTTTGCTTTGTCTTGCTCGCACAGAAATAAAAAGTTGATTTTGATTGATAGTGGTTAAATTGAATATTTTACAACGGCTGCATAGGTTGCAGTGGCCACACGCTGGTCCTACATCTAATTATTCTCGGCGGATATGTTTTGGTACACTCGGCAGACTAACATTGAAAATGATTTAACGATGTTTCATATCTATTTTTGTATTTAACCGCTTACTATTAAAGTGTGTAAAGCGTGTCTTAATTTAGCATTTCACTATTTAGGGATTATTAGACTATTTGGAACAATTGAAGGCAAAAAATATTGGAATATTCCTAAATTTTATTGTCCTGTGAAATGCCTGTTTAGTATCAAATGAAATCCAATTTTCAGGACATTTCCAAATAAATAATACATTTACAATTTTTCAACATCTAAATCCAGCATTATGGGAATTCCCACTATTTGAATAAGTATAAAAATAGAATAGGATTCGGTATTCTGGATTCGATTTAACTATTCTAGAATAGTAAATTGTTCTACATTGCCCATCCCTAGTTCAATGACGTGGAGGCCTATTTTCCGGTTACCATTCGACGTGGGAATGGGATTAGTTATTGGTTTCAGACGGTGACCGTACATTTGAACCCATGCGTATATCCACGGGTTCAATCTATATGCGGGTGCTAAAACCCATGGGTTAGGGTTAGTATGGGTTTAACCATCCGTGAAACAAAAAAACTTCCATAGGTGCAATAGCATACAGGTGCAATTGTCGTGGGTTCAAATGTACGTGGGTTCAAACGTAATGGAACCGTTTCAGACGCATGGACTTGATGGTGGAGGGAGTCGTTGCCGACCAGTAGTTTTCCAAACTAATCAACCACGGAGGGGGTCCAAACTTGCACATAATTATTCCCCACCTGATTCTTACCCGCGCAGGGTAATAAGCGGAGCGTTTGCACCAGTACCGTACTCCGTAGTATGATCTGGACTCCAGTTTGGCCAGATATATAACAAGTGAATGAAAACTATTCATGCATCCAATCTGACAATTTTGGTTGGACAGTTTGAAATTAAAAGACTGTGACATGCGTCTGCTTACCCATAAAAGGTATATATGTTAAAATGTAGACTACAAAACGCAACCATTCGCTTACACACCCAGTTAGAAAGTACAGGAACATATTAGAAAATGGTCCAAGACCATGAACCAATTTGTCATGGCACAATGGGACTTTTTTTGAAGGTGGTATTTCAGCTTTTAATACCTCCCTGAACAATTCCAAAATTTTTCACTGTATAATACATCTCAGATTCGGACATATATTTGTAAAAAATTGACCAAAAGTCTGATATAAAAATTTCAATGTCTACCAAATCCTGATTCGAAGAAGTCTACTCAAAAAGCAACATACACAAGGTCTGGTTGAACTATCACATCGATCCAAAACAGACCATGTCAATATTCGTGAAAATATTCTCAATCATGACTTGAGACTAACCAAAGCAAACCAGTTCTGGTAAGCATATGCTATCACGGTTACATTAAGTGTTCTATAAAACAAATTGTTTCATGGTGGACTAGGCGAATCTGATACTGTTCTAATTTTTGATAGCAGCTACTACCTGAAACTAACAATGTTGACAAATATGAGGCAAATGTTCAAGATTAAAAGCAGGGAGTAGTAATGCAACGAAATGACCTCCCTTCGTTTGCAACGAGATAGCCCCCAAAACTATAAAAAACAACACTTTTATCCCATGCGAAGTGATAATTTTCAAGTAATACAAGGAGCGATTCAGGAATTGGGTATTTCATTACCATTCGCCAACGCAGATCGAGCAAGTTCCATTTGCTCATTTTGACTTCACTATGTTGCTGGAGTTTCCACTTTAATAAAAGCAGCACCACTTGCGAAGTAACTCTTTTTACCGTCAGCCAAAGCTTCTTCATCCACTCGTTTCTCCGATGCACTTGGATTTACAATTTCAATTCCTTTCAAAGGAGTGAAAGCCACAGATGATGCTGTTCCACTCCCCCTGTCTCTTATTGATGTTTTCCCTCCCCAAGTGCTTGCGGCACCTGCTCGATTTGCCTTTTGAATCTTTTGTTGTAATGTTTTTGATACTTTCACTTGAGTTTTATTGTCAACCTTCAAAAAATATTAGAAAAATAAACTATCCCTCAATCTAGCTAACAGATACATGGATAATTTTAAGTAGTTTACTAACAAATATGACAAGATGAATACAACCTCAGAATACAGAATAAACATGCAAATATAAAATGGCTCAATTATCATTTAGTGCTACAGGGAGTCCTCGGGTTACGACGGTCGCGACTTACAATGTTTCGAGGTTACAAACGCGCACTCCACCATAACGTTGTTTCGAGGTTACGAACGCACTTTATTAACATATACAGATATAAAAGATAAAACTGTACTGTAATATATAAGCCTATAAACTGGATCATTGTGATCAAGAAAATCAGTGCTCTGGGCTCATTGGTTTTCGTTATTTACATCGTAAATGACGTGACCAATTGCGAACTATTACGATTATGAATGAATAATCACTAAGCTTCAGTCACATGGTACAGTACAGTACTGTACACAGTTCCAGTGATACTGTATGTCATTTTGGTTGTTTAAGCCGGTTTTTTTCGTAACTTGTTTGATCGTTTTTTTACTTTGCCCTTTGTTATGGGCTCAAAGCAAAAAAAAGATAAGATACTGTACAGTGTTTGCTTTTACCCACGTGATGTGGAATTGTTTTCTTTTTTTCTAATAAAGTTCTTATTGCATTATTTGTACATTTGATTAGTGTACAGTACCATACTTTACAATACAGTATGATGAGTATAGAGTAATTCATGCACTGTACCACTGTACAGTATAATGTTCAGACTTACACTGAAATTCGGGTTACACCGAATCTCAGAAACGGAACTGTGTCCTAAGTCGAGGGCTCACTGTATTCGCTACAATACATGCGGTACTGTTCTGAATAACACAAAATAAAAAACAATGGATAAAAGGAATCTTATCAGGAGTTTTATCAATACGAAGGTGCGGTGTCCTTATCACTCACACATTATATGTAGAATGAAACAACGTACTTGTGCGGCTCTTATTCTCCCAGTTCCCTTCTTTCCAAGCTGACCGAGCGAAAATCCCAAGTTTTGTTGATAAGCTTCATCCTCAATTTCACCAAAAGTCATTCTATTGGCCTGTTTTCTCATTTCTGTCATTCCAAGTCTTTCTTTCATTTTTCTATACCTTCTACCTCCTCTCTTCTTTCGTCCTGGATCAATTGGAGCTGGAAGAGCTTTAATCTAAATATAGCATGCGTTATAAACTTTGCTCAGAATCACTCGCTTTTAAGTGAGTGAGTGTGACCTAGATTTGATTAAATTGCTCAAAAAATATTCATGTACCTGTTTAACAGGAGGTGGCTCTTGCCATTTTTCTAACTTTCTTTCAATTTCCTCTTTCAAATTGAATCCACTTTTGCCATCTGGTGCTTCATGAAAACTGTCAATTCGAGCCGCTAGAGTTACCTAAAAAGAAGCCAATTCACAACTCAATGAGCCAATTTGAAAATATATATTAATATTGTTAATTTTCAATAACTCCTTACTTTGGCAGAAACAAGTCTTGCTGCTTTTCTTCTTAAATCCGTAGGAATGTTCTGAACTAAGTCACTGTAATAAATATATCCTAGGAATTAAAATATGAGCATTAGTTTTGTTTCTTTGAAATCTGATAAAAGGAACACCTATATAATTGTATAATGAGTTTTTATAAAAAGCTGTGCTTTCGTATTCATACTGGATGGAGCTGGGAAAAATACAAATGATCTCATTATTTACCCATCCTAAGATCCTATGTTGTAACTACAAAAATTACCTGTATGGGGATTTATAGCAGTGCTAGAGAATCCAGTTAATGTTTTCTTTTGAGATCCAAGTAACATTATATTACATGCAGGCATCTTTGTCAAGGCAATAAGACCCCCTGCTGCTCCCATTAACTTGGCAGCTGTCGAGGCTCCTAAAGACCAAAAGTAAAATTTAGAACTACATGTGATACTCATGAATGGAAAATAGACTGACAATAAGATGCAAGCTGATTTTGCCAAAATTACTTTAATCAATTTTTATATTACTGTTTATTTTATTATTGCTTGCCAATTTTCCACTGGATTCACAAGTACGGTAAATTATATCGATTCTATATCAATTATTTACTAGAAGATTCTTTAAAATTGACGGCCAGTGCATGGTAACACTAGTCTGACGAATACCCTGTGAATTTGCTGCTTTAAATGCACCGTAGGATGGTTTATGTTGAACAGTGAGGGCTTTCTCCACCATTAAGTCTGAGATGAACATCTGGTTAATTCCTGAAACGGTGACAGTGGTTCCATGGTCTGCCATTATAATTAGGCTTCCCTCCCCCCTCAGATACTATGAAATGCCTATATTTCTACTGCCAGTCCTATTTTTTATTACTCACTATACGCTTACCAACAATGATTGTGAGGTTTGGTGCAATGAAAGACATTCTGGCTTCAACATATTCTAAAATCTTCATTTTAGCCAGTATTAAATCCTCTGACATATGACACGCTTCCAAAATTCTTTTTTCTTCGTATTCATCTAACTGTTTTCCTTGGGTCGTAGAAGCAGTAACGCTCACAACCATAATTGTGGCATTTGATAATACCTGAAAACAAATATATTGTAGTGAAGCTACCACGGGAAACCTGTAAAAATGGTAGTTCCAGTAGCAAGATATGTCCCCTGGGCAGAAAAATCATGCAAATTGGAGAAAAATATTTATAACCCAGGAGTCAAAAACGAGGTTATCAAGTGCTTACTTCCATCAGCCATCAGCAGCTGACCACTGGTCACGAATGGATAGTTGACTTTAAATAACTTGATTTATCAAAAAAGTTCAATGCAAAAAAACGAATCTTTAACATTTAAATTTGTGACAAGATTACCTGTTGTAAAACTTCATTGTTTTTACATCTCTCCAAATCATTTCCTAATTCCTTTACGGTTCGAATATACTCTAGAGGTGTTGGAACAAGAGACTCAAGTTCAGGAAATCTTTTCATATAATTATCCCTGAAATAGATTGATGTTAATTGGCTTTGTATAAACAATGCCTCAGCATGATCAGAAATAAACTGTTGGTATCGTACATTTTGTAGTGATTTACAAATTCTTCTACAGTTATTTCATTTGAATATTTCAACATATAATGTGATGTATCACCGGTAACTAATGACAGTTCGAATAATAGAAATGTTTATATAACTGTCTGTCAAATAAACAGTTGTGTGATGCAAAACAAACGTACCTGCAAAATTTATGTATAATATTGATTTCATTATCAATTTCAACTGTTAAATTATTTGATTCAACTATAAGCTGATATTCTGGATTAGATTCTACTGGACCTGCTGATGATACAGGCTCATTTTTGTCAAGAATTTCCGCTATTCGACCCATTACTCTTTTGAATTGATCACTTCCATTCAACCTGTAAAAAAAAATGATTGGCTTTAAAATAAAATATGCCCCTGAAAAATAAAACCCACAGTTTCTATATTCATCTTTTATACGTTTTTATCAATTTTTCTATTGTCCGTTAGGTTGATGAAGTATATTTATAACCAGAGCACAAATACCACAGCTGAAAGATGGTTAAATGAATGCACAGAGAAGCTACCAATTATAAGATCATGAATCAAACTTTAAAAATGCCAGCGGATCTTATTAAACAAGTTGGATTCAAAGAGATTTCATAATCCTAAATCATTCATATTCTGTACATTATAAGAAAGATTCTGAATCTAATCATTCAGAATAGTAGCATTTGACTTTGCCACCAATAGAAATAGTTATAGAGCGATTGATAAATATAATAATTAGATAATGACCGACTTAGATAGACTGAAATATGGGCCCTCTATTTCTGTATATTTACTAATGCAGTAATTATTATAACACAAACATGCTACATTCTGACATTAAAACAATACCTTGCAACATGATGAATGCTTTCAGAATCCGTTGCTTTTTGTCCAGAATCAAGATCATCTATATCGTCAATATCATCAATTCCATCAGAATCATCTTCCAGTTGATGCTCTTCTTCCATTGCAACTTCTCCATCCATTCCAGCATCCTCCAAATCTGCTAAAAGTTCATCAGCCAGAGACATATTTGTTGATCAATGTTTTGGACACAGATAGACGACTATTCTGCTATTAGTCCTAAAACAAAGTTACAATGTTGCATTCGGTAGTCAACATGCCCGATAAGAAAGGACATGATGATAGAAAAAAAAACAGTCTTGTTTAGTTTGTGCATGTTAGTACCCTAATTTAGAATGCACAATGAAGTAACCCATTTCTACTTTCTGATCCTAATACAGTAATATCTCCTTCAATTTTTAGTTTTAATATTTTCTCCAATGTCAGAATGTAGATTAGTATTAACACAGATAAATAATTGCAATTTATAAATAAGCCGCCTAACGTTATCACGTTACTTTCACGTAGAGAGAATACTAGAATCTAGGAGGAACTCCCACTAAAAGGCAATTAATCGACAGCCATGATGCTAACTACTAAAGCACAGAAGTATATGTAACTCCCAAGACCATCACGCAATTATTCCAACAACACTATTTAATTAAGCCATCGATAATCACACATGAAAACGTATGATGGACGTAAAGCTATTGTGCTGCGATGAGTCAATTTTTAAATCCGACACCAAGTCACTTTTTGTATTTTCGACTAAATTCTAAGAGATTCCACCAATTTTTACCCAATCATCATTATTTTGCTAAAAAGAATGAGACCCAAAATATGAACAGATTTACAAAATGCAGTACATTGTCTGTATGTAGATACTAATAAAAATATGTCCGATAACCTGAAATTGTGGTTACAAGAACAAAGTTTTTGACAGTTTGACCAGCAAGTGACGTATGCAGGTGTGAGTTAGGAATAGGATCTGTAACTGTGCATGTTTGCGTTGCTGGTTTAGTTTTTCATAAAGTCTTAAATAACTTGCTTTCTTGTTATTTAACGTAAAACTTAGTTGAGTACGGAATCTAATAAAAACCGTACCATGCGTTATTTTATGAATGAACTATGTCAGTTTACAGGTTTACTCAGTGTAAACAAAATGACCAGGAGCCCTGCTGTCGTTGATCTTGCATATTGGCATACACAAAACCGTCCTGTTCTATTGCTATATAATCTTTCAATATTGTTCTATACTATTTGGTAATGATAATATTGTTCATGGAATCTCTCTCTCTATGAACTTTAGAAATCAGTGTATGCTTGCCTGCAAAAACATATATCTATCTACACTATAAAGTTTCTCATGGTTTTCAGATTGGAGTAATGGATATATTAAATTCTAAGATTTTAAATATAGATGGACGTTTGTATATAAGTTACCTTGAAGAGGAAGATTTTGTAATAGATGAACCTAATGAAGAACAATTATACGAGGAGGAAACAACTGAAGATGAAACCCTCAACTATGAAAAAACCAGCACTGGTTTCAAGGGAAGTATTTCGTGTCCAAGTGCATTATATAAATATGTTATAGGCAGTCGTGGTGCAACAAAGCAAAAGATTGAATATGAAACACATTCAAAAGTCATAATCCCACAGCGTGGGCAAAGTGGTGACATACTTGTGAAAGCAAAGTCAACAAAAGATGTTGAAGCAGCCATTACCAGGATAGAACTTCTGATTTCAGAAAAACGTTGGAAAGAACCATTTGCACATTTTGTCACAATTCCTCTTAATGATGATGTTCTTAAAGAAGGATTAAATAAGTTTAAAACTGAAGTGTTAAAAAAATTTTCAGGCGATGAAGGAGTAACGGATAAATTATTTCCTACTTATGGCAAATTACATTTGACGATAACGACATTAATTCTTCTTGATGAATCCGAGTGCGAAAGGGCAGTTAATGTTCTTCAAGAAATCAAAACTAGTAAGATTCTAATAAACTGTGATAGAAAAAGAATTTGTGTGCAAGGTATAGAATATATGAATGATGATCCACAAGCAATAGATGTTCTATATGCGAAAGTATCATGCCCCGATGATCCTAATTTCTTGCAAGAATTAGCAGATCACATTGTATCAGAATTTGATAGTGCAGGACTTGCGAGAAAAGAACGGGGCCATGTGAAATTACATGCTACTGTAATGAATACTTTGCGAACAATAGACCGCCCGGACCCCAACCAAAAGAATTTGAGGAACACGAACCAAAAAAGGAAAACCTTTGATGGGAAGAATATCCTGAAGGAATTTGAAGACTATTACTTCGGAGAGTTCGATCTGAGGGAAATACATATTTCTAAAAGACACACTGTTGGTAAAGATGGATATTATGAAAGTCTTGATATTGTAGCAATATAATGTTTATGCATACAATCTTTTAAAATATTTCATTGATAGAAGACAAAAGTGTTCTGAAGTATACTTAATAACCGGCAACTACATTTCAACAAGCTCAAGCTTTCTTTTCTAATTAGGGAATAGGTAATTATTACTTTGCATACCAAACTGGGAAGCTGTTCTCTTACTTCTCATAGCTGGTATTTAAAAAAATCATCTTCTTGACACCCAAGGGCTTTTGTTCGGATATATTTAGAGATAATTGTTAACAGTTTTTTTCAATGCACCAAAAGTCCAGACTTTTCAGTATTAACTATTTTGAAAACGATGTTACAACACAAATGTGCTCATATGAAGTATTCCAGTCGTTCAGAGTTGATATTCAATGAACATCATATGTCTTTGCATTCATCAACAAATAGGATTTACGCAGTTTAACTACTTTTAAGCATCGTTTGAGATAGTAATTCATATTCACAATCGTCGTGTATTCAGCCATCTTCCACAAAATCATATTTCAGGTCCTCCCCGGCCATTGTAATCTTATTAAATGTTTTTTCGGAGACGTTCGTTTGCAAATTTTCAAAAGTTTTTGTTGGTTTATCCCATACGTAACAGAGTTGTATTTTGAATTCCGCCATCATTATTTTCAAGAGTTTCTGTAATAGGGTTAAAATTACTAAATATTCTATTGCCTAAATATAAGCAAACTTGGAAACAAATCTCTTACCAAAATATTTGCTTGCTCAGGCGATAACACTTCGCCTTCTTTACATACTTTGTGTTGTTCCAACATGGTCACTACACCTAGAATGATAATATAATTCATATCTGTAGTGTTTTGTTGGCGACAGAAACTTGGACAATAGATTACAATTAAAGACAGTGTGAAAGATATATCAGTTAATCTCAAATTCATGGCTGTTAAAAAACAAGCTCTTTCATTATTGGCTATTGCGTTTCTTAAAATGCATATCTACAGTATATATCAATAAAAAAGGATACGATACTGAACATCTGCATACCTTTTTTCAAAGCAACAGGCAATCCTAGCTTACGTAAGTGTGGTTCAATGGCATGAGAAAACTGGTTGAGAGGCCCTTCTTCCAGAACAACTGTACTGTCTGCTTTGAATCCAGACTTTGCAAAATCGTGCTCCCCAAAGCTGGAAAACCATCTGGAACAGAATATTTATGCAATAATAAAAGATTGTTCTCCAACATCACAGATAACCATGTAAAAAGATTGAAGTAAAACTCACTCCTCTACTTCTTTTTTTGTCTTGCTTGTAAAAAGGATTCCGACTTCTCCGGTTAACTTTTTTGATATGTTGTGAATGTTTTCCATATACTCATCGCCTGATTCTTTACCAAGGGCTAGCATCATTACTTTATTCTTTCCAAAGAAAAACCTTCAATTTCATAATAGAGAATAGAAACTAACATGCAGACATAGCAGATAAACACATACATGTTTAACCATAGTAAGCATAAGCTATATAATAGTCGAAAGTTGAATTGGCTAGAATGACTATCAATCATTGCTTTTCGGAGCACAAACCATTCAACATAAGTCCACAGTCAAAATGATGATGCAATCCAAAAACTTTACCAGCTTCATACCTACTGTGCTTCCATGCATTTCTTACATCTTTTAACTTGCTGTTCCGCATATTGTGAACACTGAATACAAATATTCGTTCATACATGTCAACGCATTTTCGCACCTGTTGAATGGGGAGGAAAAAAATTCTGAAGACAAGCACAAAAAAACGGAAAAAAATCTTTGTGATTTGCACCATTTATATAATATGAAGTGAAAAAATGTAACCAAGTACTGAAATACCTCCTCTACCAGATTCTGCTTTCCTTCTAAGCCCTTTTTTCTTGTTTTAGTCAGGGATACTGAAATAAAAGTAAACACGTTTATTTCTGCATTTCCCAGTTTTGTTCTCAAAAAAACAGAATTTATTTTACGATTCAGTAATTATCAACTAGATGAAGTATAAAAAACAATAGCTAACCTATTTCTGTAGTTATTGTCCAGGTTCGTATTTAAGAATATTAATACTAGATTCCCAGTTCAAGTCCGATGTATATTCAATTATTCAACAAAATATCACCCAGGCAAATTGAACTTACCTCGTTTGTCACGTTTCGACTTCGGCATATCAGACCTCAGTGATGATAATTATTAAAATTCACGTTGGTTCCTAATCCGAACCGATATCACCTTAACTTATCAATGTGAATAGTGAAACGGAAATTCGCGAGAGCGTATATCCAAACGCAGAGCACATGTGAGCAATGGGCATAAACAAATTGTATTGAGATTAATACGACACGTAATTATTTAGTGTTCACTTATATATTTAATCAAAGAAAATAAGTGAGATTAGCAGAGAGAGACAGATATTTATTATTTGTCAATCGGAATAAAACAGTTATATTAATTAATCAACGAGTTGTTATAGTAATCATATAAAATAGTTAAAAAATTATTCATCAAAATTGCCCAATCCGAAAGTAGTTAGGATAGGATTTACTTATTTATTTAGTTGGATTGAAGTTGGATGCATAAAACGGGGCTTGACCTCACTCATTGAGTTAATACAGTATATTAACCTTTTTTGATAGCGTTTTAGATTGTTCTATTGTCAATGTACGATAAACCCTAGCTTTATTTCATGTCAGCAACGCTATCGTTAGTAAAACGGTGTATTTCAAATATGACGTCATACTTTCGTAATCAACATCACAAATCGCCCAATGGGAACACCACCATTGCGGAAAGTCTTTCACAGGATGACAAGGCTTTCCGAACAAGTACTTGGAACAACGACGGTGGGTTTTTTACTTGTAGTTGTAGCCTATGTGTTCGTGAAGCCACTGCTATTTCTTAGTGCGCTGTGGCACTCACAAAACACGTTTCATCCGAATAAGAGGGTTTACGGTTGAATATATTATATTGAATAATATCTTATTTATTAATAAAAATTCCACTTTGAGGCTATATAGACTATTACCGTATTATTAGTCAAAGAATTGAATAATGATAGCGAACCGAAATGTGCTTCAATTTTGTATTTGACCAGTACAAACTTGGGCACTTGAAAGATAATTTGTGATGTAGCTCGTATTGTTCTATCTGTGCACTCTTTAGGTAATGATTTTACCATATCCACCTGCTTAATTGTGGCATTTTCAGATATTTATGTCCCAATCGGCAATCTGGAATGGGTTCAAATAACTAACATGAGAAAGTTCTTTTTAAAATAATGGCTTATATGTTATTGTACTCTAGATTAAATTATTGCAAAGCTTTTATTAAATATAAAATGAATCCGGTCATTGATGTCAAATCTGAAGCAGACTTTCAACAGGCCATCAAAAATGCAAAAAAAGAACTAGTAGTTGTGCATTTCTGGGCACCGTGGGCAACACAATGTGAACAAATGAATTTGGCCATGGAAGAACTGGCAAAGCAGTTTGTAAGAGTTCACTTAATCAGATTAGAAGCGGAGGAAATACCTGAAGTATCACAACATTTTGAAATAGTTGCTGTACCGACTTTCATTTTTATAAAAAATGGACAGAAAATTGACCGATTGGATGGTGCCCATGTTCCAGAGCTTGAAAAAATGATCAAGAAAAATCTGGATGCCATCGCACCAATCACCGACTCAATACAAACTAGCAAAGAGATGCTTGATAATAAATTAAAACGACTTATCAACTCAGCTCCTTGCATTTTATTTATGAAAGGATCTCCAGAAACACCCAGATGTGGATTCAGCAAACAAACTATTGCTTTATTGCAAAAATACAACGCAGAGTTCAGTACTTTTGACATATTAGAAGCACCCGATGTTCGACAAGGTCTGAAAGAGTATTCTAACTGGCCGACGTATCCCCAACTGTACATCAACGGCAAACTCATTGGCGGCTTGGACATACTTAAAGAAATGGATGAAGAAGATGAGCTTGATGAAATGTTACCAAAACCAACTACAAAAGAGAGCTTGGAAGATCGACTTAAAAAATTAATAAACCAAGACAAAATTATGCTTTTTATGAAAGGAGAACCAGATGCTCCCAGGTGTGGATTTAGTAAGAAGATTGTTGAAATTTTGAAAGAGATTGGAACCAAATTTGGGCACTTTGATATACTCACAGATGATGAAGTAAGGCAGGGTTTGAAGACTTTTTCTAAATGGCCAACATATCCCCAAATTTATGTTAAAGGAGAACTTCTTGGTGGACTAGATATCATTCGCGACATGCAAGAAGATGGAGAATTAGAAGATGCATTGAAGACAGACTAAAATATGTTCACTGTTATTTTTTATAATGTGCCTTCTGAGGAAACTTGATGTAGGCCTGTATATCCTCTAATTCTCTTGTCCCCCTCCCCTGTATTGATTGATAACACCAAAAATTCATGCTAAAAAGGAATTCTTGACAGCTCCACTTGGGCACACACTAGGAATTATCAGGATTCACTAAAGTTTCATTTCAAGATGTCGCTACCCAAAATGGTAAATGCTTTTAATGCGTCTTACAATATGTGTAAAAATATGAATAGTTTATTGCATGTGAAATAAAGTTTTTTTCAGTTCCAGTATTTCAACATGATACAAATAGTGACTAGCTAATGTCAGTCGGGGCAGGGTGAATATATTTCCATGAGTAAATCATTATTTATACGCTTATTACTATTTAAAAACACAGCAAATGAGGGCTTTTTCGTTCTGAGAGATCAATAGAAATGATGAATCTTCTCTGTCGTCTGGAGTTGTAAATCTGACATGTGCAAATTGGTAACAGTTCAAACATTAAAATATTACTAGCATGATACTGAGTAACAACAGGTCAGACAGACAACACAAGAATACAGAATCAAAAGTAGCCGCACTGGTTCTGATACAGCATCATATCAAACCTTTGCGCTTCTTATAGTCCTCTAAATTCAATGACCGTTTTGGAATGGATACTGATGAAGATAAACTCATGGCCTTCGGTGCTGCAAGAGGGTGAACATCTGAATTTGAAATTTGCAAATCAATTTTGATGTCAAAATTATGAGCATCAAACAGACTTGCATCAGTTTTTGAAGTGCCTTCATCGGATTTTTCTTTGTTTCCTCCCCGTTTTGGAGCTTCGTATGACTTGTCAACACCACCGCCGTATCTCCGTTCCATTTCCTTTATTAGGCGTTGAGTTTGATCTGAGTCCTCTGCGTTTGAAACTAGCACTGGTTTGCAGCGACGCCTGGTGAAAGGATCAGCTGTCTTTGTGCGAATATTTTTCCATTCTTCTATACAGGCTTTCTCCTTTTCAAGATTAGAACTCTTGATCCTTTCATTGATGTATGTAATACCTGCAATATTTTCTTGTCTTTTTTTATCAAGACTTTTAGCCCTATCTTCCAATTCTTCAAGTTCTTGTCCGACCTTAGCTTGTTCTTCTTGATCTCCTGTTTGTTCAGCCATCTCTCGATGCTTGAGCAAAAGAGTTTTCTGCATTGCATAATTTGTTGGATTTCGTTGAAATCTTTTCTTTTCCTTGATCATGCCATCAATATCTTTTTCTTGTATATTGTATTTCAATGCTTTCTGAATTTTTCCCAAACGGCTTTTCACTTCATCCAAAGTTGGCAACTGCAATCCGGCAAGTCTCATAGTCTCTTTCCATTTAAAAAATTCATTTTCGGTAAAATCAGAATTTGAGACAAACTCAAGTCGAAACACTCTTTCTTGTTGGCCATGTCTGAGTCTAAGACCTCTATTTGTTCTCAGTTTATCTAGCTGATAGACTTTGGCAGTTTCTACAACATCCATTATCTCAGCAACCCTGTATACAGGACGGCCGTTGTTGTTTCCAATGCCAATTCTTACAAAACAACCTGCGATGGTTTCTTTAAAAAAAGGTAATAAGAGCCATCGGCCCAGTTTGTATCTAGAAAGTCTGATTTTTTGAAGCTCCGCAACAGACTCAATTTCTTGTGATCCTTTTGACTGCCGCTCAACATCTGAACTTGGTGATCTCCCACGACTACTTCCTTCACTGTCACTTAATGATGTGTCAGAGTCACTAGATGAGCCCAACGCTGTAGTCCGAGGTTTTGATGTTGATTCATCTTTAATATCATCATCATCTTCCTCATCATCAGTATATACTTCACTCAATTTTAACTTTCTCTTCTTTGCGATTTCCTCTGCTCTAAGTTTTTTCCGTTCTCTTTCAGCTTTGAAACTTTCCAAAGTTTTTCTTTCCTTTTTATCCTCCATCTTTTGACGACGATCACTTCGCATTGCGGCAAACGGGTCGTTACTGCTCTTAGATTCCTTCTTTTTTTCCACACTACCGCTCTTCTTTTTGGTCAATTTTTTCTTCTTCAATTTCCCATCTTGTAGCTTTGCAAGTCTTAATTTTTTCTCAATTTCGAATCGTTTCTGCAAAGCTTCACGTCTTTCAAGTCTGTTATATAACTCTTGTTCTCTTTCTTTTTCAGTCATATTTTCGAGTGCTCTGCGGTCATCATCATCCCCAACCAATTCTTCATCATAGCCATCATCAAACTGTTTTCTCAGTTCTTCCTCGTCAAATTCACCAGAGGATCCACCACTCGATTCTGCGCCACTTGAGCTGATTTCTCCCTCTTCCGGAGAGTTATCCGCAGCATTTGCATCACTATCATCTTCAGAATTTGACTCATCAGAAACCACTTTACCTTTTTCTTTCTTGCTACCTTTAGATTTTGTTTTCTTCTTTGTTTTGGATTTTTTTGAACGCGCACTGACAGTCCATTCGTCATCATTATCAGATGTATCAGAACTATCACTCGAAGATGACATTTTTTTGGCTGGTGAGTCCTGTTGCGGCCCACTGCTGCTACTTCCTTTTCGTTGCCTCTTGGCAGCTACTGGATCACTGCTGATTTCACCATCACTTTCGTCACTGTCTGAAACAATATTCTTTCGACGTTTTGACATGATAATATCACAATTGAACTTTTTAGTAGACTAATTTCTGAAGTAAAAATAAATTATTAATTAACTGAAGTTTAATGGGCCAGTATTTCATTCAGTACATTGATAATCGGCATCATCAATTCAGTCGCTATTAATTCTGTAATTATGCGCCTAGTCGGATGATACCGGTATCAATTTTTTGGAACCTACAGCACCAGCAGATTAGAATATCGCGTAACCTAGTCACCTGCAGCCTGTCTGAGCAACTCCACAACCTGAAACAAAACTCGATTCTCTGATCACCACAATAAAACTAAGAACTAAGTGCTCCCTGCAAGCAAGGTCACAAATATCGGTACCACCCGCCCAATCAGTCTGAACTTGTATTCAGTATATCACCAATATACCTATTTATTCAAAACCCATCCTACGCGCGAAAAATAAAAAGGACATAAACAAAACGATTTTAACATTAGCTCTTATGAGGATTGTGGTCACCAGAGCAGAAATTTGCATTTTATGTAATTTTCTAGTTGTCTTTCATTGTAGACTTGTGCAGTTTCGAATATGAGCTATTTTTCATATCTTTTTTGATATTTTTATAATGATGAACATAGTCGAGATTTTTGATAATCGCTCATTAAAATTTTAACGGCCGTGATTCCCAGACTTGACTTCAAATCTTTTCATGATGAATAGATTTTTATGGTTTTCCTATAATTGAACCATTTTCCCCACCTCAATTACCACATGTTTGAATTCCCGAGCAGACTTCCTCTGATTTGTTATCAGCTGTTAATTTACTGCTTTACTTGTTAGATGGTCCTCTAAGTAAAAAACTAGAAAAAAAACAGTAACTTAACAATGCTTCAATGATGGACCTGCTGGAACTTAGACCCCAACTACCAAGTTTTGACCATTTTTAACCGAATCCAAAATATTCCTAAAATAGTCAACCCTCCCTCCAAGGAGAATTTTTTTTACTTGTTAATTGTTCAAATACCTTTATAAACTGTAAATCTTGATAGCGAACATGGGACCCTCTGTCAAAAATTTTTATGATAACAAGGGTCGGGGAAACGTCCATAGAACAAGAGAGCAACGCTCAAACATATGAACACGCTATTCGCTGTTTGATTAAGTTTGCAGATGTTATTGTAATCTTTGATTAGACTAAAAGTACGATAGCCCACTACCTTCTGTACTATTATTGTACGTGGATCTTACTGGATATACTATCTGCATACCTACCTAATTTCACCTTGCAATCAATCACACTACTGCACTAACGTTACTTCAAGATGAACAAGGAAGTCCAAACCCAGATTCTGGCAGCTATCTCATCTCTCCAGGCCAAGCAAGAGGAGCTAATGTCACATGCAACTCTATTATCTGCCTCTAAAGACCATGGCAACCAGTCCCAGGACATCATTAAGTTCCAAAATGACGTGGCTCAAATCTCCTCCAAGATCCAGGAGATTATTAGCAGGCTGGAGACTTGTGAAAAGCAACAGGACGATTTAGAACAATACAGCCGAAGAAACTGTGTGATTCTCCATGGCTGTAGTTCTGTGCCAGAAACTGAATACCATAAGTTCGAAGACTTTGTAGTGAAAACTCTCAACGACAGCCTTAAACCCAACCATCCTATTGTGAACACTGACATTGATATTACTCACAAATTAAAATCAAGATCTCCGAAGAACCCCATCATCATCAAATTCGTCAGAAGATCAACGAAGAATATGGTGTATGGTAGAAAAAAAGAACTCAAAGGCAGCGGATTGTCCATCACTGAGTCCTTGACCCGTAGCAGGCTCAAGCTACTCAGCGCTGCCAAGGAAGCCTTCGGAAAACAAAAAGTGAGCACAATGAATGGGATTATCTACGCTTACCTAGATAAAAGGCGAGTAATATCTTCCTCAAATGATATCACTACTCTCTCTCGTCCCCTCTACTCCAAGGCTGCTGCCCGTTCAGTGGGACCAACCTCAAGACGTAGCGGTAGCCTATGAGCGGAGGGGAACGATTAACTCATTCATAATCTCCATTTTTCTTATTTGAATAGGCTAGTGCTGTCTAATCAATGGTTCTCCATCTTTTAAACATCTGGAAACCTATATAGCCAGACTAGATATTTAACTTATTTTTTTTCATTTTTATTTTTACTTTTATTTTGTTGTGCCACTGCCATGAAAACTATTTTAAAATACCCATGTAGAAATTGCCACAAATCAGTTCGAATCAATCAAAAAGCTCTTTATTGTGACATTTGTTCTTCTTGGATACATTTAAAATGTACCAATATTTCTGGACAAAAATATGAAAATCTTGAATCTGAAGCTGATGAAATACCTTGGTGCTGTTTCCTTTGTGAAATAGACTGTATGCCATTCTCTTGTCTCTCTGATTCTGAAATATCTGAGTTATTTGTTCCCCTTCATACAGAAAAAGCTGAAGCCCAGGCACTTGCCAAAATTCTTGATCCTGAATACCTTAACAAAATGTTTCTTGATTCAGCAAATACTGATACTGATGAATTCAACAACATTGATAGTGTTTTCTTGTACAATTGCTCAAATCAATATATCTGCTCCAGTGATGTCAATGCCCTTAAATTCAACGACAGCCTTAAACTAAGTGGTTTCATGACTCTCTCCATCAATATCAGATCTTTAGCCTCTTTCAAAAACTTCACAAAATTTGAAGCACTAGTTAATTCACTGAATTGTAAGCCTCATGTAATTGCTGTAAATGAAACATGGATTGTATCTGGTACAAATGGCCATTTCAATGCACTGGATGGCTATGTTTTTATCTCTAATAGTAGATCTCATCACCGAGGTGGTGGTGTTGGTCTCTACATTCGAAATGATTTGAAATACATTGTCCGCAAGATATTACTATAATGTGCGAAAAGGTTTTTGAATCTATATTCATTGACATATCATTGGAAAATAAAACAATAACCTGCGGTACTATTTATAGATCACCACTAACTGATGAATTGAACAATGCTAACTTTCGGAATCTCTTGTCCCAAGTTCTCTCAAAGATGAACAGGTTGAATTATAATTATATAATGGGTGACTTCAACTATAATCTTATTGATGAGTCCAATATGAATACCAGCCTATTTGTTGATATTATGCAAAACCTGGCCTATTATTCTTTGATAAACTGCCCCACCAGGATAACTTCAAGTTCTGCTACCTGTATAGACCATATCTGGACTAACGTATATGATAAAAAAATTAACAGTGCTGTTTTAGCAGAATGTGTTTCTGATCATCTGCCGATTGTACAATGCTCTCTTCTAGAAAAGCAAATTCAGACCAGAATTGAAACGCTTTATCGCCAGTTTACTTCGTCCAACTTGAATACGTTTAAGAATGAACTGAATTCTATTGATATTGATGACTTCAGCAGCATCCAGGATCCCAACACTTGCTTTGAAAATTTTTTTGAAAAATTCTCCACTGCTTACTCTCAATCTTTTCCTTACAAAAAACAGACAAACAGATCAAACAAACCTTGGTATGATACTGAGTTACGCAAACTCAACAAAGTCAAACAAAAACTTTATAAGAAATTAATAAACAATAAAAACATAAATGACAAGCACAAATTACAGTTCAATGAATGCAGGAACCTTTATACTCGATTGCTCCACAAAAAGAAATCGAATTATTACAAATCTAAATTTGCTTCTCACAAAGGCAACATCAAGGCAGTGTGGAAAACAATTAATGAGCTTATTGGTAAAAATAAAACAAATTCTTGTCCTTTGATTGGACTTGATTGCAGTAATACACAAACTGCAAATAAATTTAATGAACACTTTTCCCAAGTGGCACAAAGCCTGCTTGACTGTATGCCACAACCAGCTGGCTGTGACAAAAATTACATTTCATATCTTGGGAAGCAAGAATCCTCATCCATGTTCTTAAGGCCAGCTACATCATTAGAAATAAAAAATATTATACGCGATATGAAGCCCAAGTCAAGTTTTGGAATCGATGGTATTCCATTTAAAATATTGAAATATGTTCCAGAACATATTATTGATATCCTGACATATATATTTAATCTTTCACTATCTAGTGGATTATTCATTGAAAGCTTCAAGACATCCAAAGTTCTTCCTCTGTTTAAAAAAGGTAGTGTTTCAGATCTTGGAAACTATAGACCTATTAGTCTTTTACCATCGTTTTCTAAGATTCTTGAAAAAATAATGTATAGTAGAATGTCAAACTACTTTGAAACTAACAATGTTTTCCACTCGCATCAATTTGGTTTCCGCAAGCATCACTCCACTGCTATGGCTGCTAATGTTTTGGTACACAAACTGACCAATGCGTTTGAATGCAAACAACATGCAATTGGAATATTTCTTGATATCTCAAAAGCTTTTGACACCATTGACCATTCCATCCTCTTAAGTAAGCTCTATCACTATGGAATTAGAGGCGTTCCATTCAATTGGATCAAGAGCTACCTTCAAGACAGGAAGCAAATTGTGCAATATGACAACTCATTCTCTACAAATATTTGTGTCATGAAGCACGGAGTTCCACAAGGATCTTTTCTTGGCCCATTATTTTTTCTAGCTTACATTAATGACATGTCCAGGTGTCTGAAATCCTCTGAGTCGATCATGTTTGCTGATGACACTAACTTGATTCTTCATGGGGAAAACCTTGAAGATCTATTCACAGTTGCAAACCAAGAACTAACCAACATTCATAGCTGGATGTTAGTTAATAAATTATCTCTGAATGCTAACAAAACTAAATTTGTATTATTCCATCCAAGCAAGCATAAAAGTGTGAGTTGTTCAAAAAAACTACTGCTCAATGGCAATGAAATTGAAAGAGTGAAAGAAATAAAATTTCTAGGAGTTATCTTTGATGAAAATCTGTCATGGAAATCACAAATAATGCATGTTATTGGTAAAACAAAAAGAAACCTAGCAGTTTCTGCCAAAGTATCCCAGTGTGTTGACCAATCAGCTCTACTAGCAATGTTTCAATCATTACTACTTAGCCATATTCGATATTGTTGTTCAGTCTGG